TGTATCTAATACTTTCGACATACGACAATTACTCGATTTATCACAAAATATACTTTATTTACAAGAAATAAAAAAATCCTCAATCGTTAAACGACTAATACGATAGATGAGGACTTTTACGATTTTAGTCACATGATGCTAAATTGCTTTTAAAAGCATAAATTATGTTATTTGAATACCCTTTCAAGGTTATTCTTCGTCCAAATTTATTTAAATAATCAATCAATGTTAACATAAAAAGTATTTTTTTGCAACAAATTAAAATATAAACATTAATAGGCGACACACAAACCCGATGTGATAATGATTACTGGACAATGGTCTCGTCTCACGATGAGAGGGTTTAGACTACTACACTTAGACAGACTTCGTAACCTTTCAAGAACGAATTGGAATAAATTTAACCGCTCAAATACACTACAGAACAGATACAGAAGACGCACCACGAAATAAACTACATATATTTAAGTGTATAAATTTCTTGGTATCCCTTTTTAAACAAATATGGTTCTAATAACATATCATATATAAAATACTTAATTACTTAGAACTGCAGACAACCAGTATTTATGTCCTATAAAGTGAAAAAGTATGTAAAATTGATGCAAAAACTATTGGTGTATATATGTAGTATATATTTTGAGCCGAGGCCCTAGTGTAAGTTTACTTCACATGTACTCGAGCGCGTTCGGCGCTGCGATTGTTCCACACTGAAAACTGCACCAATCACAACGCCGAACGCGCTCACCGTGACGATCGAGTAGATTTAAAATAGACTCACACTTGGGCATCTGTTGATGACACCTGCAACTCAAAGTGCGTTGATGGCTACTTTCTGTTGGGCCTCAGATAACTTCACTCACACGGTGTATAACAGCGGTTTTCTGCGAGGCCCTAGTATCACCCACTTTTGTGTCGGAGCAAGGCTCTCAAACGGTTTATACCAGGGATTCTGAAAGGTGGTCGGTTTTCCAGGGGTCTACATAAACGAAAACTGATTTTGGGGGTCAAGTTAAAAAAATCGCTCTCCATTAATTAACACAAATTCTTATTTGAAAAGTTAATTATTATTGGAATTTTTATTGGGTTCCGGTGTCCGGCACAGGGACGGTTCTTTATGCATCGTGGTGAGCCAATACAGCTCCTTCCAGAAACGCAGAAGCCTCCTGGAACGTTCACAGGCTTCTAGGAGCGATTTCGTGTCAGTTAACTATTTCAACAGTTTATTATAAATTCCCCATTAGTCAGCTAAAGTGAATTTCGCGGTGTTAGTCGGTAAGCAAAGATATGTAATTTTTTGATTATTAACAATAGCGTACGAAGTCTGATAATTTTTTATGTAATTCGTAGAAAATTCGCATGTCTGTGTGTCGCCCTATAAATATACAATACATAACACAATTATATGACACTTTAGATTATCAGTGATATTAATCTTTCTTTAGAAATATATATTTGTATGGATGTCATGATTTTTCAAATCGTACATTCTCTATAAACTTGACTAAACGAATTGACGGTGTTTTTCATTTAGTGTTGAATCAAATAAAAATGGAATAAACATTATTCATTCCTTAGTTTTTAAACCCTTTCGGGTTGTTTTCTGTTCTTTAAATTTTAAAAACTAAACGGAATTTTTCCAATTTGTTTACAAACGATGGAGTTCTGAGATAACAAACACTAAAAAAGCATACCTTTTTTTATACACTCTATTACAAATAAGTGTGGTTAAAAAACATTGTGAATTTTGTTTCCAAATTTATTTCTTTTTCAAGTTTGGGTAAGTATATGTTGGATACACATTTACACGCACAAAAAATTTGACTACACTTTTTGTAACATGTATACGATAAATAAACATATTTTTGAAAATATTAGACTAACAAACATCAAACATAAACCTTTTTGTATCAATAAATTAAAAAACACCGTCATTTTACACCCATTTCACCAACACTTTTCTCCCCCTATTCTTACATCTTAAAACATTTCGAAAATAACCTCTCTTTTAGCTTTTTTTTGTATTTTATTTATAATAATATATGTATGTGCCAATTACCTGCCTACGTGCCAGGGTTATAGGATATCTGCAAAATCCCTGTGGTTTTGTAAATTATTAAATGTTATAGCGTACAGAATTACAGACTACGGCTAAATAAAAACCAACTGTTACTAAGCTTTTTTAAAGTATAGGATATTTTTACTGGTCTTTCGAACTCGCTGTAATTCATGGTCCTTCGATTTGTACTTTATAATATTGCATTATGTTAGGTCTTACCTATGTATGTGATATGTGGCTATGACTTCGTAAGCAGTTTCGTAATTATTTATATCATTGGGATATTCGACTTAACATTTCCAACGATGTAATGACTGTTTAAACACAGTTTACATAAATGCGAACATATAACAGTATATCCTGTAAAATTCTTAATAAGGCGTTTATTTCACTGTATCAAAAACCTACAAACTTTATAAATATTTTATTATAATCGATAATTCTATACGCTGTAACATTAGTCGATTGTAGATATTTATCGATTAATAACTGCAATATAATTACGATTACATTAAAGAAAGAAAAACGAAAACGTATTTACAGTACTATTTTATTACTCGTATGTTTTGTGTGAATTTTTTAACAATTATATACGTGTTAGATTGTTACAATCGAATAACTCGTTAAACTGTTTCATCAAACCAAAAAACTCGGCTAAGCAAATCGAAAAAATGCAATAGAGATCGTATAAAAATAACATACTAATTTTTGTAACCACGGGCATCGAATGTGGTATTCTCACAAAGCATACAAGTTTGTTAACACACAACTATTTGTGAAAAATTAAAACAAAACTATGTATACAAGATGTTTTAAAATATAAAACATTAAAAAAAATCGGTGATAAATGCATATAGCAATGGCTAGAACAAACTCAGATTTGTTTACAAAAAATGAGTACAACAAAAATTGTTCGTCAAATACAGGGTGGTTTATGTCGTGTTAAACTCTTGAACCACATGACTTTTTTGATGATTTTATACAGCACAAATGGACTGTGTTGTGCAAAAATGATTTCAGCCGCAAATCAATCAATTAAAACTGTATTAAGCTATTAAACAAAATGATTTGTTTTTATTAAAATAAAAGATAATTTCTTTACATGGTACTTATGAAACATGTGTCATGTCGTGTCTCTGTATTTTCGTTAAGGCCTCCTAAACCACGCAAAGGATTTAAATGGGTTTTGATCTTCAGTTAGATACATTATTAGGAAAAAGTTTACATATGAAATAACACTATAAGGTTAGAACAATGTTCTAGCTAAGAAATAGCAACGGTCTTCAGCACGAAATTGAAATCATTTTTTTTTGACAACCATAGAACTACCGTTCAAACTATCCCGGTGACATAATAAATCTTACCTCTCTCTTCCTTATCTCCTTCTCTATTCCTATCTCTACCTTAGACCAATCAAGTGTATTTTTAACCTCAATGCTCAAATGTCACTTTGAGATTTCGAAACACAACATAACACACCCTGTAAATGTATAATTTCTATACAAAAGTTATTCAATATACCTAGTGGCGCGAATAAATATTGAAACCTCTGTCCAGCAGTCGGCCACAGATTAACAAAAATACAAGCATTCGGGTAAAATTGGCCCTTCCCATCAATAACACACCTCTTTCCATAGACTAGTTAACACGTTTGCCGTGCAAAAAGTAGACAAAGCTATTTCTTTTTATGACGAAGGAGTACATTTTAAAGCCAATAGATGTATGTACAATGTTTTAAAAGACCTATTACGATGACTAATAAAAATTTCGATTTTGGTTCTAAACATTAAAGGACAAATAAACAGTTGGGATTTAAATCTTTTGTTTATATACGATAATTATAATTAAATGGCAATATATAAATAATAAAATCATTATTACCGGCGCCAAAATCACCCCTTCATATATATTTTAAACAACGGAAGGTATACTCTTTGCACAGTTAAAAAGTCTAATTTATTAAAACATTTTATATGTAATTGTTTATTATCAAATATTGCAACCGAGGGTACAACGGTATTCATAGACAACAACGTGTTATGGTTATAAATATAAAAATACTATGCTGTAAGTTTTTTAATTAATTTATTTGAGGTTCCCCACCATTATTAACAGTCGCCATCTTGATTTTTTATATAGCTAAATTGTTTCAACGAATGAAACACGCGAATTTTAACATCTATATGTGATTATTTTGTTGTCTATTCCAATTTTAAATTTTTGAATCGCACCGTGACGTTACGAAATTATGACGTAACAATGTAGTATCAAAACTATTGCCATTTTTTGTGTATAAATATCGTGGTACCCTCATATATAACACTAAGACTCGAAAAGGAGGTATTTATTTGTTTTGAGCTAAACTCTTTGCATTTGTATGCGATTGTGTCTGAGTATAACATATTGAATCCACCGGATGTGCCTGAAAATAAATAAAAATAAACTTTGTTTATACTTTCTTCTGAATAGTGCTTAATTATTTTCTGACACAAAAACGAACGAATGGAAGTATGAAAAAATTGTGTAAGCAAAGAGACCTTAAACCCTAAGGAATATCAAGCAATTAATCAGACACCATGGCGATTGACTGCACGGATGGCGTAGTGGTTTAAGCAGTCGCCACGCCGCTTACTACTACGCTGTGTTGTGGGTCCGATCCCCACATAGGATATATTCCTAATGCGGGAGTTGTCTTTTTTTAATAATTGTGGCCAAAAAGTTCTCGAGTGGAGACCGCGTAACGAAAGGCGAAGGTCGGACCGCCTTGTCTATTTTCCGACGTCCTGGTAAAAGTAACGGGGACCTTGGGGGAAAACTATGTCATGCAGTGGACGTCTTTCAGCTGAGACAATGATGATGAATCTGGATCTCTATCACGAATGTTATATCGGAGCACGAAAATGTTATTAACATACATAATGTACTTATCCATACCGGGTGTCTATGAAATAGAGGAGCATGGCACGTGCGGGGAGCCCATCTGCGTCAGCACTCGGTCCAGCCACTGCAGGGGACCGTTTAGATGCAGCTCGATCCAGCATGGAGTCGATGTCACCGTCTGTCGTCTGTTGAACAAGTAAAAATTGGATTTAGTTGTAATTATTTTTCAAAGTTTCAGTAAGCGTATTTATGCACAAATTGATTGTACCGTCTATTATGCAAAATGTTGACGGATTAACAATACTTAGTGTCACCACCCCCTATTCATCCCTTGTGTGTCGTAGAGTGGACTAAGGGAGCAAACTGCGCAGGGCAACAGCACTGCAAAGAGTAGGAAAACTTGCAAAAAATTCTATACCAACCGGTCTGGCCAGCGTGGTATAATAGGCCAAAACCTTTTTTCTAAGGAGAGGCCTATGACCAGCCAGTGGACTACTAAAGGCTGTTGATAGGTATGGGTATTGGATCGTTTCTTCATAACACGGTCTAATCATCCTCACGAAAATTTACGTAAACGTAGTTTAGACTGCAACATTAAACATATTGAAGCAGGTATGATGTTAAGAGCCAGGAGGTGGTTAGTCGGCTGGTAAACAGAGTTTGGTCATGTGATTCGAGTCGACGAGACCAGAAAATTAGGCTTTGCAACTATGCTGCTTCGACTTTAAACCGGTTTGTAACAGTAATGTTCATTTTCACCTGTACTCAGCGCCCCATCCCTTAACGAAGCTCATTCGTATGGTGCACATGCGAGTTAACTGGAACACCGCCTCAAACCCTTGAGACACCGACTGTGACAGTAGCGCTGCAAACTCTTGGTTGTTGAAGATTTTTAAATTGCAACCTGTAAATTAGTATAGAATTAGTAATTACCATGGACCATTACGAACAATAGGTGAAAGGCCCAGATGATCAAAGGCCCAAGTGCGAGTTTATTTCACATCTACTAGATCCTCACAGTGACCGCGTTTGGAGATACTATTGGCCCGCCCTGAAATCTTCACCAGACGCAACTCCGAAATGTGAAATAACTCACTAGGCCCTCAGCTGTAAAAACATTCATAGCAAAAAAAAATGAGCGTCTAGCCTTACAGTAGTCGAATATGTGTGATATCTGAAACATTGCGCACGCGCTTTCCTAACTTCCTGTTGCACACTTCCGTCCCTTTTCACGATATCACTCCCACTAGCAGGAAAGTGAGAGGGATGATGTTACACATCAAAAAGACAATGGACCATTTCGAACAACAGGTGATCAAAGGTATGAAATAAAGATAGTATTAATAATACCACAGGTGTCTAGTCCCAAACTAGGCAGTGCCTGTACTATGGTAACTAGAGTGCTGATAAACATACTTAAATATTTCTAAATAGATACATTTAGATAAATTGCATTCAGAGTACAAATGATTGTGCTCGTCACAGTTTTTTTTTTGTTCTGGATGGGAATCGAACCTCTAGCTTAGCAGTCAGAATAATAAACCACTAGACCAGTCATGTACATCATCAAAGCTTAAAAATTGAAAAGGATTGACAAGACTCACCGGGCGGTATCTTGCAGACGGTGGCGGGGTGCCAGCCATAGCGCTGGTTGCAGTTGGGGCTCTGCACGAATATCGACGAGTCGCTCAGGCACTCCGCGAACACCTCGCCTGACAAATATACATGCTAGTTAGACCATAGTCAATAAATAAATAATCCACAGTTTAGGGACGTGCGCAAATTTTTGGAACTGCTTATATTTTAATAAAGTTACTTGTTTGCCTCGCTAAAACACTCGCATCCCATCTAACATCGACGTCACAAACCGATAAACTGACAGGTCTCCAAAGTATAAGTAGCAATATAGTTAAGTGACAGCTTGTTCATTGGTCAATGACGAAATGAATTGTCAGCTTTAAATTCATGATTTTTAAATCAAGGAATTTGATCTTAAAGATTTAAAACCACAATTTATCTCTTCCTCCGAGTATTTTTTCCGAACTAGGTTGGGTAACCGACACGACTGAACTTAGATTTTTTACGTCAAGCGACTGCGATCAGACTTTCTTAATTTTTGATTAAGACAGAACTACAGAACTTCGATATCGCCTAGTACTTGAGTTGTGGCGACAACTCAAGTACTAGGCGATATCGAAGTTCTGTAGAAAGACTGATGTTGGACTTTTTAGGTCTCCAACTACTTGTAACGATTGCCACAGATTGCCTCCAAGAAGGAAGTTCCTGAGAACCCCAGCAGATCCTGGCCGCCATGGGCAGACCAGACTATTGCGTGCAGAGGGCCTTGCCCTTGTCCCAGTTCATAGAGTCATTCGCGGAATACGTAGCTCCTATCTGAGACCTGTTTCTGCTAGAGTGATAATTTGTAAATAATTTCAGAGACTCATGACTGTTTAAGTTCGGCGGACCTCAATTTAGGAATTACTTCCCTAGTCGATACTTATGTTTAAGAAACAAGATTAAACACATGGATGGCAAAGGGGACTCACCTCCAATATAATACAATCTAACGCCCTTTCCAATATGTCGACGAGTTTGTTCCACCACTTCGTTTCTATTCACGTTGGACAGGAGACCCAAGCAAAATCTGCAGAACAAATATTATATTAGATAGACAAAATGGCGGGCATAAACAATACTGGGTTATGGAAAAATTACTTTAATCGCTTTGCCGTTCTTCGAGTGACTCCTCAAAATTAGAGGGGAGCAACAAACGAATTGCTGGAGTATTTATGAGGCCGTAGTATCCCTCCGGTTGACATGGCCCATATCTGCCGATTAGTGATGGAAATTATTGCTACTTTCAAATCCCTTACACCCTTCAAGTGCAAAAAGGTGATCACAACCAGGCTAAAATCCCTTAGTTACGAAGAGTGTGAATTTGTTTTGAACACTATTTCCTGAATTGGCGGATACATGCACACATTCCACTTGAACACGCACACATACATACACTCGCATACACACACTCTCTTCATAAGCTTACCCATTCTGCCAACTGGTAGCAATGTTCGCACTAGCCTGAGATACTGGTACTGCAAGGGTTCCAGTGAAGTGTGGAGAGGCTGGTCTCCTAGTACAGATGCTTGTCTCTCACATAGTAGTAAATATATGTCTAGATTAAGCTTCCTTTATGCAATTTTGTATTTTGTAGCTATGTAAGAGAGAAATTATAAACTGTTTTTTTTTAATATGATGAAATGATTGGTTTTAGTCACTGCAATTTCACGTGTGATAAATCACTGTAATTTGGTCATAGACAAGATAAATGCGATCAAAAATTAAGCAAGTTTTCTTTTTATCAAAGACTACAACGTTTTTTTTGGATTTAGAGCTTTCGTGAGTCTGGCGCTAGCGTAATCAGTGACTTTGTAAATTAGTCAGGTGTGACTATATGTTTTTTAAATAATATGATTTGTGATTAGGATTTAATTCCATTTCTAGTGCCGAAACATACCTCTCCCACGACGATAGTTCTTAGGTAACTCACAAAGAAGAAATAAAGTCATTTAAAAAAGGAGTTGCTACTTAAGCCACCAACTTTAAAAAAATTGAAAGTATAATTGACCTTTCACTATTGCTGGGGTCGGTAAAGCCGTCGACGGTGATGGAAGGCTGGCTGGCGTGGAAGGTCTCCCCGACGCGCGTGTTGAGCTCGTAGTAGCTGATGCTACACCAGAAGGCGGGCTCGTGGTAAAGCACCGGCGCAGCTTCCGCACCCAGCCCCAGCGGGGACGGCGTCAGCCGCGTCAGGTCTGGGGGGGAACGACACCTTATTCAATACTAGCCTTTTCATATAGTTTCACTAGGTTTAATAGTTACATCTTCGCTCGTGACATTAATTGTGATGTTACTAAACTCACACTAGACCAGGGATTCTTAAACTATTTTGGTCAAAAGACCCCTTTTCTAAAATGAACTGATACCTCAGACCCCCGTAGCCAAATTACCGCATACCACTTGCTGAATTTTTTTAAAGTACAACATTCCTATAACAAGTTGGTCCACGTAACCCAACTAATACTGCATCTTGAAAGTTTCTAATAAGAACTTGTTAATTAATAGGGGTCGATTTTTAGAACTTGTCGACCCCCAAAATCAGTTTTCGTATATGGGAATTGTATTATCCTAGGCTACCGTTTTCACTTTGGGAATCTCTGAACTAGACCTTCTGTTCTGGATAGAAAATATATTCACGGGACTGAAAGCTAATGAGAACTAGTTCTTTAAATTTCATCGTCATAATATTATGTAACTTTTTCAATGTACAAAAAAGTATAAGTGCAATAAGTAAAATAATAATATTTCCTTAATCAACTTTTACGCGAGTAAAGATTAAAAACTAATAAATAATAATAAAAAAATTGTCAACAAACTCACTCCTGTTGTCGTTAGGGTCCATGGGATCGCCGTCCTCGCTGATGTAGCCGGGCGGAGGGGTCTCCACTGTCGATGAACTCCTATACATAAATAAAAAAATGTTTTTATTTATAATTAAAAAAGGAGCAAGCCTGAACATGTCACTGCCAACTTTAGAACCGTGTGTGTACGCTTCCCCGCTTCCTCTAGCATACTTCGGCAGAAAAGCGAGAGGAAAGGACTTACACATCAAAAACCGCCTTCCTATGAGTCTGAGGGAGACTCAGATCAAGGGGAGCAAAGAGTTTGTGACTTTTGAGTTGCAGGTGTCTATTGGCGGCGGTAATCACTTAGATCAGGTGACCCGTCTGCTCGTTTGCCCTATACAATAAAAAGCCTCTCAGCGCTTCTTTACACGATCAGAGTTGACCAGTAAAATTCGTGACGTCAGAAAAACGCAATATAATTCTTAATTTCAAGCATTTGAATAGCAACGGATATGAGACACGAAAATAAATCTTAAGCATTATTTATATTTATCATAATATAATAACTTTACACATCTTACACACGGCCCTCTAATCTAAGACTAGATGGAGCCTGTGATATGATAACCAGTCTGCTGATAAACATTTTTATATATTTCTAAATACATACATATTATAGATAAATTACACCCAGACACAGAACAAATTACCGTGCTCATCACACAATTATTTGTCCTTGGTAGGTAGGAATTGAACCCACGATATCTTGCTTAGCAGTCAGTATATAACATATGCATATAGTCAATCAAGTGATACTTACACGTGCACAGTGGTGTTTCCGGGCACTTGCTGGGCTAGCGTAGCTTCTAGATACATGGCGCTGTGCGCTCCGACGCCCACGCCCACTCCCACTACGCCGCCCTGCTGCATCACACTGTCGACCAATGCTGAGAGTTAAGCATTTACTACCGCCAATCCTGAAGGCCAATTCTCGTAATAAAAACTCTTTCAAAATTCATTTCCGATTTCACAAATTTTATAAAAAGTATTTTCGTAGCAAAGTATTAACCGAATACCGATTCAACTTTCGGTCACAATACGATATAATCACGTTACAGTCAACGTTAGATGTTTAATACTTTACTACCAGAATACCTTTATGACATTTGTGAGATCGAGAGATCAGAACTGAATTTTCATTACAAGAATTGAATTGAAATGGTGAAAAGAATGGAGAAGTGTTTTATTTTTCCATTCTCCTCTATCACTCAACATCTTTCACGCACTCCTGCACTTCATTGCAAAATGGTTTTTGTTGTTTTTTTTTTCTATTATTTAAATTCACCAAAGCATGAACAATTCCAAATATTCATGCGTTTACTGTCGTTATGGCGTGTTTAATGTAAAACGTGTATTCAATTGGAACCAGATAAATTAATTTTCTAAAAAGGGTTTACCCTTTTTTCTTTGTGCGGAAATCTTCTCGGATACAATCAGCCGGACCACCGGTGGAGTGGTTATGTCGGACTCGAACCGACTAAAAACCAGTACGCTGACTTCGATACCAGTAGCCGGGGTACCAGCGGTAGCCTAGAAAGGAAAGCCCTGATACCCTGGCGGACCTCAGACCATCTACGGCGTGTAGACGATCCTCCCGTGAGGATGTAATACCCTATTGATGTTAGTTACTTTATGGGCGAAGCTATACATGACCGATACACTCACACGTCCGTGTGCTCGTGGTGCACTTGGTGGTGATCGTGGTGGTAGTCCGTATAGGGGGGCGGTGCCCGCACCTCCCCGTCCGCGCACCGCGGCACCAAGATCGGCGGCAACGCTGTAAAGGACACATATTATACTCTTTGTATGTCTCGTTGTCATGTAAAACCACAGTATCGAGTATCGAGCAGTACTGATGGTATGGAAATGAAGTAAAGTATGTTTATTTCTATGCATGTGGTCACCTAGCATTCATGCCGCTACTGTGCGAGACTATTGTGGGTTCAAACCTCAAGGCGAAAAAGATAATTAAGCTGACTAAAACTAACATCCCTTGCATGAGGGTAGTTCACAAAAAATGACTGCATGGATAGCGTAGTGGTTTAAGTGGTCGCCCCGCCGCTTACTACAGCGCAGTAGAAAGCGGCGAACCGACCGCTTAAACCACTAACGCCATCCGTGCAGTTACTCACACTAGGTCCAGTTCTATAATTTTTAATCTAGTATACCAACCTGGCGAGTCGATTTTATTGTAATGGTATGGGTTGATGCACACTTCGTCTTTTTTTAACTGGTATGCGTATTCGCAGTGGTCTACCGGCTTTAGTTCATGCTGGCTCTGAAATAGAAAGAAAAAAAAAGATATTCGACTAGTCATCATTTGCTTTTTTTTTAAATTTAGAATACTCTGTCAAATAAGCGGTTACAATATATTAATTTGTTATTTTACGACTGAGGCTCCTCCACAGGTCTCGCCGTTATTTCAAAATTTCGTAGTAAGCATTTTTTTTAATTATATAAGTACTTTAGTAAATTTTTGAATCGTTTTTTCTCAGAAATGGTGAATCTTAAGGGAAAAAGTGTAAGGACAATTTTTGTAGATAACTGCAGGATCAACATTTTTGTATGACCTATTTTTATCATAAAACTAACCGCAACTTTCGCAAAAAAAACAGCCTTTTTTTGAGAACTTTTACCTTGCATAAAATATTTTGCACGCATGGGATCGATGGGGACTTTTCACAATTTCATTATAATGGGATTTCTAACATTCATGTAAACATTCATGTAAAAATTCAGCTTCTTGGGAATTTATGCAAGGCTAAATATCTATTTTGACCGGAAGACTTGTCAAATAAGCTGTTACAATTTTTTATTTTGTTGTACAACTGAGGCCGCTCAAGTCTTCTCATCGTTGTTCAAAATTACGTAGTAAGCAACTTTTTTTTATGGTATAGAAGCAGCAAATGCGTCACCTACCCACATAACGAAAAAAACATTTTACTAGCTATAATTTGCTTTTTTTAAAATTTAGAATACCCTGCCATATAAGCCGTTTCAATATTTTAAGTTGTTGTACAAATGAGGCTCCTCCAGAGTCTAGTGTCAGGATAGGGGTAAAAGATGGGTCACCCACCCACATAAGTGACTACGGCCTTTCATATCACTAGCGTTACGCCAACACAGTTCCATATTCCAATGCGAATGTGTGGCAATAACTTACGCCGCCACAACGACCATGTCAGGGAATATTAAGGACTATAACATCCGAATACTAACCGACAGCATGGCCGTCCTAAAGGCATTAGAGGGCAACAAAATTACCTCTGGTGTTGACTTCGAATGCCATCAAGCATTGGAGCAGCTTGCCACATTAATTGAGGTACTCCTCCAATGGATTAAAGGGCACAGTAACGACGCCGCAGATGAGTTGGCAAGGGGGGGCTCGGCAGCCCCGGCTACCGGCCCAACCTTACTCCTGCCTCTACCGTTCAACCAACTACGATTCTGGGCCAGGCAACGGATAAAAGTGAAGCACATAACCGGAGGTGGAAATACTTACCCGACTGCAGACAGTAAATCCAAATAGTTGTAGGAACTATCAGACGATACCTAGCCTTGAACCGACTACTATTCACCATTAATGCGACGGACAGTCCTCTTTGCAGAGGATGTCTGAAAGCAGAAGAAATGGCAGCCCACGTAATCCTGGAATGCGAGGGAGTGGCCACATAACGGGCAAGTATCATTCCTGATACAAAATCGCTCCTAGAAGCCTGTGAACGCCCCTGGAGGCTTCTGCGCTTCTGGAAGGAGCTTGGTTGGCATTTACGTATGTTGAACTATAATTACAGCGCAAATTACCTCTTCAGGGATATAAGTTATTGTATGTAATATTGAATTTACCTGTAGCTGCGGCCAACGCCACAGCCTGCAGTAGACGACATGCGGTAATCCCTTGCGATATTGACCATTTAACACGTTCTCATTGGGTTTCACTCTGCAATCAAACAATTAACTATGTATTCATGATAAAAAGGCCTTGAAATATTCACATAGATGCTACACGAGCACGCTTCCCCAGCTTCCTGTTACAAACTTCCCTCCATTTTCACTAATTCGCCGGTAAGGAATTTAATTAAGAATAATCATCCCTATTTAAAACAAAGGCGGTGAAAACACCACCACTTCCAATATTTTAGTACAATTAATGTCAATCTATTGACGAATAACAGTGATTAGTGGCTTAAATGAACAATTACGGTACTTTACCATTTTTATAAAAGTTGATTTATTTAGAATTGGACAGCCAAAGGCCTGACCACTTCATAATAATTTGATAAAATCAGATTAAAACGTAGTTGGAAATTTTGAACGATTCACATATTCATTGCAAATATGTACTTGTTGTTGGGTGTTGGGTATGTTGTTGTTGTTGGGTGACGCTGTGTATGACATGACTCAACAGTTAGTGATATTCTTCATACATTACTTTGTGTATTATATACACTAGCAGTATCTGTTTCTTATAATCAGTTTAAAACTTATTTTTTCTTATAGTAAGGAATTTTTGACTATCTCACAGAATAGTTGACAAATCTTTGTAAATCAATAATCTTCACACAGGTATATTACAACATATTAATATATGCCCATATCTTTCCTGCCATAGTCAATAGATATTTACACTCAAAGCTCCAAGTCAGTATTATATTTCCACCATCTTTGTTCGATTGGCACCCAGGACAAATAATTGTGTAATGATTACATTCATTAGTTCTGTGTCTGGCTGTAATTTAGTTATAAAATTTATATTTAAAGAAATATATAAACACATAGGTGTATCAGCAGTTTGATTACCACAATACAGGCTCTGCTTAGTTTGGGATCAAATGGTCATGTGTTAGATTTGTGAAATTAAAAAAAAAACAACCATCATCGTCATACTTCAGTGTTTCATAATAATATGTTATACATGTACAAGAGCATGTTATAAAATCACTTCACAATGCGTTCTGGCTAGATTATTGAATAATTAGAATCGGACAGCTAAAGGCCTGACTACTTAATGATAATATGATAAAATCAGATTAAAAAGCAGTTGGAAATTTTGAACGAATCACATATTCATCACAAATATGTATTTGTTATCTATGATAAATTGTTGTTGTTGTTGGATGACGCAGTGTTATCTACCATGTATGACATGACTCAATAGTCAGTGACATTCTTCATACATTAGTTTGTGAACTATATACACTAGCAGTATCTGTTTCTTATAATCAGTTTATTATAAACTAATTTTTTCAAATAGGAATTATAATTAATGATAATAATGAATAACTTGAAGCTATCATTATTTATTTGTTTAACTTAAGTGTTGTGTGATTGCACATATATTAAATCCCATTACTTTACACTAGTTTTTGCCCACGGCTCCGACCGCATGTATGTCGGTTATCGCGGTAAAAAGAAGCTTATGTCCTTCCTCAAGAATCAAAGTATCTCCTTCCTTAATTTCATTAAAATCGATTAAGCGGTTTAGGCATGAAAGCACACAGACAAATAGAGTAACTTTGCACTTTATAATATTAGTGGAGAAACCGAAATCCCAAAAAAAAAAAAACAGCAATAAAATACATTTCTTCAATCATCATCAATTACTTTTTACAAGCTTTTACATTTTAACAATATACATTATTATTTACGTCTGAAAATAACACTACAATTTCAATTATAAAAGTAAATTTAAAACAATTTACTTTTATATTTTAGTTTTGGCGGCAACTAGTTTCTAGACGATCATTGTCATTAGGCATTGTTTGGTAATGCTTTAATTATATATAATATAACTCGTATGTATCTGTTGTAATCTTATTGGAAATAAAAGCCGATTAATCGAGATTTTTAGGTTTCATGACGTAAATGTTAGGAGTTGTTATCCCATGAGAATACGAAGCACGTTATTATTTCCAAACACCGTAATTGTTGCATAAATTAAATGTTAAAACTCATTATACAGAAAACGGAAATTAAAATAACGAACAATTACCTTCAAGGACGAAAGGATACAAGGATGTCCTTCAACACAGTAACAAATTTACAAAAACAATAAAACAAATAGTTCTTTAAATAGTCACAACACAATATAAGTAATTATAAAAATCGCAAGGTTCAAAACACGTCCGCCATATTGACAAGAGGCTTCGATTTGTTTTGACGGTGTCTTGACCTTACCGATTTTGCGTCCTGTATACCATTACGCAACTAAAATGCGGTGGTCATTCAACTCTGTCGCTTCAGTTAATATAACCGACTCTTATGATTTTGTCGGGTTATAGGACTTCACCGAAATAACCCGACCACAAAAAAAAAGGTCGTTCATAAACCATACGAATTTCAGAAACTAAAATGGAAATAGAATAATTTCAATGGAACAAATCTTATAAGAATCATAAAATTTCTATTACAACAAGTCCTAGGTACTGAAATTTGGCAACAATCTCTAGATGTATGATTTGCGAACGCCTCTGATTAGTTAAGCATATTTTACAATGCAGCCGTAATAACTAAAAACCATTCTTATTTCTAACGCTATAAAGCTTAACAACAATGCAAGTGTGTACTAACGACCGGAAACGTCATATTCCGAAATGATTGTTATCACGAAAAAAATAAATCAATAATGAACTGACCTGGGAATTGTTACACATTTAGTATGACTATTCTGACTTGAAATTGCTTTTTCTAACTCTTCAAGAGCACCGCTCTTCTTTAATTTCTTTACTAAACTCTTGACTGCCTTCTCGGACCATTTATCCTCAGCCGCAGACGACCCTTCGGGTCCCTTTTTCCATCCTAGCAGACGTTTCACTACCGGTGGAGTTAGAGGAAACATGCCTCAGCACTTCACTAACCAAATCATCAATAACCACAATCTAACATTAGAATAACAAAGTATAAATTCGCGCACAAATAATACGTGCCGTATTTAGATAAACTTTCGGCCATATTGCAATGACTGACAGTTTAGTTGTCACTCAACAAATCAAAATATCGCTATCTCTATCACTCCTCTCAATAATTCAATAATGTTATCAATGCACAGTGACAAGAAAATAGATATCTTCTTTTAATTTATTTATTAACAAACAAGTTAATTGTGAAATTTTAAGCAATAATTGACTGTTTGTTATTTTCTTACACCGATTTACTTCTTAAACAGAAAATCTTCATTCTCCATAGACAAAGTGAGTTTGTATTCTGAGCTCTACACACAATATTTAATATTCAAAAATTATTTTATTTTATTACTTCTAAAAACTCTGTGTTAATAGATTATGAGAAATTCCATGCTAATTACTATATACAGTGTACAATTAACTGGGTAATTTTTTTCGTAGTTCGAGTATTAGTCCGACTTTAAAATAATAATAATTTGACAATGAAATCGTGTATCATATCAACATCATGAAATTGTCAATTTGCTTAAATTTGTTTGAATTAAATTATTTTATCTTTCATAGGTAAATGTTTAAGAACTTACAAAAATTAAATGATCTTGATTAATTGGTGCCATGCGTAAAACAGACTGTAAATGTTTTACATACATTGCTGAGTGACCATTTTAAGTAACTGTCTAGTCAATGTATTAGCAAAATTTGAATTATGGATAGAAAATAATCAGTATTGTTTATGAAATTTTCGAATTGTTTTGTTTTGAAATTTGACACAAATGACGAAAAAAACTATTGTTTCAATTGTTATTTTTCTAAAGATGTGTCAGTTGCTCAAAGAAAGTGTTGATTTTATGTATTAAAACTGAAGAATTGGTAAGATATTTATCATTTACAGCTGTAATATTATATTCTATAGTGTTTTTTATACCTCAATGACCTATAAATGTTACTGATATCATGTTGACACTGGCCGTTTGTATTTATTTTGGTCGGTGGCCAGTGTCAGTTTTCTATTTTTCTGGTTAGGTTTTTAAATGGCTAGGCTGGAAATTATTATTGTGAATTTACTTTTTATTACTACTTTGCGGAAACTTTGTCGGATAATAACGTTCTTTTATTTTACTATAGTTTTGCTCTAAAACAATTTCATGTTTTTGAACAAATATCATTAATAATGATTAAGTTACTCTTATCTGGTGCATTTAATTAGATTTATTTAGTATTATAGTTCATAGCTTATGAGAATTATGCCATCTTTAATAAATATTCAAAATATCTTTAATTTTTTTGAGATTAAATTATAACCTTTGATTTAACCCTAACATTATGCTTAGTTTTGAATAAAACTAGCAGTAAGAGCACTTGCTTCATTTTAAATTTTTATTTTCATTTAATATTTTCACAACACTATTATCATTATTTATTTATATTTTAATCACTTCTAATAAATCTACTTTGGCTGCTCATATACATATTTTAGACTAAACATCTTGCTATAAGTTCAGTTATTTTAATTGAGTAACTTGATAATTAGATAACAAAAAATAAATATTTTTTTTATTGAAAAATTGATTTTAACAGCTTTGTCTCTGTCGAAGTCTTGTCTCAACATTATCTAATCATAAACATATATAGGGGTTGACATATGGTCCCCTATCTCTCTGAGACTGCTATCTCATTTCCATTTACTGAACTAAACTGAGATCTGTGGTGCATTGTATTGTTGTTAAAAAAAAAGAAAATAAATGTAGAAAAGAGGGGGGGGGGGGACATACTAATGATTATTTTAACAGTACAATACTTGAGATATACTGTAAAAAGTGCTTTTACAACAACAACAACAACAACAAATATACTCTTATGCTTTGATCTGTGCAGGAGTAGACAGAGCCATATTGAATGCAGACACCGGTGGTAATTTATGTAATAGGGGACAAGTCCAGTGCAATCAACCGGGTACATATATTCCTAAATAAACATACTTTTATATTTCTTTCCAAGTCCATGTGGTGACTGATTAAGAATACAGTGTCACCATCCCTATTCATCCCGTTGATGTCGTAAGGGCCGAAAGAGGGAGCAAACTATGCAGGACATCAGCACTGCAAAGAAAAGGAAAACTTAAAACAAACCCTTTACCCTTTCTGGCCAATAGCTACAGTATGCCAAAATCTCCTTTCTAAGGAGAGGCCTATGTCCAGCAGTGGACCATTAAATGCTGTTGATGTGAATTGACATATTTCTAGATACATACAAATTATAGACTAGCTGGTACCCGCGACTTCGATCGCGGGTTCCAACTAGTGGGTTTGATTCCCAGACCGGGAAAAAATTTAAAGGGTTTTTCTGAGAGGAAAAAGTTACTCCTTATTTAGACAGCTACCTGGTAGTATAATATTATCAAAATCGGTTCAGCCGCTTAGAAGATTACCCAGAACAAACAGACAGACAGACAAAAACATTTAAACAAGTCTTTAGGCATTGGTATCGTGCAAAAACCCGTGTGAGCATGAAAAAAACCTATTCTTTTGAAATTACAAACAGACAATTCAATTTTATGTATTTGTATAGATGAATTACTCCGAGACACAAAAACTATTTGTGCTCATCACTCAATTTTTCTTCCGGGGTAATCCACCCTAGTCTTTTCACGCTGCTTCCCTTATCCCACCTCTCCCCCTATGTTTTCCTTACCTGAAGTTACCTTGTTGCTTTGTCCGGTCTGAAAAAAGAGGTTTGGCATCACACTTGTGGCTGGCCATAAAAGAAATCAGTCAGAACTTCAAATAAGGGAAGGACTGCAAAATCATGTTGTTATGTTGTTGATAGTGATGATGATGATAAGGTTTGGAAAGTAGTCATATAATTTTGCTGAAAATTCTTGCAGCGTAAAACGATTATGTCAGAAGCCCAGCCACCAGTCATTCTATGCATGGAGAGCGCTACCGGTGAGGATGTAACCCTTAAGATTGAACCAGATGACAGTTTTCAGACATTCCTTGAAAAGGCCAAGTAAGATATTCCATATATACCTACTTTAGGGGCTGGGCTTTACTGGGCTTTACGTTTATTACGACACGGCTAAACTTCGACTTCTTACGTGGAGCGTCTGCCATCAGACCTGCGCACCCCAAATACTAGGCAATATCGGAGTTCAGTATATAGACTAATGTGGGACTTTTTAGGGCTTTTTTTAGGAATTGCCATATGAAGATCGTGACAATAGTTACCACCTGTAACTATTGTCACGATCTTCATATGGCAATTTAAAATAAAAAAATAAAAATCTATCACTTAGCCACGAGCTTCGCACAACATTTGTACACATAGTTTAACTTGTTACACTGTTCAATGTGTGTCACATTAAATTGCTTACCTGGTATGGCAGTAGACCATTTGATTGCAAGGGAACAGAACTCTAATCGAAAACGGTTATTTCAAAATTTTCCATGCATGCATGTCTATTAGTATAAGTGTCTGATCGAAGCCAATTAATGACCGAATCCGTAGCGGAAGGCGATAATAGTTTATCGCCATAAACTTCGGCCGCCATAAAATCCATGATTGACTTAATATTACACGACTGTCCAAACAGGTGTGTAATGTTTTACGCATATGTACAAACCTCTCAAACCTGAAACTTTTTGTGTCCAAAAAACGCCATTATAATTTGCCCCAGAATATAATCAATTTATTACTTTTCAGATCGGTACTAGGTTTTGACATAGACGTTAACTCTATAACTAGAAACCAACCAGTAGCCCTCACAGAAAACGTGTACCAATTCTTGATCAATACTGAACAGACCATGCAACCAGAAGGACTATCACAAACATTGGATCCAATGTTGAGCACCAATGAAGGCGCTGACGCAAACGATTTGGTATACATTCTTGATGACGGCACGCAGATAAGAGCATCTCAAATACATTTTGACAATGATGATCCACTGATAGACTTAACAGCAGAAAAAATACCATTTGTCAAATACGCTGACGTCACCGATGATATCGATATTGATAATCTCACAGTTGAAGAAACTAAGAAAATCAATATTGTTGAAAGTCCAGTGTCAAGATGGTCGAGTAAAAATTCCAGTCCGAAATGCAGCTTCGTTAATTCCTTACCGTTCAAACTCGTATGTAATAACACTTCTGGGTTCGAAGCCCAATTCACTAAATATTTAGAAGCTAATACGTCTAAAACTTACGCAACTTTGAATCCTGTAACCATAAGAAATAAGTCTCCAAAAAGCTTAATTAAAGATAACTTTAAAAATTATGATAGTTATCAAAGAAGTGACAGTCTTTCGTACACTAGAGAAGACATTCTCAATATGTTTAAAGATTCTCCTATGACGTCACTTCCCTATGATCAGGGTTACAGTGAAAGACGGCATGTGAGGAAGACGGATCCGTCAAGGCTGGTCCACAAAAGTTGGAATAAACCAATGACTTATGTAGATATTGATGGAGTTTTGATTGGGGAGAGTGAGAGTCAGATCTGTTTTATCTGCGGTAAACATGTTGACAATAGTGTGGACAAGCTTTATTTATTTGACAATGAAGACCAGAGGGTACATAGATGCTCGCCCCAGAAGAAAATGTCTACCCAACTGAAAATCATATGCGAATGTTGTTTGAACGAAAATTTTAGACCATGCAGAATGAAAAGTGCTAACCAATTTTTGAATCCAGACGAATTCTTGGTTATAAGAAATAATCAGCAATACATATTTCAGAAGATAAAAAACTTTAGTTTCACACATTACGGGAAAAAAGATATAAAAGAAACTAAACAAAATAAAGAAGAATTTGTCAAAGTTGAAATTGGTTCTGATGGGGAGATCATCACTAAACCTATAGACAATGATCTTAGGTCTGATGACGTTATCATAGTGAAGGATGAGAAAAAAGATAGCAGTTCGAGTGATGTAGAAATAATTGAGCCGGAACCAGAGATTGATAGTATCATAGACAATTTGGAGGAAGCAGATGAAGAGGTGAAAGAGTTCTTGGGGAAATATTCTTGTGATACGAATGCAGTTGCCGAACTCAAATGCAGGTGAGCTTTTATAATAAAAATTAGGTTAAAAAGCTTTCTCTGATAAAGAGCTCTATAAAATAACTAGTTATTGCATGCGTGATTGTTTGCTATTGTGTGTTTCTAACCTTAAATGGCGAACTTTCATACAACTATTAAGACCGTGGGAGAGCCATGCTTCGGCACGAATAGGCCGGCTTGACCGGAGTGATACCACGGCCTCACAGAAAAACGGTGTTAAGCAATTCTTTCGTTGTCTTTCACTGAGTGAGTGAGGATACCGGAGCCCAATGCCGCTGACTCAAGCGGGAGGGTCTCAAAGGGCAGCAACTCACTTGTGACTTTTGAGTTGCAGGTGTCCATGGGCGGCGGTAGTTGCTTACCATCAGGTGACCCGTCTGCTCGTTTGCCCCCTTATACCATAAAAAAACTGTTCATCCCTTGTTTTACCCCCCTTAGTGGTAAAATTTTCAAAAATCCTTTCTTAGTGGGTGCTTACAACATAAAAAGCATCAGCTGCCAATATTTGAAGTTTATCAGTCAGTCAATAATTAGCTTTAATGGCCGCGGCGTCGATCCTATTTAGTGTATCTAACTTTGAAAATAACGAACTTCCATACAAGCGTTCATCGCTTGTTTTAATTCCTTAGGGGTGAAATTTATAGTTAGTGAAATTTTCGGACTACTACCGGCCGCAACCTTCCGCCATCGTTCCACAAGGCAAAATTTTCTTCCCCACTTCTTGGATAATAGGCGCTCCACCATTGTGCACTTTTCAAGACACTTTTTGCCTCGCACTACCCACCTGTGGAACAAGTTATCGTCTGCGGTATTTCTGGACCGATACGACCTTCAAGAAAAGAGCGTACTCCTTCCTCAAAGGTTGGCAACGCGCTTGTAACTCCTGAGTTGCAGACGTTCATCGGCAGCGGTAGTCGCTTTCCATCAGGTCACCCGTCTGCTCGTACTTAGTGCAAAATTAATTTGCTTTATACATAGGGGGGTTAGGACAACAGAGACTACCTCCCTGCATCTCCTTTTATTTAATACCGCTTGCAGGTTCTGTGAGAAAATATTCGCTGATGTCGTTGAAGTGATGGAACATTGTGAAACACATAAACATGATTTGGAAGAAGGCGAAGTTTTTCCATGCCCGCTTTGTAATTATGGTAAGTTTTTTTTTTACAGGAAGATACTCCATTTCTCATCTGTCCAGATATCTATAATTCAAATGAAAAAAATGATGATGACACGGCTGCCATCAGACCTCCACAACCCAAGTTCTATACGATATCGAAGTTCTGTAGAAATACTGTTGTCGGACTTTCTATGGCTCCAAGTACCCGTAACGATGGCAACGGATGTTTGTATGGCAACCGTGACCGACGGAGCATGCTCTCTGACGCACGGAGGGGTCTCAATGTGTTCAGAAATGGTCACTCATCCATTTGCTGACCTAGCTAGAATTGCTTAACTAACTACCTAACCTAGTCAGTTATCACTTAAACACGAGCTCCTCATTTTGTACTTTGTAGGAAGATACAAAATGAGTTGTTGTCATCCGTGTGGTGACGGATTAAGAATACAGAGTGTCACCACCCCTATTCATCCCATGGGTGTCGTAAGAGGCGACTAAGGGAGCGAAATACGCAGGACAACAGCACTGCAGAGAGAAGGAAAACTTGACACAAACCCTATACCAACCCGTCTGGCCAGCGTGGCTATACCACGCTGGCCAGACGGGTAGGCCAAAACCTCCTTTCTAAGGCGAGGCCTATGTCAAGCAGTGGACTGTTAAAGGCTGTTGATGTTGATGAGGAAGATATTCCATTTCTCATCAGTCCAGATATCTACAACTTAAAAAAATTATCCCATGTGAACTCCTTGATATTAATTGATTTCAAGTTATTCAAATTAATAGTCACCTCACGTCACCCCATGTCACATCACGTTATCTTATCAATTCCTATTACATCATGGCTACTTATAAAACATCCGGATTCTAGACAAAACTTGACATAAACCTCCCACACTTGGCACAGCGTTGCTTAATCAATTTGACTCTAGTATTGTAATTAAGAATTGTATTAAATCATTATTCTTATTAACCTGTTGTTAGGTTATGCCAATTTGAAATGGCTGAAGGGCCATCTAAAAGCAGCTCACGAAAGGAATAAAACTGCTGAAGATGATAAAATTAAGGATGACAAAGATGGTTAGTCAATCATAATTATTATTTTTCTTGCTATTTTCCACGACTTCGCTCTCTTAACTTAGGGGTGAAATATCCAAAAATCCTTTCTTAGGGAGGTGCCTCATTAGTGTGTTGCGTCGTCGCACGTAGCATTTCAACGGATCGACGGGCGAGAGACGAAGCAGGGTGGAGGGTGATGCGCTGCGCTGTCGAAACTCTGGTTTGACGACATACAGGGTCCCACTGCTATAGGAGCAAACACTATTTCTTAGTGCAATGGAGGGAATCCCCAGAATACCCAGAATCTTTTATTGTTTCGGCGGTGGCGCAATAAAAGCAATAATAGATCACCTTTGTGCCGATCCATTGTGGAATAAAGACTCAACAGTGAGGTGAGGTGCGTGCGTCGCCTTCTTGTGTGGAATACTAAGCGTTGATACGTTGCGACGACGCACTGATGAGGCATCTCCCTTAGTGAGTGCTTACAACATAAAAGCATCAGCTGCCAAAATTCCCAGCGGTTTAAGCCATGTGTTGATGACTCAGTCAGTTAGTCAGGGCAAGTAATTTTAAATGTATAAATTATATTTACATACCTACATACACTACTGACTGTAATATAATAACTCTAAATGAACATATATTTGTATTTCTAAATGTTATAGATAAATTACACCCCAGACACAGGACAAATGATCGTGGTTATCTCGCAATATTTGTCCTAGGTGGGAATCGAACCCACGACCTCTGACTTAGCAGTCAGCATCTCTAACCACTAAACCAACAGCCAGCTAAATGTTTATATACTCGTATATATTTAAAAAAAAAAAACATTTTTTCAGAAGCGGACCCTTCGACGTCTTCAAAAGTAAATTCACCGATAGCAAAACGGACTCGCAGTTCTAACAGGAAAAGTGATGAGGAGAGAAAAGGTGGGCAATTTTTTTTTGTATAGCACAGGGGAGCAAACGAGCAGACGGGTCACCTGAAGGCAAGTAACTTCCGCTGCCTATGAACACCTGCAACTCTAAGAGTCACAGAGTAAGTTGCCGGTCTTTGAGTCGCCCCCCCCCCCCCCAGTATCTTGGGGGAGGGGAGTTTGGGCTCCGGTAACCGTATACATAGACCTCTCCTTAGGAAGAAGGTTTTGGCCTACTATACCACGCTGGCCAGACGGGTTGGTATAGGGTTTGTTTCAAGTTTTCCTTCCCTTTTTCATTCTTTGAAATCTTTTGTTCCCCTTATGAATTAAATTAATTATTATGTATTGATATTTTAGAGAACGAGACGTCAGACGACGTAAATACAGACACAAATGTCCCTCCGGTTAGTTGTAAACACTAATCATCGTTCGTAATCAGTTTTGTAAAACAGCTATAAGTCATCATTAACTATATTTATTTATTTAAAACTTAATGCACATGGCATTAAGCCCGCTTTTGTATAGCAACAAAGGCGGACTTAATGCCATGAGGCATTTTCTCCCAGTCGACCTTCAGGTGATGTAGAAATGTGATGCGGTAGGTGCATAGATAAAGTGTTAAATTTGTGGTAGTTCATTATAGTTTGGTAAAAAAGAAATAAACCTACATTAGATATCACTAATATACATTGGTACATATATTTTAATATTAAACTTTATGCAAAGTACTTACTCATTTAAAGTATTTTTAAAAGTTAAATATTTAGAAGTAAATATGATTATATTGGTAGTTAGATGTAGTGATTTGAAGTGAAAACTTCTTTAGGCGTGTTGGACATTTTTGAACAACAAACAAAATAATGTATTTTTTTAGATGGGAATAACCATTGAATATAAATATATATTGTGTATATACGTATGACAAAAAAATGAATATACGATATATATTCATATCGGAACTTTTCGAATCGAAAAAAAAACAAAAAAAGATCCTGTTATAATTAAAAAAAAACAAGTTTTCACTTCTGTCGGCACTTTGTGCCACTATTTTTTTTTTGGTATGAACGCAAGCGATCAGACGGGGTACCTAACGATAATAAGAGACTACTAATGTTCCCACCCGTTAAGGGTTTTCTTGCCTCCCAGAATGCAGGGAGGGAGGTTTAACTCTGGTGACTTCACTCACTCGGTAAAAACAAGGAAATAATTGTCTGTGAGGGATTCATTAAGAAATTAATTATAATTGTTTTGTGCGAAAGCATGGCTCTCCTACGACATTTATAAAGGTACATTAATGGTGTTAGTTAGTGAACCATCCCGTCCCTCTAACACAAAGGAAAAGGATCTGCCGAGGCGGAACGCGGCCTCAAGGTTGATGATGGAAATTCATCTTTTATCGTAAAAGGGTCATTCACACCTGCAACTTCAGGGACAGAAGTGCGTTGCCCCCTTTAAGTGAATAATTAGGTTGTGCCGGTAATCACACTCCATCATGAATAATAACAATATTAAAAAAACCCCGACACATTTTTTTTTTAAAAACGACAACTGCCCATTGGGACTGTTCTAATAAGCCCAATCTGGTATATATGCTGTAATTTTCAGAGGAGGTGGCTATCCCGCAGACTTCAGATCAATTGGATCTGTGGATTTTATTGAGATCCGTTCATCACCTTGGAAGTGAGCCGATGATCTTTGAAATTTGTAGCAAAAAACCATCTCGATCACATCGTCTTTCGAACAAAAAATCCGCATCGAAATTGGTCCATCCGTTCGGGAGTTATGATGCCACAGACAGACACAGATTTAAGAACACCTCGGGGGTTAAAAATAATAATAATAACTCGGACATCTGACACACAACGCCATCTAGTTTCAAACTAAGCAAATTGATGAAAACAAAATAAGCCCTCAAACCAACATGCCAGATGAGCTGGAATGCTAAATCATTAAATTTTGCAGAGTGAGCACAAGCCACCCATCATAAAAACAGAAGTAAAACAAGAGGCGCTGGACAGCAGTGAAGATGAAATTTGGATAGTGCAGACTGCTGACATGGAGACCAACCAGGATCTGGAGAAGCTATTGGTGGCGAACAATAAGGTATGAGAGGTCAAAATACGTTAGTTGACTGTTAAGGCAAATCAGCTTAACTGCACGAATTGTGTAGTGGTTTGAGCGTTCACCTCGCTACTTCCTACTGCGATTCACACATGGAGCAAATCTTTGTGTGATTCACAAATTGTTGTTCTGAGACTAGGTGTTCTTTGTGTCCATTTCAGTGACATGAGATTTTCTTAGATTTGTCTTTAAAAAAAGGAAGTAAAGAAAAGAAAGCTTCTCTTTATTAAACATCAAAATAGTGCGCTCTGTATAATGACATGTGACGTCATACCTTGCTATTGTCATTTTATTTAAAGCTTGGTTTTGTTAGAGTAATAAATATTTGTTGAAGTTTGAAGTGATTACTTTATAACAATGTTTCAGGGCACAGAGGAAGAGCAGGCCCCTAAATCGGAGAAGACATTTAAATGCTTTAATTGCAGGTAAGATTCAGTTTAAGTTATAGCCAGTTGGTGTCCGTTAATCTAGTGGCCACTGCAATCCAATCCTATACAACGGATATATGGTTTTATTTACTGTAAACTTTCTTCCATCACAAGTCACATGAAAGATATTATTCTATGCTTTGGAAACAGTCCTTTTGTCTAGATACTCTTGTCTGTATTTCTAGCAACATGTAGGAAACGTTTTATGAAGATCTGTTCAGTACTTAAACCGTGAAAACAAAACAAACACAATTAAAAATTAATTATAGGATTTCTGGGTTCAGATTTTCTAGCAGCGTTATCCTCTTAGTGTTGCCACTGTTAATTTATAATTTGCCTTATTATTTGTCCATAGTCAAATCTTTACAACTGCCGAGAGTTTGTCGTCGCATCGCTGTAAACGAAGAGGCAGGAAGCGCAAAGTGAAAGATGAAAATCTTATTTGCATACCTACAGAAGAGGATTTCTTAAAGGTCTGCAGACTCTTTTCTTTTAAATTTTTTTTTTAGGTGTTTCCGAGATATTTAAAAAAAATGTTTTTTTCAGAGGGCTCAAGGACGTCCTAGACCCACTACAACAGGAGACAATGATTTGTTGGTGATTGTAAGTAATCGAATTACACGTACCAAAACAAGCGCTAAAGCTATTAAGAGATTTTATACTTTAAAGCTTAAAGTGTACAATTCACTTTCAAATATACCTGCTTTGTAGTTTACGCTCAACCGATACTCAAAACTAATCTGATCTTCCTCCCAAGTTTCATTCGTCACGAATAAAATCGCTTTTAAAAATTTAAAAAATAGTCATATACGTAAAATTGTATAAAATTGAACTGTATTACATAAAGGTCAAGGTTGAAACTTAATTGAACCATCTACATTATGCAATTACCGTTTCTTTCCAGCGTTCACGAAAGCGGCGCAACAAACAGCCAACTTGGAACCCACAGATCGTGACCTGCCACAATTGTAATGAATCTTTCACTTCCAAAGTGCGACTCAAGTTTCACATGTAAGTTATATTTCTTGGCTATCTGACTGCCTCGGTGGTGGTGGTGGTGTTATAAGACTGCTGTGCTGAGGATACGGGTTTGATTCCCGGGTCGGACCAAATGTTTGTATGTGTAATTTTTTTCGGAGTTTGGATGTTTTCTATGTTTGATATGTGTTGTGATGATGTTTTATATGTATATTTACAAAAAAGAAAAACAGTATAAAAGTATTATATCAGTCTGCTTAGTTTAAAACAAGATGGCGTTGTGTGTCAGATGTCCGAAAATATTGTTATAAAATATTATTAATATTGTATTAGTGAGAAAGAAATTATTTATTTGCATACAGCATTACGAAAAAATACGTACAAATCACTAGTTTGACTATGCTTATTGTTATGTGCTAGGGCTAGTCTTTATTCTCTTCTTAAGAACCCTACAACCCCTTGTTATGGTAATTCACAACTTAAATTTTTATGTTCAAACCCCGACAGAGATATTTGGTGTGGTCATAATCTTCTTGTTTATTCTTCACTAGCTTATGCCCGCGGCTCCGCGTATGTCAAAAAGTAGTTTATGTTACTCGCTGATAATGTAGCTTTCCATTGGTAAAAGAATTTTTAAAATCGGTTTAGTGGTTTAACAAACAAAACAAACAAACTCACTATTGTATTTGTAATATAATTATAGAGTTATCTTTTTATAATAGAGATATGGTAAAAAATATTGGTCATAAATACTAAAGATTAAAGATTGCCCAGAAATATCTGAATAAACATTAAACATTGTATTTGATATGCTCATGTTGGCGTATTTTGACGACCGGATGGCGTAGTGGTTTGTGTAACGGACTGCTATTCCAAAAAGTCGCGGGTTCGATTCCCGCTCAAGTCAAACATTTGTGTGCATAAACATTTAATGTTTGGTTTGGTCTGGGTGTTTCTATGTATAATAAGTATGTATTTACAAAAAAAAAGTATATATGTATTTATATCAGTTGTCTAGTACCCTTAGTACAAGCTCTGCTTAGTTTGGGACTATATGGCGTTGTGTGAATGTGGTAGAATTTTATTATTATTTTCTAGGTCTATATCGACTGTTCCTAGGTTGTCCATAACGTTGAGGGCTGGAGGTCGGTGTCGTTTTTATTAACATTACCGCAATAGCGTCCCCCAGTAGCCGGAGATCCAAAGGGATTTTTCCACCCCGTCACCAAGAAAAAGTGCGTGTAGCGTCTTCCACATACAGCGAGAAAAAAATCTTCAGTCCCATCTAACAAAAACACACCGAAATATGGTGTAACTGCTGATCGTGTTGTAAAAACTTCTCACGCCGTTGAGGCCAGGCATGATCTCCTTGCCTGGTCGGAGGATCCTCCCTTTGTGTTTGAGGGACATGACACCCATTCCTCCACAGGGGTCATAATATCTCTGATCTATCTGACTGCACGGATGGCGTAGTGGTTTAAGCGGTCGCCACGCCGTTTCCTGCAACACCAAGTGTTGTGGGTTCAAACCCCACATGGGACAACACTTTGTGTGGTCTACAAATTGTTGTTCTGAGTGTGGGTGTTCTTTGTGTCCGTTTCATGTATGTTTGTAAAGTCCTAGTATTCCTAATGCGGGAGTTGTCTTTTTTGTTTTAAATAAATGTACCTCTAGTTAACACCAGACAAATATGTAGCACTTGTATGGTTCTACTTTATTTGCAGGCAGTTCCACGAAAGCTCAAACACTATGTTGTCAGACGGAAGATATTTGTGTACAGAATGTACTGGAACCACCTTCTCCACGGAGACAGAGCTGTTCGACCACGTGCACTTCCAGCACGACAAACAGAAGAGGTGGCAGTGTCCTGTCGAAGGGTGCGGGAAGACGTTTTTCTTAAGGTATATGCCAAAACGCAGTGTATGTATGTATATATTTTTACAATTGGTGGAAAAACGAATGTGGTGACAGTTAGTGGAAAAGGCGCACAATTTAAAAGTTAAATTAATCTACCAAGATGTACAATTTAATGTTAAAACTAAAGTATTGAAATATTTTTTGATTATTTTCAGGGCAACCCTGACAAAACATAGTCGCACTCACACAGACACACGCCGGTATGTTTGTGTGACCTGCGGTAAACGATTCCTAGATAAGCAGACTTTGGACGAACACGGAGTCACTCATCTCCAGGTTAGTAGTTACATATATTTTCTTTTTAATTAATTATGATAATATTAATAATGTTTATTTCATTTCAATCCCACAAAAAGTTACAATAATATTTTTAAAAAGTTTTCGTTTAAAGTTCAAATATTTCAAACCTTTAAGAAAAGAGCGTACTTCCACCTAAAAGGCCGGCAACGTGTTTGGACTCCTGAGTTGCAGACGTTGATGGGCGGCGATGGTCACTTTCCATCAGGTGACCCGTATGCTCGTCTGCTCCCTCTAACATAAAAAAAAATTGAGTTCGTCAGGAGTACAGCCTGGCCCACCCTGTTTATTACCAGTTGAAATTTTTTAATTCACAAAGGTCTTTTGATGTGTAACATCTTTCCTCCTCATAAAAAGGGACGGAAATTTGTAACATGAAGCTGAGAAAGTGCGCTACCTTTTTAATTAAACCGGTGCTGAGGTGCTAGAGTTGTTCGTCAGACGGTATGGTGCTTGAGATGACGGATGTTACACATCGTGTTCCACTACTGGAAAGCCCGCTCATTTTTATTATTTACCCCCTAAAGCTTTTTAAGTTACATCAGATTTATCCAGCGTGAGTTCATATACATTTATGGTGTAATTTAGCCGGGGAATTTCCAGATAGGAACCCCAGGAAAGTCAGAAATTGGTTAGTGTGATGAAAGCCAGGGTACAGTACAGCGGTTGGTCCGCAGATCAAGCCGTTCCAGTGCCACATCTGCCTGAAGCAGTTGACGCGGCGGTCGCGCCTGCGCATGCACGTGCGCGCGCACGAGGAGGAGCTGACGCCGCGCCTCGTGCGCGTGTGCGCCGTCTGCAAGCGCGCCTTCCGCGACGCGCGCCACGCCCAGGTACCGCCCCTTGTGTAGCACGAGCAGGAGCTGGCGCCGCGCCTCGTGCGCGTGTGCGCCGTCTGCAAGCGCGCCTTCCGCGACGCGCGCCACGCCCAGGTACCGCCCCTTGTGTAGCACGAGCAGGAGCTGGCGCCGCGCCTCGTGCGCGTGTGCGCCGTCTGCAAGCGCGCCTTCCGCGACGCGCGCCACGCCCAGGTACCGCCCCTTGTGTAGCACGAGCAGGAGCTGGCGCCGCGCCTCGTGCGCGTGTGCGCCGTCTGCAAGCGCGCCTTCCGCGACGCGCGCCACGCCCAGGTACCGCCCCTTGTGTAGCACGAGCAGGAGCTGGCGCCGCGCCTCGTGCGCGTGTGCGCCGTCTGCAAGCGCGCCTTCCGCGACGCGCGCCACGCCCAGGTACCGCCCCTTGTGTAGCACGAGCAGGAGCTGGCGCCGCGCCTCGTGCGCGTGTGCGCCGTCTGCAAGCGCGCCTTCCGCGACGCGCGCCACGCCCAGGTACCGCCCCTTGTGTAGCACGAGCAGGAGCTGGCGCCGCGCCTCGTGCGCGTGTGCGCCGTCTGCAAGCGCGCCTTCCGCGACGCGCGCCACGCCCAGGTACCGCCCCTTGTGTAGCACGAGCAGGAGCTGGCGCCGCGCCTCGTGCGCGTGTGCGCCGTCTGCAAGCGCGCCTTCCGCGACGCGCGCCACGCCCAGGTACCGCCCCTTGTGTAGCACGAGCAGGAGCTGGCGCCGCGCCTCGTGCGCGTGTGCGCCGTCTGCAAGCGCGCCTTCCGCGACGCGCGCCACGCCCAGGTACCGCCCCTTGTGTAGCACGAGCAGGAGCTGGCGCCGCGCCTCGTGCGCGTGTGCGCCGTCTGCAAGCGCGCCTTCCGCGACGCGCGCCACGCCCAGGTACCGCCCCTTGTGTAGCACGAGCAGGAGCTGGCGCCGCGCCTCGTGCGCGTGTGCGCCGTCTGCAAGCGCGCCTTCCGCGACGCGCGCCACGCCCAGGTACCGCCCCTTGTGTAGCACGAGCAGGAGCTGGCGCCGCGCCTCGTGCGCGTGTGCGCCGTCTGCAAGCGCGCCTTCCGCGACGCGCGCCACGCCCAGGTACCGCCCCTTGTGTAGCATTCTACGCTTTGTCTTGACTAATACACATTATTAGAGATTCATTCGTGATTATTAGGGATTCAACTCCTTTATTGCAGTAAAGGTAAATTTTGTCAAAACTTAGGCACCTATACAGTACACATTTAAAATTATAAAAAATATATTTAAAAATGAGATGAACATTAATAATCCGACGTAAAAAAACAACAGAGCAAGAAGAAATAATTTTTGCAAGTTTTTCGTAACTCAGCTGTTAAAATGTTCAAAACTGTCCTAAACATTAATTTATAATATGCTAATTAGACATGTGCTACTGGGCCAAGGAAAACATTTTGTGATATTTTTTTAAATATCATTTTCAGTCTAAGTTAACTATGTTTTATTTGTAAACAACGCTTCGACATATTATTATGATTTCTGTAATACGTTACATACTGTTTCTGAAACTTAAATTAATCTTCACTTACTAGGATTCCCTCGACAATATTTTGTAATTTTCTTAAATACATGTAGCGTTAGACACACAAAATATCTAATAAACTATGAAATAAACAGTATTTGGTCCTTCCCACGTAAAGGTAACAATCCCCTTACCAATCATATCAGCCGTGCCGCACCCCGACTGTACTACTCTGCGCGAGAACTTTCATAACGCGATGCAGAATTAAAAGTCATTCTGTAATTCGCTTTGTCTTCGTTAGATGGCGTTAAAGTAACTTTTAACGGTGAACATGAAAATCGCCACAAACCAATTTAAGCCAATCATAAAATTAAACCTTATGACATAGGAACACACTACAAAGTCGACTGAATGTATAGAGGCGTACGCGAACGAGCTGAAGGAAGAGACGGAAGAGATGACGGTCCAGCTATCGCCCACCAGTGGGCTTGTTAGACACACCGTACAAATAATTGGTAAGCTTTTTTTAGTAATACAAGAACTATTTAGTAGATTAATATATCGCGTCACTAATATAGATTGCACGATGGAAACACTACTTCCTACTTCATTGTGTCTGTCTGAGGGACTGTGAACTTTGAATCTATATTGTGCTGATGTAATAAAACAATATTACAAGTAAATCTAAGAAGATATTTAATTTACAAGAAGACCTCACACGGTTGAAGTGATGTTTAGGTCTTCTTGTAAATTAAATATCTTAAGTCGGAAGTTGCGCGGACTAGCTAGTGAAAATGAAAGATTTAGACCAAGCCTGCACACGACGCAAAATTTGAAGCTTGTCGACACTGTTGCGGATATTTTTTGGACATCTACACACACACAACGCCATCTATTTTCAAACTAAGCAGAGCTTGTACTGTGAAAGCTAGATTTACTGATGGAATACTTATCTACTTTTTTTGTGAATACATATACTCGTATATTATACGTAGAAAACACACAAACTCCGAAACAAATATTTGCAGATCATACAAACATTTGGTCCGTCCCGGGAATCGAACCCGAGACATCAGATCTCTCCCTAGAAAGGAGGTTTTGGCCACGCTGGCCAGACGGGTTGGTATAGGGTTTGTTTCAAGTTTTCCTACTCTTTGCAGTGTTGTTGTTCCGCGTAATTTGATCTCTCAATCGGCTGTTACGACACCCACGGGATGGTGGTGGCACTCCGTCACTACACGGACAACACCTCACTGCTTACTTAAGGCTTTTAAACTCTTCCTTTATAGAATCTCCAAAGCTATCAAAGCCAATAAAACGTCAAGTGTCGAATGAAGTTGGAGAACCACTGCTGTCACAGTTAGCTGATGAAGCACGAGCTTTAATAAGAGTCGTGGAGATTGAGAAGGCTTTCAGATGCGAGTACTGCGAAGAGTAAGTGTTCATCTATTCTTTTAACATGCTTTTATTAGCTTCACCTGTATGTATTTATGTAACGGAATCTTTGAACTTGATTTTCGTACATTTCAAACTTTATTACGATTTTTTTTTGTAATTACTGTATTTTTTGAAGTTTGATTAAATTATTTTCTATTTTTTAGTTTAGTTACAAAAGCGTGTTTTATAAACTATTATTTACTCGTACTTGGCTTCGGAATTAGGAGTAATCACGACAAACTGTTAGAAATAAGAGTATTTTTAGCAATAGGGTCTAAAATTAATTATACCGCCTGAATAATTAAGTGTAACGTCTTAAAGTATAGCCTAAATTGCCCTCCATTATCAATTTCAAGTTTTTATTGTTTTGATATCTTCCAATAAACATTAAATATAAATAATTTGACAATAGCTAGTTATGACGTCACACCTCAGTATTTCATACAAAAATGTATCGCGTCTATCGTTTTGATAAAAAGATACTGATTTGACTTGACAGTCACCTACCTCATTGCGTTCAAAGGTTAACGCCAGATTTATGTCAATATATAGATGAAATCATTAACTAAAAGTTACGAACACAACACGAGTGTTAGGTTTACCGTTATTAGTACTTACAAAAATGTACCGTCTACCGTTTTACGTTTATAGAAATATACTTACTGATTTAGTAGGCATAAACCTCCTTTGGCATAAACCTCCTGACAGATTAAGAATACGGAGTGTCACCACCCCTATTCATCCCGTGGGTGTCGTAAGAGACGACTAAGGGAAAAAAACTACGCAGAACACCAGCACTGCAGAGAGAAGGAGAACTTGACACAAACCCTATACCAACCCGTCTGGCCAGCGTGGTATAGTAGGCCAAAACCTCCTTTCCACGGAGAGGCCTATGTCCAACAGTGGACTATTAAAGGCTGTTGATGATGATGATGATGGTGGTGAAACCTCCTTTGTAAGGAGAGGCCTATGTCCAGCAGTGGAATATTAAAGGCTGTTGATGTGATGTGATGTGATGTGTGACTTACTGATTTGATTTAACGTATACCCTATTGTTAACTAAAATGGAATAAGCCCATGTAAAATCTATGTACGTTTTGTTGCAGTGTTTTCTACTTGGAGAGTGGTTTGAACAACCACCGTGTCATACATAAGGGGGTTAAGAACCCCTTCACCTGTCATATATGTAAAGTCAGCTTCGCCACATACTCCAGGTACGAATTTTGATGATCAATTACATCCATTTTTTTATGGAAGGTTGAAGGCCCACGAGCAGTTGAGACACCTGATGGTAAGTTGCTACCGCTGCCAGTGGTCATTTGCAACTCGAGAGTCACAAGTGCGTTGCAGACCTTTGAGTCCTCCCCTCTTAATAAGGGGGAAGAGGGGGTTGGGCTGCGTTTACCTCACTCGTTTGGTAAAATGCAACGAAAGATTTGTTTAATACTGGTTTTCTGTCAGACCGTGGTCTTACAGAAAACCAGTAACCGGTCGAGCCGGTCCATTTGTGCTAAATCATGGCCCTGTCACGGTTACTCTTTGCACAGGGGAAGACTATCGGCGGTCACCTCTCCCCTTCCTACTGTGCTGAGTATTGTGGGTTCGATCCTCACATGGAACAACACTTTGTGTGATCCACAAATTGTTGTCCTGAGTCTGGGTGTTCTTTCTGTCCGTTTCATGTATAGAAAGATAGATAGATAACTCTTTATTTGCACACATTTTACAAGTATTTTGGTACATAAAAATATCAGACAATGTACAAAGGGCGGCCTTGTTGCTAAGAGCAATCTCTTCCAGGCAACCTTAGGATTGATTAAAATGTTTTGGAGTTCGTTGGAGTAGTAGCAAAACTACAAAATAATATTTTTTTAAACTTAGGTGTACAACCCACAAAACGACACATGGCTTTTACAAGCGTTCGCTGGCTGATGCTAAGAAGCAAGCTGACGGTTCTACGCAGAAAGATACGGAACCACCTTCCGCTACCGGCATACTGGGATACGGAGACTTTCCTGTCGTTAAACATTTCTTATGCGAGGTGAGAACACGTGCACTTAACTTATCATCATCATCAACAGCCTTATTGTATATTGTCCCCATAATTGTGTATGTGCTAATCTGTTATCTCTTACTGTACCTATTAGATAAAATAAAAATAAAATAAAATAGTCCACTGCTGGACATAGGCCTCTCCCTAGAAACTAGGTTTTGGCCTACTATACCACGCTGGCCAGACGGGTTGGTATAGGGTTTGTTTCAAGCTTTTTTTGCAGTGCTGTTGTCCTGCGTAATTTGCTCCCTCAGTGGGCTCTTACGACACCCATAGGATGAATAGCGGTGGTGACTCCCGTATTTTTAATCCGTCACCACACAGACAATCGGACCACACTGCTGGACATAGATTTTGCTTAAATCTCAGATATCGATCTCATGTAATATTTATAAAGGATAAACTTTTAAATTCTTCGATGTCACTCCAGTGCAGTGTAGCCCCTGACACTGATGCGGAAGGTTTTTTTACCTTTTGATGAAGGTCCTTTTTTTTCTCTGCGGAACTCCCCTCGGATACCACCCACCAATGGGCGATTATGTCGGACTCAAACCGACCGAAAACCACACGCCGTCTCCAGGTACCAGTAGCCGTGGAACAAGGTATACCCTAGAAAGGAAAGCCCTGGTACCCCGACGTACCTCGGGCCATCTACGGCTTATAGATGATCCCATCCTGTGTGGGAAATACACACAACATAGCCGAAATACACACGGTTTAACCATTTATCATTTACTAGCTTTTGCCCGCGGTTCCGCCCACGTGTATGAAGGTTATCACGGTAAAAATAGCCTATGTTACTCGCTGATAAAGTGGTTTTCCATTTTATATTTATAATATAAGTATGGATAAATAAGAATACCACTCGCAAAAGTATGGATAAATAAGAATACCACTCGCAAAAGTTTTTATTCCAAGATGTAATAATTTCCAGGACTGCGGCCGTTCTTACCTTCATTGGACGTACCTTCAAGTGCACCGTCGCATGAAGCATGCCAACGAGAACTTTTTATACAAGTGCAATCAATGTGAAATGACCTTTCCTAACAGGTGAGTAGGTACTTTTTTGTATAACCAAGTTGGCTATATATATATGGTAATAGCAATTATGTAGGTACAGAAGTCTCACTCTCTAAAACACTTAGATAAACAATTCTATTGTTTACGCAATAAAGTTTAAATTAGTTCGAAACTACATGTAGAACTATTCTTAGCTTTAAATATACTCTCATTTCAGTTGGAGTATGGCATATCACCGGAAAAAAGTTCACGGCAAAACTGGACCTGACGACCCCGGGACTAGTAATAAAACTGCCAGAGAAGATTATAGGTAACATGTTTTTACCATTAAGAGGGCAAACAAATGTATATTTATTTTTAATAGTTTTTAAAAATCCCTTTTGACAAGTTGTGATTACCAGGAATCGTGTAGATGTTATGTTGATAATAATGGTCCTGTACTCACGAGTTAAATCTGTCTGTATGTGATTTAGAGCTGACTGCTCACTTCCATTATGTCAGAGCAAAAATAGCTCTCACGTATACCTCCTAAGAGCTATTTTTGCTCTGACCACGATTTGTGTTCAGAATTATATGATTGTTATTACACATTAAAATGTAGGCGGCCGTTTGATCCCAAAGTAGGCAAAGCCTGTGCTATGGTAACCAGACTGCTGATAAACATTGTTACATATTTCTAAATACATACATATAATAGATAAAGACATACATATAATAAATAAATCGCGGTCGCCACGCCGCTCACTAATACACCGAGTGTTGTGGGTTCAAATCCCACATGGGACGACACTTTGTGTGATCCACAAATTGTTGTTCTGAGTCTGGGTGTTCTTTGTGTCCGTTTCATGTATGTTTGTAAAGTTCCACGCGACACAGGATGTATTCCTAGTGTGGGAGTTGTCTTTAAAAAAAATAGCAAGGTATGACGTCACGTCTTAGTATTTCATACAAAAATATAGTCTATGGTTGTTACGCCTATTGCGTCAATAGTAACTTGACTGCCTTTACGACTGCTGTGCTGAGGTCTCGGGTTCGATTCCAGGATCGGACCAAATGTATGTACGAGTATGATCTGCAAATATTTGTTTCGGAGTTTGGGTTTTTTCTATGTATAATAATATTCTACCACATTCACACAACGCCACCTCTAAACTAAGCAGAGCTTGTACTATGGGTACTAGACAACTGATATAAATACATAGATACTTTTTTTTTGTGAATACATACATATTATACATAGAAACACCCAGACCAAATCAAACATTAAATATTCATGCACACAAATGTGTGACTTGAGTGGGAATCGAACCCACGACCTTTGGAATAGCAGTCCAGTACAGTACACAAACTACGCCATCCGGTCGTCAATATATTTATAATATAATATGTAGTATTCTACCAGTCAATCTAGCTTTTATAGTACACAAGCTCTGCTTGGTTTGAAACTAGATGGCGTTGTGTGTTAGATGTCCGAAAAATATTATTATATTTGTAGGATACCATGTCGAGACTGTGAGGAAGTGTTACCAAATAAGACAGCGTTGTACAAGCACAGGAAGAAAGAACACAGCGATGGTAATGTGTCCGCCACTAGGGCGAATAACCCGCAAGGTGAGATGATTTTACGTGTTACGGTTCGTTATCTATGTATCACCATCATCATCATCATCATTATCATCACAGCCTTTAGTAGTCCAAGGTCTCTCCTTAGGTTATATATCTATATAAATGTAATAAGTTGTTTATACCATATATTATCATAATCATCATAAGCCTCTCCTTAGAAAAGAGGTTTTGGCCTACCATACCACGCTAGCCAGACGGGTTGGTATAGGGTTTGTTTGGGGTGCTGGCTAGAAAACCTCCCCGTGGTGCACCCTGGAAACGCTGGCGATGGTACTGTTTCCTCCTTGTCCTCTTGGAGGAGAGGATTATCGCCAGCGGCCAATATTCTAGCAGAAGAGGTAGCCGTTCATCGGCTCTCGGGCAAGGCCTGGTCCAGCAGGGTGGGCGTGTCTGCCGGTTGCCCTGCTGGCTCTTCGCTCTTCGGAGCATGGAGGAGGAAACCTCGGTAAAAAACCTGATGGCGGGGCCCTGTAGGGGCCACAGTTTCTCCGCTGACAGCGGTGGAGAAAGGAGGACGGGCTCGGCGTGTACTCACACTACCACCGAGCAGGCAGGGGGACGTAGTCTACCTGTCAACCGTCGGCATATCGTAATCCCGAGAAGAGCGCTGTGGTTAAGTCTCTGCTCTGATCGGGGGCGAGGGTCTTGGCTTAACCGCCCGGACCGCGAGGAAGATAACCTCTCTAAAAAATTCCCCGAATCCCGTGTTCTGGTGCGTGGCCAGGGGATGCATGGCTGATGGGAAGTTCAGTCGCGAGCGCACTCCAAGCCGAGGTACCTGCGGACCCCTCGGTTGGGTTAAAAACTTACGCTTGCCCGGGTAATGGGGGATCTCTGCCCGGGTGGACCTCTAGTTCTCCCCCACTCGTGGGATTTAATATGGATACTGTTCAAAACCTAAAACAACAACAAAAAACGATCGGAAATAACCAACAACAGAAGGCAAGCCTAACGGAAACGAAGAAAACGAAGGGAAGGAAGGAGAAGCAAAACAGTGGAGCGGATGGGTCGTCCACTGAGGGTGAGATGGTGTCAGGAACGCCTATCTCGATGGGGCTCCCAGAGGTCAGTCTGACTCTGATCACTGGGAGCCGAAGAGCATCGGATCGGCTGCGTTCCGGATCCGCCGCTTCGTCGGATGGCGCGGAGGCCATGGAGGCGGAACGAAGCGACAGCAGGAAACGCGGACGCTCCAGGGAGGAGGGGACCGACACGTCCGGCGAAATGATGCCACCAAAGGTGGCAAGCAGCCGCCGAGGGAGGGCGCGTAAATCGGCCTCGGCCTCGGTCTCGACCCCGTCAGGCTCCGCGTTCTCAAACGCGGAGTCCTACAGGAGCGTACGAGTGGACGGCGAGGCCGTAGCGGAGGAGGAGATCGCGGATCTCCTGCTCAAGGTTCGGGAGCCGGTGGGGGGAAATGCCCCCCAGGCTCCCGTGTCCGTGCAGGAGAGGGCGAAAGCGGCGGTGGCCGTCATCAACAAGGTGGCCACCAAATCCGTGAACCTTAAGGGCTCGTTTGTGAGGGCCCTTAAGGACTCCTCCTCCGCTTTGTCGGAGGTCGTGGAGGGCCTAGCGGGCGACGTCTCTCGCCTGCAGGTGGCCAACGAGAAGCTGACGGAGCGGGTGAACGAGCTGAGCGCTCAGTTCGCCCGCTTCCAGGCGAACCTCCCCGAGCGGGAAGCCCCGTCCGCGTCCCAGCCTGCCCCTACCACCAACTCAGGGGCATTTGACTCCCAACTGCGAGAAATCCTCATCGCAGTTGGGAATATGCTGGACGGACGCCTGGCTGGCCTGGAGGCGAGATTGCCTCCTGCGCCGATTATGCGCCCCCCGCTCGCGTCGGCACAGCGGCCTAAGGCCGCCGCTCCGACCGCGCTCCCCGTTGTGGGAGGCCGCGTTTCTTACGCGGCGGCGGCGTCTGCCCCTACTCCATCGGCTCCACAAAAGCCGAGGAGGGGGGCCAAGGCACCGGCCCAGGCGCCGGCCAAGGCACCGGCTAAGGCGCCGGCCAGGGCGCATCCCCAGGCGCCGGCCAAGACGGGGCCTAGAACAGCGCCGAGGAGCGGAGTGGCATTCCCTCCGCTCCCCACTCCGACACCCCTGCCGGGCCCCTCCGCACCTGCCCCCTCCAACGAGGGTTGGCAGGAGGCGAGGGGCTCCAAGAAGTCCCGAAGGCGGGCCAAAAAGGCTGCCCAAAGAGCAGCCCAAGCCCTGCCTTCGCCACCGGTGGCAACGGCCTCTGCAAAGAGGCCGCGGAAGCTGCAGCCGCCCAAAACCGCGGCGGTAGTGGTGACCGTGTCCCCGGAGGCGGCTGACGGCGGGCTGTCCTACGCGGCCGTGTTTAAAAAGGCCCGGGACAGCTTCGCCAACGACTTTGGGACGGTGGGGGTGAAGATGCGCCTCGCCCAAACGGGAGCTCGAGTTCTCGAGTTCCCAGGGGCTGAAGGCGCCAAGACGGCGGACACTTTCGCTGAGAGGCTGCGGGGTTTATTCGCGACCACAGATGGTGTCAAGATCGCCAGGCCTACCAAGTGCGCGGAGCTGCGCATCTCGGGCCTGGACGACTCTGTGACGGCCGAAGATGTCCGCGCTGTAATCCGGGAGAAGACGGGGTGCAGCGCGGACAACGTCAGGGTCGGCACCATCCGCCCCGGTCCAGGAGGGCTTGGTGCCGTGTGGGTCAGCTGTCCCGTAGCGTCGGCCAAAGTATTGGCCGACGCCGGCAGGCTGCTCATCGGTTTCGTGAGCGCCAGGATCACAGTCCTGGCGGCGAGACCGATGAGGTGTTTTAAATGCCTGGCCACGGGACACACGCGCGTCAAGTGCGACAGTTGTTTTGACTGCGGCGGACTGTGTTTCCGCTGCGGTCAACCGGGGCATAAGGCGGCAGAATGCTCTGCCGCCCCTCACTGCCCAGTGTGTGCGGCGGGCAATAAGCCCGCCAATCACCAGATGGGGCAGAGAGGCTGCAAGCCTCCCCGCAGTTCTCGGCAGACGTCGGGGGTTAGCCAGTCGACCCAGGCTGCCTCCGATGTAGTTCGTGCGTCGACGTCGTCGCCCATGGAGGAGGTTGTAGAGACGATCCAGTAATGGATCAAGTCTCCAACCTCCTGGTCCAGACGAACCTGAACCACTGTGCCGCGGCGCAGGATCTCTTCCTGCAAACCATGGCACAGTGGTCGATAGGTGTTGCCGTAGTCGCGGAGCCCTATTCTGTCCCTCCCCGTCCAAACTGGATGGGTGACTGGGACGGCTCCGTGGCAGTCGTCGGTTCCACGACGGCTCATTCCCCGCCCTTGTCGCTAAGAGACAAGGGCACTGGATATGTTGCCGTCGAGTGGGGGGGGATCACCATATATGGTGTCTATTTCTCCCCCAACCGGAGTTTGAACGACTTCGAGGTTTTCCTAACCAGCTTGGAGACCTCGATACGGCGACTAGCGTCTGGGCACGTCCTTGTGCTGGGGGACTTCAACGCAAAGTCCATTGCGTGGGGTTCCCCCAGGACGGACGCCAGGGGCGAGGCCGTAGAGGAGTGGGCGGCCTCGGTGGGCCTCTGTCTTCTAAACAGAGGCTCCACCAACACGTGCGTGCGACAGCAGGGGGGGTCGATAGTGGACCTTTCGTTCGCTACCCCTGCCCTCGCCGCACGAGTAAGGAACTGGTGTGTCCTGGAAGAGGTTGAGACGCTCTCGGATCACCTGTATATCCGATTTGAGCTCTCCCGGACCCAGGACTCCAGTAGGGGTCACGTGGCGCGGCGTTTATCCCGCTTTCCGCGGTGGGCTGTTGCCAGGCTGAACCGGGACCTACTAGAGGAGGCAGCCATAATTCACTCGTGGCTGTCTCCTCAGGCTCCGACCGAGGAGGTCGACGTGGGGGCTGGCCGCTTTCGCGATGCGATTACGCATGTATGCGATGCGGCCATGCCCCGCGTTCGAGGTCGTCGGCCTCCAAGGAAGGAGGTCTACTGGTGGTCCCAGGAGCTGGCGGACCTCCGTGCGGCCTGTACACGTGCCCGGAGGTCCTACACGCGCAGTCGGCGGCGTCACCGTGGAGACGGTGAGGAGGACCGGCTTCATGAGGAGTACCGACGGGCGCGGAAAACTCTGAAGCTGGCCATTAGCCGCGCCAAAGAAGAAAAAAGACAGGAGATGCTGGAGGGTCTTAATCGTGACCCCTGGGGTCGCCCTTACCGCGCGGTGCGACAAAAGCTCCGCGCGTCGGGCCCCCCCCCTTACGGAGACTCTCCAGCCCAGCTTCCTGCGAGAAGTGGTTGAGGGCCTTTTCCCGCAACGAGCGGAACACACTCCCCCGGCGATGGCCTCCTTGGCCGGAGACGACGGGGAGCACGGAGAGGAAAATGTTCCGCCCGTCCGGGATTCGGAGGTAGGGGCGGCTGTTCTACGGATTCGTTCCAAGAACACCGCCCCTGGGCCAGACGGGGTACCGGCCCGAGTGCTGGCCCTGGCCCTCAACCACTTGGCAGACCGCCTCGGGGAGGTGTTCGACGCTAGCTTGGCGTCGGGACGCTTCCCTGAGTGCTGGAAGAGCGGGAAGCTGGTCCTATTGAAGAAGCCGGGACGGCCTGCCGATTCGGTCGCGGCCTATAGGCCCATCGTGCTGCTGGACGAGGCGGGCAAATTGTTTGAGAGGGTTCTTTCTGCCCGCATCGTCCGGCACCTCTGCGAGGTGGGCCCCGATCTGTCGGACGCCCAATTTGGTTTTCGGGCGGGGCGTTCGACAGTCGACGCTGTGTTGCGCCTGAGGGCCGTGACCGAAGAGGCCGTGAGCTGTGGCGGCGTGCTGTTGGCGGTGTCATTGGACATCGCCAACGCATTCAATAGTCTGCCATTCAGCTGCATCAGGGAAGCACTCCACTATCATGGGGTGCCAAAGTACCTGAGGCGGCTGGTGGCAGACTATTTAGAGGAGCGTACCGTCGTGTACGAGGACCGAGAAGGTAATTTGAGGAGTCGGCCCATGTCGTGCGGTGTTCCACAGGGGTCTGTTCTTGGACCCCTCTTGTGGAACATAGGGTACGACTGGGCCCTTCGCGCCGATTTCCCCCCCGGGCTGGGTGTAATCTGTTACGCAGACGATACCCTCGTGACAGCCCGGGGGGCAAACTTCCAAGAGGCGGCGCGCCTGGCCACAGGGGGAGTCTCCCTGGTGGTCGGGCGCATTGAGGCGCTGGGCTTACGGGTGGCCCTAGATAAGACGGAGGCCCTGTTATTTCATGGGCCCCGTCGTGGTCCACCCCCTGGCGCCTCAATCGTGGTCAACTCGGTCCTCGTACCGGTTCGGGCCCAGATGAAATATCTGGGCCTGATCCTCGACGGGAGGTGGCTCTTCGACGAGCACTTCCGACAGCTTGCTCCAAAGCTGGTCGGCGCTGCGTCTGCCCTAGGGCGACTTTTGCCCAATATGGGTGGACCCAGCGTCGCGACAAGACGGCTGTACACGGGGGTTGTCCGGTCAATGGCGCTGTACGGTGCACCGGTGTGGGCGGCGGCTCTGACCGCCCAGAATAGGGTACGCCTCTGGCGCCCTCAGAGGGTAATGGCGGTCAGAGCCATACGCGGTTACCGCACCGTTTCTACGGAGGTGGCATGCGCGTTGGCCGGAACTCCCCCGTGGGATTTGGAGGCGGAAGTGCTCGCCGAAGTTTATCGGCGAGTGGCTGACTCCCGGGCGGAGAGCGGATTTCGCCCTCCGCCCGAGGATGTGCGCGAGTGGCGCGAAGCCGCTCGCCGAGCCACGATGGCTCGTTGGTCGTTCCGGCTGGAGACTCCACGCGCTGGCTTCGCCGCCGTGGAGGCTCTCCAACCGGTCATCGCCGAGTGGGCAGGGCGGCAGCACGGGACCCTTTCCTTCCGACTGACGCAGGTGCTTTCCGGGCACGGTTGCTTCGGAAAGTACCTGCACACGGTCGCTAGGAGGGAACTGAGTCCCGCCTGCCACCACTGCGACTGCAGTGAGGACTCGGCCCAGCACACGCTGGCGGTCTGCCCCGCATGGGCGGCGCAGCGCCGGGCCCTCACTGCAGTCATCGGAGTGGATCTCTCGCTACCGGCCGTAGTACGCTCCATGGCCGGTAGCGACAGTTGTTTTACCGCGGTCGCAACCTTCTGCGAGGTAGTAATCTCGCGGAAGGAGGCGGCGGAGAGGGCCCGGGAGGACGACCTCCACTCGGACCCGATCCGCCGCCGGCGAACCGGGCGGCGGAGGCCCGCCTACCACAGCCTCATGCCGCCCTGAGTGTGGCCGCGGGTGGACGGGGTGGGTTTCCCCTCCACCCGCATTAGTTGGCCAGCCGCGAGGGGGCGGCGTCCGCGTGTGCCGGACGTCGCCTAAAGAGAGGAACATCTACATCGAGACGGAGCCCGCACCAGGAGCGGGCTGGCGCTAGGAGGGGTCCGGATGTCTTAACAACAGCTGTTCCCGGATCCCTCCTGTTACAGGCGCAGAGTGGCACACCGTGTGGTTTTAGTCGGTCCGAGTCCGACACACCACCCCGCCGCAAACCCCGGAGGGGTGACGGTCCGAGGGGATTTCCACACGTTAAAAAAAAAAAAAAAAAAAGGGGTTTGTTTCAACTTTTCCTTCTCTTTGTTGAATAAGTTGTTTATTAAAACAAAAATCAAAGTTGTTGCTCTGTAAAGAGAAATTTATTCTTTAAAGAGACATATCACAAATATCTTTTGCAAACATAACTTACACTTCAATACAAATTATGATTATTTACTAAACTGTAAAGAGAAGCAACATTAAAAACTGCTTCAAATAATATTATCCCATCTAGTACAATCTAAAATTGAATATAATGTTTCTTTTGAAAAATCTCGTTCAAACTCAAACTTTCTTTATTTCATAAAATTTCCAAAATTGTTTGAAATCGTCTTCCATGTAGACTCTAAAGTCATAGATCAACACACACAAAAGCAACAATCTCTGTTTTGTCAAATAGTAAAACCAAATAAATTTAACAAAAATCTAACCCATACAAAATCTTCCCGTTTCCAAGTTTCCAAGGGGGTGAGCCTTATGAGAAGAAAGGGCAAACAAACTCATGGCCACTCTTTTGCAATTCACAGGTAGATACAATGGCACTATTAAATATACCACAACATTGTTTTGATGACTTTCACTTCTGATTCTACAAAGCCAGAGAGAATTTATCTCATTATAGAATCATCATAGTGCATGTTGTCACTATAGTATTATCTATAGATAATACTTTGATGTATAGTCGAATTAAATTTAAATTTAATGTGGAGCCAAAACCTCCTTTCTAAGGAAAGGCTTATGTCCAGCATTGGACTATTAAAGGCTGTTGATGTGATATGATGTGAAGAGCCAAAAGAGCTCCATTTACATATATATATTATAAATAAAAATGAAATGTGTTGCAAAACTAAACAACAGGTAGACCCATTCGGCCAATATTTGTTAGATATTTTCGTTAAGACACAAGGAAGGTTCTTATGGAGAGAAAAACATAAAAATTGTAAGGTAAATGGCAAAAACAAGATTTCTTTATACCATGAAACCATAGAGTAAATTAAAACATAACTTTTGACAGAACGAAGTCTGTCTGCGCAGTTAGTTAGAGTAAAATACGATGTGTCGTCTTAAGAGAATATTTATGAATACCCTCAAATAAGTCTAACCAATATCTTACTTACCCAGACTGACTGACTAATTCATCAACCCAGTGCCTAAACTGCGTGTGCAGCAGACATGAAATTTTGGCAGCTGATCCTTTTTATCTTGTAAGCACTCACTTAGAAAGGATTTTTTGGCAATTTCAACCTTAATAGGTTTAAAAAGGGATAAACTGTTGTATGGAAGTTCGTTATTTGCAAAGTTAGAAACACGAAATAATAAATAATCACGGACAGCTAATTTGGAGTAAATGATATGGTACTAAAACTGCGTCAATCTAAACACCCCCTCCCCCACCCTCTCTTTTTTTGGAGCTTTCGCTTGGGTTCAAAGATTTTACGCTTGAATCATTATCAATTCATAAACTGTCGCTGTTGCTAAAAACCACTTCATATACCTACCAAATTAGGTATAGATCGTTATATTTGTCACAAAACAGTTGCCATAAAACTTGCAATCGAAACAGAAAAGAAAAGAGCGTACTCCTTCCTAAAAGGCCGGCAACGCGTTTGAGACTCCTGAGTTGCAGACGTTCATGGGCGGCGGTGGTCACTTTCCATCAGGTGACCCGTCTTCTTTTCTGCCTCCTCTAACATTAAAAAAAAAGGACGTAATTTTTTTTCTCTCAGTTATAAACACACAATAGTGAACTTTATTACAATCAACAATAGTCTACGAAAACATTTTTCCTTTGTTCTATTTCAGGCACCTTCAGTGGAGAGAGAATATCAAATGCGTGTACGCATTGTCCGGCCACTTTCACACACGCACCGGACCTACATAAGCATGTCAAGTATGTACTTCTGTTCTGTTCTCTCTGCTGCAATACGGCGACTTTATTGCCGATATTATTTCAATGCAACCGTGGGAGAGATTACTTTGGCATATATCGGCCGGCTCGACTGGAGTGATACCACGTACTCCAAAAGAGCGTACTTCTTCCTAAAAAGCACCACGCTTGTGACTCCTGAGTTGCCGGCGTTCATGGGCGGCCGTAGTTTGCCCATTTTTTGTTAAAAATTCTTTTGTTTCGCTTTTCATTGAGTTAGTGGGTTACTGGAGGATCACCGCTTTCCTCTTCGCAATGTATGATTTCATAGGTCGCTATTATTAAGTGTTTATTTTAATGTTAGGTTCTGCAATTACTATCCTGTCTTTTCTAATATTCCATTTAATTGAGATTACTAAAATTATAATTTAATAATACTATTTATAGAAAACCTACCTTCTTATCGTAAATATGAAATAGTACTAAACGTCTAATAATTTATTTTCTATCTTTTCATTTTAAAAGTTTTCTGACGAAAGTTTTCTTACTACATAGTTCGTTTCGATGGATTTGAAAAACGATAGGAGTGAAAGTGAAGGGTGTAAGCGTGTCCCCAGGGAGGTGCACCAGCAGGCGGGCTGGTGCGCGCGGCGGCCGCACGTGTGCCCGGTGTGCGGCCACGCCTTCCGCACCGTGTCCATGCGCAACGAGCACCTGCGCGTGCACACGGGCGAGCGCCCCTTCCCCTGCGACGTGTGCGGCGTCGCCTTCCGCAGGTACCCGCCTTCTCTATCGCGTATATCATGGAGAGTGCTCCGACATCGTTCCACACGGCAAAATGGTCATCCTCATCACCTGGATAGTTGGCGCTCCACTACTGTGCGCCTTTCGAGACACTTCTTACCCCGCACAACCGATCTGTGGAACGGGTTATCCTCTTCACCTTCAAGATAAGACCGTGCTCCTCCTTAAAAAGCCGACAACGCGTTTGTGACTCCTTAGTTGCAGACGTTCATGGGCATATATCTATCTAAATACATACATATTATAAATAAATTACACTCAAACTCGGAACAAATGATGGTACTCATCACACAGTCATATTATAAAAAAGTAAAGAAAACACACTTAAGAAAGTGAATTAAAGAAAAAACCAAATAATAATATGAATAAGTATTTTTTAAACTTATTGTTTTTCTTGTACACTGCATTTTACTACAGTTAAACTGTTTTATTCAATATCGAAGTACGGAAATCCGCCATTTTATAACGACCGCTATCTTGAATTCATAATGATACTAATTACGATAATTTGATGACTTGATTGGTTGACTGCACGGATGGTTTAAGCGGTCGCCATGCCACTCACTACTACGTTGAGTGTTGTGGGTCCGTTCCCCACATGAGACCACACTTTGTATGATCCACAAATTGTTGTTCTTAGTCTGGGTGTTCTCTGTCCGTTTCATGAATTTTTGTGAAGTCCTCCGCAACACAGAATATATTCGGCAATCCTCTTTATTAAAAAAAATACTGATCGATATTCGACCGACATGCGATGTATAGTCATACTGTCATATCTAAATGTTCTACTCCAGGTCAACAGCGATGCGAAACCACCGCCTCATCCACAGCGGCGTGAGGGCGTGGGCTTGCGGCAGGTGTCCGAAGCGGTTCAGGATCCGGTCCGATCTGAGGACACACTTACGTCTTAAACACCCGGCTACACTGCTTGTATTCGAGGTGAGTGTAGACTGTCGTCATAGTATGCACACAGAGCACAGCAGATTTCTACTCAAACCGGGGTTGCTTCAGGTTATCTACTATTCGTGGATGTACTAATGTAACATATGACACCATGGGTTCTAAAACGGAAATCTATACAAATAAATAAAATTGAAGTGTCTGTTTGTAATGTCAAAAATAATAGGTTATTTGCATTTGATACCTATGCCTAAAGACCAGTTTAAAAAAAATGTCTGCTTGTTTGTTTGTGCCGGGTAATCTTCTAAACGGCTGGACCGATTTTATAATATTTACTACCAGGATCTATATAAGGAGTAACGTAGGCTTTTTCCCAGTCAGAAAACCCTTTAAAATTTTGCTCACCCCACTTGCTTTGCTGAACCCACTAAGGCAGCGCTTTTCAAATTCCACGCGAACGAAGTCGCGGGTACCAGATAATCTAGCCTAGAAAATAAATATAATTAAGAAAGAATTTCTTATCATTTCTGTGAGGCCGTTGGGTCACTCCGTTGGGTGATCTCCCACGACGCTCTTCATGGTATCTTTTAATTTTTATCCAAAAAAAATTATCCAAAAAGTATGGTATATGTTCACGTGTATGTTACAGATGGAAGGTCTAAACCCGTCCCCGGATGAAGTTATGAAGCATCTCGCGATGCACAATATTTCACACGACAAAGTTATTGAAATAACCAAGATTTCCTTCGCCAAGGTGAGTTAGTCCAATAATAAGTAAAGTATACTAAAGTCAATATACGCATCAATCCGACCAATCAGGTTCCAAGTTTTCATACAAAACGATTTTTTTTAGAATTGATTGGTCAGGAGGTCGACACGTTTACACAATTATAAGTAATAAATAATTATAATAATTATTTTATTTTGATTATTGAAATATGTTTAATTGTTAAAAAGTTATTTATTAATAATTATTTTGGATTAAAGACGTTTAAATTGAAAATGTAATATGAATGTAGATATAAAAAGAAAAGGGCGTACTCTATAACGGTTTTCTAATTTGCATCTTATTATTCGATTTAATTTGTCTTGTGGCAAAAGCGATGATTAAATTTTATTCGTATTTTGCAAATCATTTGAGAATAAAATACACTATATATTAGAAAAATATGTGATTATAACCCGGCAATCTCGTGCGCGACCATCCCGCGGGGTGACAGACAGTGGCGGGGGCGAGGTAGCGCGTCATTCTAGCACACGGCTACACACGAAGAGAAGCGTTTCCCTTCCCCGCTACACCACCCGCTACCCGCTGACATCTTGAGTACCTCGTCCCCGCCGCCGTCTGTCACCCCGCAGGACGGTCGCGCACGACGTTGATGGACTATAGTTCGGTCCGCTTTGTATATATTAATTTGTATGTATCTATATGTATAATAATTATTATTATGATAGGTACCACTTTTCATAAAATAAAATATATTTCTTGCTTTAGTAGAAATTGTTTAATTATAATCAATCCGTGTGGTGACGGATTAAGAATACGGAGTGTCATCATCCCTGTTCATCTCGTAGGTGTCGTAAGAGTCGACTAAGGGAGCGAACTACCAGGACAACGGCACTGCAAAGAGAAGGAAAACTTGACACGAACCCTATACCAATTGGACTGGCCAGCGTGGTATAGAAGGCCGAAACCTCTTTTCTAAGGAGAAGCCTGTGTCCAGCAGTGGACTACTAAAGGCCGTCGATGACTAAATTATAATATTGTGTTTTAATAATGAAGTTGAATGTTATAACGATAGTGAATGAGGGGTTTATCGACAGGGCAGTACGGGCGTGGTGCCCAACAGCGCGCGTGCGCTGAGCGCGCTGGGCGACGTGCCGCGCGCGCACGTGCCCTGCGCCAAGCCCGCGCCGGCGCCGCTGCGGAACGCGCGTGAGTACTCCACACGTCACCGCTCAACTCCCTGAATAAGTGCTCATCATTTTTATGTGTAACATCTTTCGTCTCGCTTTCCTGCACCTGTTGAAGTTATTTTCTGAAAGGGGACGAAAATGTGTAACAGGAAGCCAGAGAACGCTCTATTTAATTTGACGAATGATTGTAATAATAACAATAAATTTCTTTGTCAGAATATTGTTGAGATTCAGGTGTTAAACATAATATGTTATGCATAAAATTTTGCTGTTTCCAGCGTACAAATAATTCAGAGTTAAAGTTAAATTTATTGGAACCATATTTCAAATTGAGTTGACTGCACGTATGACGTAGTGGTTTAAGCGGCCGCCACGCCGCTCACTACTACGCCGAGTGTTGTGGGTCCGATCCCCACATGGGACGACACTTTGTGTGATCTACAAATTGTTGTTATGAGTCTGGGTGTTCTTTGTGTTCGTTTCATGTATGTTTGTAAAGTCCCCCTCGACACAGGATATAGTGCTAATGCGGGAGTTGTCTTTAAAAAAAAAAAGAAAAAAAAAGTATTAAAACTGTGCCATGCCAAGGATTATCAAAATCTATAATGTCAAGGATTATTAAATACACTGACAGGGATTACTAAATACAATTTCAAGAATTATTAAAAATAATATTAATAATTATTCAAAACAATGTCAAAGGTATTAAATTTAATTCAATTAATGAGAATATAAAGGCAAATACGCATGATCGTTTAATTTAAAATTTGTATCAAATCTTTTATTTAAAATCTCATTTATTGAGTAGAACACTTATACAATAGGCAGTCAAATAATTTATTTTTAAATTTAACATATATAATATTTTCACACATTTCATATTCATTTAAATGTTGCTACTGTTGTTGTTATGAACGTGCGCGGTTGTAGAATTGCTTGTCAGATGGTAGTTGAGATGTCAGAGATCACCCATCAAATGCGACCACTCGTTTTTTATCTACCTCTTATATCAACTATATACTTATCGGTCCTTGAAAAATATACTACTATAATGTTAGTATAATATAATAATAATATAATATATAATATATTCTACCACATACACACAACGCCATCTAGTCCCAAACTAAGCAGAGCTTGTACTATGGCTACTATACAACTGATATAAATACTTATATATTTTTTTTGTTGTAAATACATACAAATTATACATAGAAACACCCAGACCAAATCAAACATCAAATGTTCATGCACACAAATGTTTGACTTGAGCGGGAATCGAACCCGCGACCTTTGGAATAGCAGTCCGTTACACAAACCACTACGCCATCCAGTCATCAAATAATAACAATAATAATGAAACGCGTGACTCGTAACAGGTAGGTTTTAATTACTTTATCAAAACACATTACACACTAAACATTACATAAACGAGAATACGTAAGGACCTTAAACTTAGGAGCGCGGGCGCAACCAAGAGTGACACGGGTGTCGCGCGCAAAGGATTTTCGGGTACTACCGCCACTACCGCGCATGCGCGGGCGAGCCACGGAGGGTCGCCGGGTAAGAGGGGTACCAGGGACGCACGTTATACCACTAAATAACTAATCATCAGTTTAATTTACCAAAAAATATGTTTATGGTAGATTGCTGTACCCTGGCATGACACATTGTAGTTGCAATGATGAAAAATGAGTAACTGACGCGAAAAATAGATAAAAACAACCTTTGAAGAAATATGAGCTAAATCGGTGCCAAAACTCGTTGAGTTTTTTGAAGCGTACACAAGATAACATATATATTAACAAAATAACTTAACATTTTTAAATATTATTATATTATCATATTTTAAACACTACATAACACGACACCAACTTCAGTTGTGATTATAAAAATCAACCAAATGTGATTGGTAACCACATATCTCTGCTATGTACCGAATATTTTTACCGCTCTCTCATTTTTCAAAGTTGTCTTAGTTATAGTATTTATGAACTAATAAGATCAACATGTTTCCAGTGGATGAATTCCAGCCAGCCCGTCGCGGCAGAGGCATAGCGAAGAACCCTCGACGGCCCAAGATATTGCAGCGGGGCGTGTGCTCACAGCAGGAGTCCTCTGCCTACCCACTTCCTGTCAACGTTGGAGGGGAGGTCAGTACTACTTTAACACCACCATCATCATCATCAACAACCTTTAATAGTCCACTGCTGGCCATAGGCCTCTTCTTACACCACCATTATTACTTAATAAAGTGCAAGAAATAAGTTTCCTGGAGCTTTTAAAATATCTCCTACTAACGCCATCTATCCGTTTAATAAGTAACTTACAAGTCATTTAAATGTATACCTATCTACCTTTTACGTGCGGCTTCGCGTGGTAACCCATCGTGGCGACGTGAAGTCTAAAGAGTAGTAACCGGGGTACCAGTCCTTTCTGAGATATACTTCGGTCGTCAGGTCGCGTGATAGGTTGTTCGCATCTGGTTAATGGGCATCCCAAGGTGCCATCAGCCACTACCAGCCAGCACCATCGACCAGGTGACGAGGCGATAAATATGTTCAGCCTCGGCTCTCGATATTAAGTTCCCTCTGGATGACGTTATTCCTGACATAGCGAGGAGCCTGTGTGAGGTTGCTCAGTCATGCTTGTGGGGGGCACACCCAGTTTTAAGTCGGGACAAAAACACGCGGACTGGCCTTACTAGCTCGACAATGCTACGACGGACGTGCGGCTCCATGGTGATTGGCTGTCGAAACTTATCCTCAAGGCCGTCACCTATTTCTTACACCTTTTTCCATGTATTTTACCCTGCAGTTGAAATGGTGGTGAGTTTCCTCGTAGAAAAGAAAGATATCGCCTGTATCCTACCAACGTTAACTGATTTACATTAAACAGTCGTCGTCACACGCGTAGTGACATGCGTTGAGGCTGTGGAGTACGTCTCCATTAGCTTTAGAAATCATTTAAATATTTCATTTATACTTGTTGTTTTCAGGAAATACCAGAACTGAACCTTCAGCTCCTTCTTAGGGACGGGGTCCTCGTTAATGGCAATCAAATGGTGCAACTGCAGCTGGATGACCCGATGTTGTTGGAGTAACTGACGCTAAGAGGAACTAAAGAAAATGAAATGCTCTGATTTAGTTTTTACGACCAAATTATGGTGTTGATTTTGAAAACATCCTATTATATTATCATTGTATCTGTGAAAAAGGTCAACAAGGATTGAAACAACACTCTATCGTTCAAATCGTACTAGGAATAGTAAATCGAACATTGACTTTTGAGATTCAATAATTTAAAAAAACCGAGTGGGGATTCCTAGCTACCTACCCTATAAGTTTCAGGATACAGTAACGGTGGGCCAAATTTCACTTAATTTTACTGTTACACTGGTATGTGTATGTACAAACACACTTACGAGCGGGGTGTACAAAAAATAAAAATTATCGGTTAATTACTTTTCATGTACTTTATTTACAAACACTCACTATTACCGTTGTTTTGCTATTTACATTTTTTTTTCTTTTTTTTAAATTTCTTAAAATCCGTTCTTAGCTGACCTCTACTCGGTGAAAAGAATATTCCTACCAAATTTCGTGAGATATCGTGATGAGTGACTATATACGTGAAAATCTCTTATATATATAAACAATAAATCACTATATAACTCGTTAGTCGCACTAGAAATTCTCTTCGATGTTAATACGCTGTCTCGTAAAACAATACTGTCCCGTACGGCCAACACGCTCCGCTTTTATAGTAAATATATAGATGGCACTGCAAGCAAGTTTCGAAATTCAGAACTATAATCTCAATGCGTAGCGTTGTATCTTACATGATACTAGATGGCGCTGTCTTTCTGACATACACAAGAACCACAATCCTATGGCGCAACAATACCTACATACCTCCACACGTACGCATGCCGAACGCAAAACCCCCCACTAGCGCATACACCCCCTTACGCCGGTACACCTCTGCATACACATATATCCCTCCATTCCGCACTGTATTTATAAACATCAACGACGTAAACACAAATATACACATTAAATTTAATGGTTCAAAATATTATTACAGATTTTATTTGGAAATTTAATGACATATGAAGGACTGATTATATTTTTAAGTGCAATAATTTAGCAGTTAACTCTAGAAATAGTTTTGTAATTAAAGGTTTGATTACTGTTTCTTATAGTTTTATTTAAGACCCTCTCAACAATAAATGTAAAACCGCGTTTTCTGTACACACACGACTGTATTCATTCCAGGCCAATTGATTGACTGAACTGGTGGTCTTGTGGTTAGTGACCCTGACTACTAAGCCTGAGGGCGTAGGTTCTATTCAGATCCAGGACAAATAATTTCTTAATAGGAATCATCATCATACATATTATAGACTAGCTGAGACCCGCGGTGTTACCCGCGTTTGTTGTTATAACCGCGGGCAACGCCGCGGGGCGAAGCTAGTCTAAAAAAAGTAGCCTAAGTTACTCCTTATGTCATCAGCTATCTGCCAGTGAAAGTCCCATCGAAATCGGTCCAGCCGTTCCAGAGATTACCCGGTACAAACAGACAGACAGACAAAAATTGTTATTTTTGCATATGTACCGTGTAAACATACATATGCATTTAGTAAAAAGCGGTTATTTTAATATTATAAACAGACACTCCAATTTTATTTATTTGTATTGATAAATAACACCCAGACACTATAATATATATGTATTTAGACAAATGTTTGTGACCAGTACGGTTATTTACTCTATCCGATTGTAATTTATTTATAACTAGCTCTTGCCTGCGTTTCCGCCCGCGTGTATGCTAGTTATCGCAGTAAAAAGTAGCCAATGTCCTTCCTCAAAAATCAAATTATCTCCATACCAAATGTCATCTAAATCGGTTCAGCAGTTATTGATTACCCATACGAACTTCCACCACCCTTTTCACACCCTTAAGTCCTTTAAGGGGATGAAAAGAGGGATCGATTTCTAGGATTAAAACTATCTTAGGTCTTTTCCCGGAATGCGAACTATCTCTATACCAAATTTCATCTTTATCGGTTTAGCGGTTTAAGCGTGAAGAGGCAACAAACAGAAAGACACACCTTCATATTTTTAATATCAGAATGGATATGTATGTAGGTCAGCCTAGTTTGGGATCAAAAGCCATGTGTAAGGCAGTGGCGGATTAGCCACGTAGCAAGAGTAGCAAATGCTACGGGCCCCACGCATTTGGGGGCCCCCGCTCTTTCTGACCGTAAAAAAGTATGTAGTGCCATTGACTGGACAGCCCCGTGTACAGCTGTCTTGAAACGATACTGGTTGGGCAAAAGTCACTTAAGAGCAGACGCAGTTTTAGGGTAAGCTGTCGGGAGTGCTCATCGAAGAGCCATCTCCCGTCAGGTATTAGGCCCATATCCTTCATCTGGGCCTGAACCGGTACGTTGACCAAGATGACCACGATTGAGGCGCCAGGGGGTGGACTACAACTAGGCCCAAGAAATAAGAGGCCTTCGTCTTATCCAAGACCACCTTTAAGACAACCACCAAAGAGACACCCCAGGTCCCCCTCCTACCCACAGACAACCAAAGTGTCGTTGGAGTAACAGATTACGCCCAGCCCGGGGGGGGGGGAGGGGAAGTCTCCTCGAAGGGCCTAGTCGTACCCTATGTTCCACAGGAGGGCCCAAGGCCAGAGCCCTGTTCAACACCACATGACATGGGCCGACGTCTCAAAATTGAAACAAAACCTATAGGGTTTGTTTCTTGAAACTTAAAACAAGCCCAAGTAGGGTTTGTTTCAAATTTGAGACTGGTATAACCAACCCGTCTGGGCAGCGTAGCATAGCAAACAAAAATCTCCTTTCTAAGGAGAAACCCATATCCAGCAATAGACTGTTGAGGATGATGATAAATACCATAAACTAGATAACCTAAAACAATCCAAGGGCCCCTTGGTAGAATTTGCTACAGGCCCCGCGCTGTCTTAATCCGGCACTGGTGTAAGGTATGACAAGTTTATCTCTCTCTGTCCACTCCCTTTAAAGATAAGCGTGAATGTTAAACTTGAAACATTATGAAACTAATCATTTTCTTCAATCTTTCATTCAATGTTGTCTAATAAAGATATAAGTTATGAATATTTATTTATCTTTAAAAATTAATCAGAAAACATTACAATAAAATATGTGATAACAAATTATCATCGATATATGATAATTTTGATAAAACATTATTAGTAACTGTGATTTCATTGCGAACACATCAATTTTGAGGTTAGTATTTTCAATTGTTTCAATTAATTACTTTCTTACAATTAAAAATCGATATAAATATATAAAATCTCGATTGTCTAGTGTGATCGAGTAGTTGCGGTTGCCGTACACGGCCCACGTGAACCTTACTAACATTTATCTTAGCTTTTGTTGTTAATGATAATATTATTCACTATACACCATTGTTACGAATAATTGCCTTATAAAATCTATAAAGTCCAGTATTAATAAGAAATCTATACAAAATTACTCGCCCTAAATGATTAATTCATCAACACAGCTTAAACCGCTGGGGCTATAAATCGGCAGCCATACTTTTTATGTTATAAGCACAGACTGAGAAAGGATTTTTGGAAACTAAGGGGTTAAAATAAGGGATGAACGGTTGTATGGCAGTGCATCATTATCAAAGTTAGAAACACGAAATTGGAAATAATCACGGGAGTGAGGCCTCGGGCAATAGCTAGTACATAGTAAAAAGGATATTTAAACGGTTTTATTTCCAATCGAATTTGTGAGACGTTATGTGCAACGTTGCAAAAAGTTTATTTTCTTTAAAATTATTTATGACCAGCCGTTTGTCTAACAAAAACCTTCCTTGAAAATGTTTTTATCATAAAATCGGTAAATCCCCACTGTTAGTAGGCTGACTTACATTACTAATATCAAATCTTTCTTTTGTAATATATTTAGAAATGTAATCATTAAGTATTTTAAAATTTAATAAAGAGATTAATAATAATCATTTATTGCAGGTAAATACCCATAAAAAACTTTTTACTAAATTGCGACAGATCTGACTTAAGGCTTTTGATCGAATTATTATTATTAAAGATAAATAAGGCAATCCTTAATTATCTAAAAAAGAATAAAAAATACAATTATTTTGTAGGTATTCTTTTTTTTCTTTGGCTGCCACTTTATTGAAAAAAGAACTACTGGATATTTTTTAAATGCCGTACATTAATTTATTCGCTCTTACCGGAAATTCATTAGCAGTTGTCTTGGGTTAATTGTGTGTTAGTGCTTACCGGTGAAAGCACTTTATAGTGTAGTGGCATATCAGAGGGATGGCATGTGAAGATTTAATGCTATTTTTTTTTCTTTTTTTTATGGTATAAGGGGGCAAACGAGCAGACGGGTCACCTGATGGTAAGCGAATACCGCCACCCATGGAAATCTGCAACTCTAAAGTCACAAGTGCGTTGCTGCCCTTGGAGTCCCTCCCGCTCGAGTCAGCGGGAGGGAGGATTTGGGCTTCTCTAACCTCACTCATACAGTGAAAGGCAACGAAAGAATTGCTTAACACAGATTTTCTGTGAGGCCGTGGTATCACTCCGGTCGAGCCGGCCCATTCGTACCGAAGCATGATATAGTGAATTAATTTTATCCTTGATCAAAAATAGTCTTACGTGCTATTCTACCTAATTCTAGGTGTTAAAAATATTTCCTTACTTTTCACCGCGTGAATAAGCTTACCGGCACTACACAACCCCTCCACTTCCCTCCCTACACCCTATTTCGGAGGGAAAATCGTATCGGATACGATAATTAAAAATTGACGTCCAAGATTTGTTTACACAGTTACCTACTTATAAAAAAAAGAGCTTTATTATACCAGTATTTATTTTATAGATATTATTGCTATCAGATCTACATAATGCGTCTCATACCTTGTATGAGGGGGACCGACGAAGATGAGGACCACTCGAAACAGATCGACCGTGAGATCAAAAACTGGATAAAGACATATAACGAAGTGAGTACATCACTATTCTGTAATTATTAAACTAAACCCTACATTTTTAATTCTTGTCTTAAAAAGACACCTCCCGCACTAGGAATCCAGTGTCGCGGGGGACTTTACAAACATTGAAACGTGAAACGGACACAAAAACACCCAGACTCAGAACAACAATTTGTAGCTCATACAACGTGTTGTCCTATGTGGGGATCGAACCCACACATTCAGGGTAGTATAAAGCGACAAAATGGCCGCTTAACTCATCACTACAGTCGTAAATTTTCAATACAGTATTTGATTATCGATTCAAATCAATTTCGCTTTGTATATCGCCAAAACGATACGTCACTTTATACCACAGACCAAACCATTTACTTACTTTTAAGTTCTGGTAAACACAGGAACTTCCTCAATGTCATAACCTGTTCTTCCACATATACTATATGCCTTTTTTTTTTTTTTTTTTTTTTTTTTTTCCGTGCGGAAATCCCCTCGGATACCACCTGTCGGTGGCATGTCGGACTCGAACCGACTAAAACCGCACGCCTTCGCCGGGTACTAATAGCCGGGGAACCAGGTATACCCTAGAAAGGAAGGCCCTGGTGCCCCGACATACCTCGGGTCATCTACAGACGAGTAGACGACCCCCGCCCCGTGTGGGAACCCCATGTTCCCTATGCTCCCTGGAAGCGAGCGCGCTTCGCAACGCGCTCGCCGCCACCCCGGCCTGCTTCTGCTAGGGTGACAGATGGCCTCACCTGTCACCCCCAGGCCTGCGCTTATGGAGGACGGAGGTCGTTCTGCGACCTCCGGCGCCTGAGTCGCCTGCGCTGCCTGGCCCGTGCCCGGGCCTGGCGGGCCGGGAGAGTTCTAAACCTCTCCCGGTCCCGCTCCGCCGTCTCCTTCGCGAGCATAACTTGCTCGCAGAAGGAGACGGCAGAGTTCCACGCACTCTCGCTCCGCACGATAGCCGCAATCAGGCTATCGAGCGAGAGAACTCCCACTCCGATGGCCGCCACGAGGTCTCGCCTCTGCTCAACCCACGCCGGGCACTCTGCCAGCGTGTGGAGAGCCGTGTCCACGGTCTGGCCATCGCAGTGGTGGCACTCAGGCGTTGGCTCCTTGCGGATCAGACACAGGTGATCTCCGAAACATCCCTTCCCAGTGATCACCTGCGTCAATCGGTATGAGAGGGTCCCGTGACGCCTCTCGAGCCAATCCTCCATAACGGGTCTTACCGCCGCAATGACGGCGTGCCCAGTATACTATATGCCTATATAAGTCTTACTTTACTTTTACTATTTGACAAAACAGAGATTGTTGCTTTTGTGTGTGTTGATCTATGACTTTAGGGTCTACATAAAAGACGATTTCAAACAATTTTAATTTTTTTATGAAATAAAGTGAGTTTGAGTTGGAGTATACCTGGCAGACTGCGGTCCAACTGCTGGTCAGGAACCTCAACAATATCTAAATAGAAATTGGAGTCTTCATGATCATACCCATTTCGCAACTATTCGTCTTGAGTGGGCATCGAACCGATAGCATCTGACTCAGCAATCAACATTACTAACCACTAGATAAACAGCCTAAATTATATAGTTCTCCATCATCATTATCAACAGCCTTTAAATAGTTCACTACTAGACATAGGCCTCTTAGTAAGGAGGTTTTGGCTTAGTATACCATGCTGGCCAGACGGGTTGTTATAGGGTTTGTTTCAAGTTTTCCTTCTCTTAGCAGTGCCTGCGTTGTTTGCTTCCTTAGTCGGCATTGGCAGTGACACTCTATTGTTTATCCGTCCCCACACAGATAATTTAATTGAACTGATATTTTAGGCAATAAAACTGTTACTCCTGGGCACCGGTGAGAGTGGAAAAACTACAATAATTAAACAAATGAAGATATTGCATGTTCAAGGATTCTCACTTAAGTAAGTATATTCATTAAACATCTATACTTCTTGCACCAAGAGATTTGCTTTGTTAGTGGACTCATCATCTCTGGAAATTAGACGTGAAGTGAAGCTAAACTCACGTGTAGTCTTGAGATCCGTATTTTATCAGTGCCTGTTTTAAATAATTGTTTGAAATGTCTAGTTTTTAGTTTTCTAAGGATTACATAATTTGTACGTTTTATAAGTAGGTCGACTATTACTCTTGAATTAACAGAGTTAACTCAGTCGCGATAACTTTTTTTCCAAATCTGTTATATATCTATACTAATATTATAAAGCTGAAGAGTTTGTTTGTTTGTTTTTTTGAACGCGCTAATCTCAGGAACTACTGGTCCGATTTGAAAAATTATTTCAGTGTTAGATAGCCCATTTATCGAGGAAGGCTATAGGCTATATTTCATCACGCTAAGACCAATAGGAGCGGAGCACCAATGAAGAATGTTTAAAAAACGGAGAAATTTTATTACTATTGAGAGACGCAGACGAAGTTGCGCGGGTCAGCTAGTTATTTATATTTGTAAGGCAACAGTTTAGCATATACAAGGGACACTTAACTCTCTAAAATAAGAACAAGGTAAAATCTTTAGGTAGGTAAATAGTAAATAGTTTACAGCCTCTCAATAGTTTTGAAAGATACCTATACGTATACCCCACGATACCTCATACTATAAAGCGATTTGTAACCGCCTACCGTGGTATCGTTGAACAAGCTCATAGCCATTTGAAGGCGGTAGGTATCCTAAAAAATATTTATCAAGATTTGGTTGTTGTAATTAATAGCTATGTAAAATTACAGCTTTCTAGTTTAACTAACAGTTTTTTAGCTAAGCCTGTGAGATATCTATAGGTAAGGTAAAAAAACATATTTTTTATAAATCATACGTTTTCTGGCAATTATCATTAAACACAATGCTTTATTTAGATATAATGAAAAACCTAGTGTCCTGCAAATCCTTTGGAAGTGTACAATCCTTTCATTCAGGTTATTTTAAAAGCACTAATAAAATAATTATGATAAACGCCTGCCTAAAAACTAATAGTAATACGCATATTCGCACAGAGAACGAGCGGAGAAGGCGGTACACATACGACACAATGTACACGAATCCATCTACGATATCCTGAGCAACATGCCTGCTCTCAGCATCCCTTTACAGAATCCTAAGAATATACAGTCACAGCATTATATACTAAAATGGGGGCCTAGTGGACCCCTTGAATACACAGAGGTGAGAAAAATAAGGTGGTTTTATCCTACAAATACAAATATACATAGAATATTTAAGTTTTAGGCACACTAGGGCGGCAATTGCTTTATTGGGTTTCGTCAATTATATTTCAAGGAAGATACGTTATGTAGATATTATATTTTATGTGGAACAAAACACTTACCTGCGGTATGATATTTTTTTATCTTTATTTAGGTACCTTTTTCGGAATACACAGGAAGGCATTTTATGAATTTTCTCGAATTAGTACGTGCGCTAGCTAGCAATGATCCTAATTAGGACCCCCGCGTTTTATGCGTTGGTGGCGTCTCTACCTCTTGTTTGTATAAAATATCATTGGGTTTCGCTGGCTTCGTAAATGTGCCGAGGTAAAGTCACGAGGGAATCGCGAAATTATTATAAAAATATTATTTTAAAATTGAACAAAGTATATGTTGAGAACCATTACTTTTAGACTAATTAAAATTATATGACCCGAATTATGTCTGCGTCATCAACCCAGACTTGCTTTTTCAACTGCTGGACACATCAGAGCAGCTGTTAAGTTTTCCTACTTTCCTAAAATTTTCTAACACAGCCGCAATTATTAATAAATATAAAATACTTGTGTATATTGTTTAATGATTTATTAAACGATTTATAAACCAAAACCTTCTTGCTAAGGAGAGGCCTATGTCCAGCAGTGGACTTTTAAAGGCTGTTGTTGATGATGATGATGATGATACAATAAAGAAAGAGGATACCAGATTTCTATTGGAATGGGAGCCAACCTTACCTTGAATATAGCTATAACAAGCTATATTCATTTCCTAAAAATAAACTTAGGTACCTGATCTTCCCTAACATTTAATCGTTCCGACTGTGGTTCATTGATTAAAATTTTCAGGCGCTATACTTACGTTAAAAGGGAGAATCTTATTTTAGCCAGAGACGGTAAATGAAAGTAAAAAAATGAGTTTATTCTTTATAAATGATCGTATCAATAATCTTCGTAAATGAAATATTTTATAAAATTTACAATCGAAATTTTGTACATAAAATATTATGATTTCAGGTTTATTTTGACCATGTGAGGGCATTATGGCGTGATGGCGGTGTCAGAGAATGTTTTAAGAGGGCTAATGAATATCAACTAATTGATAGTGCTGAATAGTAAGTATTAGTCCTATTTATTTATATATATATAGTGATGAAGTTAAACGCTGCGTTATAAAATATTAAAAAAATCTTCAAAACAGTGCCATATATGGTAGAAAAAAACCACATTCCCAGGCATATTACAAAATGTCTAATTTCATGATTTGTTAACGACATTTCTATTTGAATTGAGAAAACTGCCATCTAGTGTTAAAAAGTTACATTACAAGATTTTGAATCACAGATGTCTCTTTTTAAAAACCTTACCTTACTTTACCTTACTTAAATCAGTTTACCGTTTTCAGTTTTCTTGACAGAATAGATCTTATTGAGAAACCAGACTATGTTCCATCAGACGCTGATATATTGCGGTGTCGTCAGAAAACTACGGGGATACAAAAAATCGAATTCAAAGTGAAGGTAAGAAAGAAATTACAATAGGTTTGTTTGCGAAAAGAATAAGCAGACACATCGGCTTTATTTTCACTGTCTTTTGATTTACTTACGGGTATTAACGAGATCACGTACTAGGAATTGCATACCTTCGAATTGCCCCACTTCTGCTTGATTTCAAAGCGTTGATGGTAAATCTCATTATTTTATCACGTTTTTTATTGTTATTGTTTTACGTCCATTAGGTAATGTGTTTATGAAGTTTTATTATCCGTATGTTTTTCAAGTTTAAGTATAAATTTTAAGCACACATTTTCACGTAGTCAGGTTTTTTAATTTGCCTTTTTTTATTTTAAAAATATAATTTTAATTTGGTTTCCATTCCCTAAATTTATTACAGGTGCCAAAATCAATGCACGGTGGCGTCCAAGACTTCTGGATGTTTGATGTGGGAGGGCAAAGAGGGGAGAGGAAAAAATGGATACAGGTATTTTTAACCGACTTCAAAAAGGAGGAGGTTATCCATTCGGATGATTATATTTTTTTACGTATGTTCGGGTATAATAACTCCGTTACATATAGACGGATATAAATATAAAATATGACAGCAAATCCACCGCGATTGCTGTTAGGTTTTTAATGCTCTTTCTTAGTACTGTTTGAAGACGGTTCAACTTTTTTTAAACGGTTTTTCTTGTGTTTAATTTACATTTTATTTTCTTTTATCAGTGACCAGCAGGCCCATTTGATATTGTTTATCTTTAATTAGGTTCAGGACGTCAACTGGTATAGGTCCCATATAATCCCCATTAAAAAAAAAGTCATTTTGGTAGGTATTTGAGGGGATCAACGCAATATGGTTCTTGGTGGCGTGCAGCGACTTCGACCAGACTCTGAGGGAGGACAACACTCAGAACAGACTGAAGGAAGCCTTGGAGTTGTTTGGCGATGTGTGGCAGAGCAGGTAATAGACAAAATCCTTGGCTTAAGAATTACAGAAATTGTTTAAAGAGTATTTGAAGTAGGATCCATACAATTTAAATTACTCGCAATGACTGACTTATGCATCAACGCAGTGGCTAAACTGCTGGGGCTACAAACTGAAAACTTTGACAGCCGATGCTTTTTATATTGTAAACAGTCACTAAAAAATAATTTTGTTATTTTCATCCTAAGGGGGTAATAAGGAATGAACGGTTATGGGAAAGTTAGTTAATTTCAAAGTTAGATATACATGGGCGTAGCCACGGTGGGACAGGGTGGGGTACTTGCCCCACCCTGGCTCTGACCTGAAGGTACCTACGCAAACCTGAAAAATTAAATTATCTAGATACTAACCGTGTGGTGACGGATTAAGAATACAGAGTGTCACCACCCCTATTCATCCCGTGGGTGTCGTAAGAGCCGACTAAGGGAAAAAACTAAGCAGGACAACAGCACTGCAGAGAGAAGGAAACTTGACACAAACCCTTTACCAACCCGTCTGGCCAGCGTGGTATAGCAGGCCAAAACCTCCTTTCTCAGGAGAGGCTTATGTCCAGCAGTGGACTATTAAAGGCTGTTGATGATTGATGATGACTAACTACAATACTTAATATCCGTAAGAAAGTTCATACTCGACAGTCGACACAAAAAAAGCGATCAAAAACAAAAAGCGCGCGCGATTTACCTTACGCGCGCAGCGGTTGGTGACATGCGTTACACAAAGGACTTGTGCCCCACCCTGAGCCCATGGCTAGCTACGCCCATGTAGATATACGAAATAATTACGCGAGAGGAGCCACGGGCAACAGCTCGTCTATTATAATGTAATAACTGAAGTGTTTTTTTTTAAACTAATCTCTTGAACAGCTCAGATTTTAGTTATACTTTTTGTATCTTTTTTTGGATAGAGTATTTAGTGAGGAGTTATATAAGCTATGAACACTACAATCTATCTGTGTACAAAACTTCATCCAGATCTGTTTAGCCATTGTACTGTGTAAAAAGCCATCATCCATCTACCCAAACTCTTGCATGTATGATGACTAGGGCCCACGGACGACACGCTAGATGAGGTATCTGGGGCTCGTACTCGATGGCCGATCTGACTTCAGACTTCATTTTCGAAGTCTGGTCCCCAAGTTGGTTAGAACAGCGCGGTTGCTACCTAATATGAGGGGACCCGATGACTCTTGCCTGACCCTTTATGGGGCCCCAGTATGGACGGAGACCTTGAAGGTCAGCAACATCGCATTACTGCGACGACCGCAGCGAGTACTGGCCATCAGGGTTATAAGGGGATACTTTTTAATTTATTTAATGCTTTATTTATATAGGCATTCTCTGCCAGTTTACCTTGGGGTGGTGTAGAAATGAGACCTATTTCATAGCGTTTTATGAATTCACCGTCCGGGTGCCGGGTCCATCGCGTGATAGATTGGGTCAACACACGCGACTTCGACAGCGCCGGGGACTTGCGATCCAGGAATAGGTTTAGGTGTAGGATTAGGTGCACTAAATACATACACATACAAGACTTGATCAAGGAGTACATTTACACGAAAGGCAAAAAAAACGGGGGTAGAAACAGGGAATATATAAATATTGTTTAGCCATACACATTTTTCTTGTATGTATTTTTCAATGCTAAATCATAACAAAATAAAAATTAAAAAAATTGTCAAACAAAAAATATTTACTCTCACTCTTATCATTTCGGGGTATGAAAAATAGATGTTGGCCGATTCTCAGACCTACCCGATATGCACTTAAATTTCATAAAAATCGGACCAGCCGTTTCGGAGGAGTTTGGTAACAAACACCGCGACACGAGAATTTCATATATATGAAGATTTACATGTCCATTCAGACACATACATATATACAAATATACACGGTGATTTTTTAGGCGTTTTGGAAACGAAACATTTTAATTTGGAATCATCTATAGTATCAATAAAAATGATTAAATCAATTGTAATGTTGTCTAAAAAAAAGTTTCAGTTTTAATATTTATTTTTACTTGATCGACTTGGAAAGTAGTAATGGACTGATCATTCATTCATTATCTTATATGAATGAAACACGTCCGTGGGCGTTTCGGCGGCCGCGGCGCACCGCTGACGCTAACAGCAGCTGATAAAAGTATACCTAGGCGCGAGCTAGCGAGTACTTACGTAGATAGACTCCAATTTGTCCTTCATACTTTACACGGGCTTAGGATCGTCGGAAATACCTATTTTATTTAAACTTTTTTTCGATTATTAACCACGATTGTTCTTTTCACAACAAATCAATTTATCAACGGACTGTAGGTATAAATATTTCAAGCGTATTTAAAAAATCGGAGCTATCTACAGAATAATTAACTTACATACCTATTTACACTATTTACACTTCTCTGTATCGAAGCAACTGCTCAAAATGGAGTCCGCTGCATTCAATACACAAACGTCCACGTTTAATGCAATTGTTTTTTAATTTTCTTAATGTGTCTCTATCACTTTTCACTTTATCAAAAGCGTCCACTATCGCAATGCGTAAATTATCACGGCTTTCATATTCCCGTGTATAAACAAGTATTTTTATTTCCGACCATAAGAAAAAATCCAGGGGCGTTAAGTCCGGGCTTCTAGGTGGCCAAGGCACTGGCCCTCCTCGACCTATCCACCGATCACTAAACTCATTGTCCAGGTATGCACGCACTACACTCCGGCGAAAAATAATTTAAACGTCCTTGACCTTGCGCGTGAGTATAGTATTTCTATTCGTAGTATTTACCTACTTGCGATTGAAAAGCCCTACTACTGGTTCTCACCTTTTGTCTGTAATCGATATGAATATCGACTTTGATGATAAAATATATATATATTTTATTAAATTAACGTTATATATAGCTTCTGTTACTGATAAATAACTCAAAATTTTCTTTTCCAAAACGCTTTCAAAATCACCGTGTATATACATAATGTACATAATTCATATAATATTAATACCATGACGATGTATATGTATATCCCTTGAATGAATGACGACTGGGTGCCATTCTGATTTTCTGGGGAAGAGCGTTCCAGAGAAGGACAGATTGAATGAGGAAAGAAGAATGAACACACGCGGAAGTATAACAGAAGAAGAATATTTGTGGAGCGAAGGGTTCTGTCATGATTAGAACACAAGAGTTGGAAGGAAAATGTCAAGTAAGTTGGTGAAATAGCTGAATTGAGAATAGTATGAAGAGTGGTCAGGGCGCGCAGGTGACGGCGCTGACAAATCGTGAGCCAATTTTGCTTAATGCGGAAGGAGGACCCATGGTCAAATTTACGGAGATTAAAATTAAATCGAATGCAGTTATTCAGAAGTCGGTCGTATTTTTTAAGGAGGTCTGCATTCAGGTCGTAGTAGCACACATTACCATAGTCGATAATGGGGATAATGTCTGTACCAACATTGCTTTTGTCTCCGAGGGAAGAAAGTTCTTGAGTCTGTATAAGGCCCGCAGGGATACCGCACGATCTCCTTTGAGCCCGGCCTTCCTGGCCGAAACTCCACCGTGGGACCTGTAGGCGAGAGCCCTTGCGGCTCTCGCCTACAGGTCCTACAGGAGTCCTGACGCTCGAGAAATCGAGGACCAGAAATCCTAACTCCGCCAGGTCCTCGTGGAGGAGTGGAAGGAAAGACTTGGGCAACCGAGCGCCGGGCATGCCGTTATCGCGGTGGTAAGACTCGTTGTGAAGAAATGGCTCGAGAGTCATCACGGAACCCTCTCATGCCGGCTGACGCAGGTGATCACCGGGAAAAGATGCTTCAGAGATCACCTGTGCCTGATCCGTAAGGAGCCAATGCCTGAGTGCCACCACTACGATGACAGGACCGTAGACACGGCGCTCCTCGAACGAGGACCGGGAGAGGTTCAGAACTCTTCAGGCCCTTGAACAAGCCAAGGCACTTGCAACCCTCTGAGTCCCTCCCTCATAGAATCAGCAAAAAGGGGTTCGGGCTACGGTAACCTCTCTCACTCGGTGAAAAGCAACGAAAAAACTGCTTAACACCGGTTTTCTGTGAGACCATGGTATCACTCCGGTCGAGCCGACCCATTTGTGCCGAAGCATGGCTCTGCCATGGTAGTTTTTAGGAGTGACTGGAAAGGTAAAGTACAATTTGAATAGAACTGAAGAGTGGTCTTCCTTTTTTCTCAGGTTTCTCCTGGAGGCCGGTCTGATAGTCTTCTTAAACAAGCAGGACCTCCTCGAAGCGAAAGTGTCCCAAGGTCGGAGCATAGCGCCTTACTTCCCTCAGTATGGCCAGTTCAGCGCTGCTGGAGACGAATACACAAGGACCAAGATGTTTATTAAGAGTTTATTTATGGTAAGATTTTTGTCTATAGTAAATCAACAGGCTTGTCTAATGGGAAGCAGTTACCGGCGCTTGTATGCATTAGTAACTCATTGTAATATCGTTACGGCTGTCTAAAATAATAAAAAAAAACGCCTGTAAAAAATATACCTCTGGAGGTCAAAGAGTGGATTGACGAACGCCAACTCTATTAAGTTGTGTTATACAAGGTGTAAGGAACATCGTACCGAATACTGAAATAGTGTATTCAGATTCTGAGTCGAAAATCATTGAAATTTTCAAAAAAATCATTTTTTTTTTATTTTCCATTTTTCTGTTTAAAAATGATATCACGATGACTAGACAGAACATTTTACTGAAAACAATTTAATAAATTCCAACAAACTGCAATGTAATTAATCAAACAGCCGAAGCGCGCAGGGCCTCCCCTCTCGCTTTTGTGTTAGTGTCCCCCCTCCTCCTCCCCATATTGTGTTTGGTTGCGTAGACGGCGCGATACCTACGGGGAATGACCTTAACCTTTGACAGCTGATTGCATTGAGTTAAAACAACACTAGAGAAGCAAACCTCATTATCACACGTCGAAAAAAGTGTAACCACTTTTGAACTTTGACGACGTAGCTTTGATACCACGAAACATTTGAAAGTAAACATATTTATGTCTCATTTACACGCGAAACAAGAACAATACCATCGCTCTGATTAGACAAAGACAAAGACATAACTTTACGATGGTGGGCCAGTGTTGACTACCGTATGAAATTTTACCCATAAGAACCAAGAAACATTTTTTTTTAAAACAATTTTGTAATAAAATAAATTAATTTAAATATTTTAAATAATATATTTCGAATTGAATGGAATAGGTATAAATAATAAAATAACTAGAAATATTTGGTTAAAAGGGTTTATATTCAGTGTAAAATCAAACTCCGCTATGAAGCATCAGTTTTGTATACAATTGTCTTTAGACTCTTTTTTATAAGTTTGTGTGAATATTTTACTTTCATGATACAATCTTATTTTTACCTATGTATAAATAATGGCATTTAATAGTAAAAGTGAATGATCAACTTGTACTGATAATAAATAATCCCCAGGGTGTATTGCAAATTCTTTTAATATTTTAAAATACAAATTAAAAAAAAAATATATATATATATATATTTTTTTTTATATTTTTTTATTTATATTTTTTTTATATATTTTTTTTTTGTACAATCGTTATTTTTATTTGATAATTAATTAAGAAAAATGAATGAATGAATTAATTAATTCTTTTATACAAAAGTCTCCAGCACTGCGAGCTTGGCAGAAGGTGAACGTTCAACGGGTCCCTAAAAAGAGTGATCGATTCAGCCCTAACAACTACCGTTCTTCCTATATTTTATTACTATTGACAAAATGTTTAAAAACAGTATAAAGCATATTATTTCATAAATTATAAATTCTCCCACTAATGTGGGAAAACAAAAATGATTTTTTAATGGTAACACTGATTCTAAATTACAATTATCAATGTTTTATTTCAATTATAGCCTTATTTACGATATTATCAATACAAAAACCATAAACTTACACGTGATAAGTAATTCCGCATGATTTATTATGGTTTTGTGACCTTGAATCGCATTCTTTCACTACGCATTTACCCATTTTGGCGATTGTTACTGTCATGTGTCGCTATGTTCAACTCGGTTGACGCCACATTGAACACTGAATTGACGTTTGCTACGCATATGCCTGTGGACAGATGTGCAGTAGCAACGATTTTAGGCGGTAATTACTCATCTATGTAAGTATTATATCAATGGCTGATTGCATAAAAATAATAATTTTCCGGCAGAAAATTCCAATGATTTACGACTCAGAATGATGGTCTGAATACACTATTTCAGTATTCGTTACGACGTCCCTTACACCGTGTATATGTTTACGTCAGACAATTCATCTCCTTTAAAAGTCTGTACGATAAAAGTTCAAGTTACACTGGCTAATGTAATAAAACAAGTCACTCAAATTGACGAACGTTGACCGCCAAGCGTCTTCTTTTATACTTAAATTACTATATTTGAACTCAGAATAATGATCTGAATACACTGCTTCGATTTTCAGTACATCGTCCCTTACATCCTGTATTTTTAGTTATCTGTAGTGTCTAGTCTAATGCTGGCTGTTTGCACTCACCAACCAACAAAAGAGCTCCCTGTTCAAATAACCTAATAAGGTTCTTAGTTTAAAATCAAAAATATTTCGTCTGAGTCCTAAAATGTGACATCTTAAAGTACAGCCTTAGTTGTCCTTCATTATCAATTTAATGTTTTTATGTTTTCAAATCACTATTAAATTCTTATAAATGATTTGACCATAGCTAAGTATGACGTCACATCATAAAATTGCATAAAAAAATGTAGGATCTTTATGGTAGTTGTATGTTTGAGTTTCAAAAGATTTAAATTGACAGCCATCTAACCCATTATATTAACTCACCTCTTCCAGGAAATACTAACAAAGAAGCGCGAACGCCGTCAGCCAAATGCTTCGGAGCGCTTCATAGTCGGCGAAGCAACTCGCTCGAGGGAATGCTACTTCCACTTCACGACCGCCACTGACACTGACAACGTCAGGACGGTCTTCCGAGACGTCCACCAGATCATCCTGACACAGTTGCTTAATAATATTGGAGTTTACTGATGATAAGACTTAACCCGGCGCCATCCGCGTTTTGTCATAATGACCCGAACATAATGACGGGTATCTTCAAAATAAGTTACGTTACATATTGATTTTTGTTATAGCTTGGAATAAGACTTTGTGTTATTAGATTTGCAGTGTATCTAAGTAATTGTGCGTTTATAACGAGATCTAGACGTCTACGAAGTAAAAAAAAGGTAAATTTGACCCAATGTCGCATTAAACTAAATCCAGACATCATCTCTTCATGTCTGCACGTCAGAGGTTCGGCATAACTAAATGTTGGACCCGAGAAGGTATTATTCACATTGCGGGTCCTGGCGATAAAAGGCATCGCATAACAACACTTGGTGAACTGGACGCTATCGATGATGATGTGGTGAAGCCAGTAGCTGCTGCCAAAACAACAGTGAGCAAGACCAGGCGTGCCGCTAAAAAATAATAGTACTGTATTTGTTTTGGTCACCCAACTGTTTGCGATTGTGTGCATGCTTGGTTTGTCACATAATATTCACTTCAACCGAAGGGACCTTCACACTGTATATTTACTGTACCTACGTCATATATTGGTTGATTGCATACCCTATTTTCTATTAATTTTCTAAAATATGTAATTGTTAAGATCACAAGCATAGAGGAATATTGTGGTACGTCAAACTAAGCTGTCATTTGTGACAACAGGATTGCGTTCCGGTTCATATCCTTTAATAGATTTCACATGATTTGGATACCAGCCTTTTAGAATTATAATTACCTACTTCCTATTTATTTCTAAACTAGTGTTTCTATTTTTATTTTCAGTTAAAAAATATTTGGACGCAATCTTGATTTAGTTCTATGATGCTACATTAAGCAAACTTTTCTTTCATTAATCTGTTTATTATTATAAAAACATACAGCCGGCAGACGGATAAATTGGGGAATTTTATTAATATTTTATACAAGTTAAACGTATTTTTCTTTTTATTTTCTTTTTTTAATATTTATATATTAATTAACTTATTTAAATTAAACCTTTCTTTTCGTTCTTTATATATATAATATATACTAATGACGTCACACGTCACTAATAGTGACACTGACGAATATTTTTCGGTATCCAGTGACGATGCTAGTTTCGTTAGTGTTCCTTCACTGGCAGACACTATCTCGAATCAATTCTCTGATGTCCCAAGGAATTTCAATGTCGTTCATATAAATGCCCAAAGCATTCCGGCACATTTCTCCGAAATGCTGACAACCTTCGACTGTACGAATGTCCACGCAATTCTCGTATCAGAATCGTGGCTAAAGCCATGCCTCTCCACGGTATCGTACTCATTACCAGGTTTTCAGCTGGTAAGGAATGATCGTATTTGTGGACGTGGCGGTGGAGTTGCCATGTATATCCGATCTCACATTCCTTTCTCCATAGTAAATATGTCATCTCAGCCCCCCCCCACAAATGCTGGCGAGCATTTATTCATTGAAATCTCACTCCAAAACACAAAACTACTTCTCGGTGTATATTATAGTCCCTCCTTACGAGTAGACTATTTTTCTTCACTTGAAGTTCTGTTAGAAAACCTAACCCCCTCGTACAGTCATACTATAGTCATGGGTGACTTTAACACCTGTTTATTGAAAAACGATTCTCGTTCTGCCACCCTTCGATCTGTTATTAAATCCAGCAATCTTTCGATTCTTTCACTTAATCCTACACACAATTTGCCTAACCGTAATTCATCTCTCTTAGACCTCATCCTTGTATCCTCTGTAGAGCACGTGGCTAAACATGGCCAGTGCCCTGCAGATTCGTTTTCCTATCATGATCTTCTCTTTCTATCCTATATCATTCGTACTCCTAAACCTAAAGCTAAAATAATCTCACACCGTAATTTTCGAAATATGAATGTCGAAAATCTTCGCAGAGATGCTGACAACATCGACTGGAGTCCACTTTTTAACTCCCAATGTGTTGACGAAAAAACAGACATCTTTACAAATAATTTAATGTACTTGTATGACAAGCATGCGCCGATGCGACAAATAAAGGTAAAACATCTCCCTGCACCTTGGCTTACTGGCGAAATAAAGGAGATACAGAGAAAGAAAGTAAGAGCTCAATCGAAGTATAAAAGTCACCCTACAGCATCAAACTGGGCAAAATTTGTGCTTATTAGAAATCACTGCAATAAGATGTGTAGGAACGCTCAGCGCCGACATATCCACAAATCGGTTGAAAACGGTGACCCAGTTAAGGTCTGGAAGTTTCTTAAGTCCTTGGGAATCGGCAAGTCACGTCCAAATTGTGCTTCAAAAGATATTGATATTGATTCCCTGAATTCATATTTTTCTGCTGCCTCCGTTTACAGAGCGGCTACCAAGACTACGACGCTGAATTATCTTTCTTCTCTGCCGATTCCTGACTGTTCCCCATTCTTTTTTAGTCAATTTGCTGCATGTGATGTAAGGAAGAGCATTATGTCAATAACTTCTACTGCAGTAGGAAGCGACAGTATCAGCCGTAAAATGGTTCTTCCTATCCTGGATGAGATCCTACCTGTAATTAGCCATATTCTCAACTATTCCATATCCGTCAACGTTTTTCCTTCTGCATGGAAAATGGCTCAAATTATTCCTCTCCCCAAGAAATGTAATCCGTCCTCCTTTTCAGATTACCGTCCCATATCTATCCTTCCTTTTCTTTCCAAAGTCCTCGAGCGTCTCATTCACACACAGTTAACCTCATTTCTTTCAAGAAATTGTCTCCTCAATCCTTTCCAGTCAGGTTTCCGTCCAGGTCATAGCACTACAACAGCTCTAGTCCATATTACGGACGATGTTAGGTCAGGCATGGACGAAGGAAAGCTAACGGTCTTTGCTTTACTCGACTTCAGCAACGCCTTCAACACTGTGGATTTTGATGTCTTGCTGGGTACATTGTGCTCTCTTAACATATCTCCATCGGCAATTGACTGGTTTCGTAGTTACCTGTACGGTCGCCAGCAGCGTGTTTGTACTGAAAACGTTTATTCTTCTTGGCTCACAACATCTGCGGGCGTACCTCAGGGCGGCGTGTTATCACCTTTACTTTTCGCAGTTTTTATTAACTCAATCACAAATCAATTACTGTCTTCCTACCATCTTTACGCAGATGATCTCCAAATCTACTCACAAGCTACTCCAGATAATTTAACAAAAGCAGTGGATGCCATAAATAGAGACTTAATGCAAATATGTAACTGGAGTAGGGAGTATGGCCTAAGCGTAAACCCCACAAAAACACAGGTGATTATTGTAGGTAGTCCCAGGCTACAAGCTAAAATAAACTTTCAGCAAATACCATTTGTTTGTTGCAATGGCTCGGTTGTACCTTACAGTGAAAAGGTAAAAAACTTGGGGATCCACATGGATAGGTACCTATCCTGGGGCCCCCAGGTTGGAGAAGTTAGCCGAAAACTATTTGCAGCGGCAGGATCTCTGCGAAGGCTACGGAACTTCCTTCCCACCTATACTAAAATTGCGCTCGCACAATCTCTTCTTCTTCCTATCCTTGACTATGGCGATGTCAGCTATCTGGATCTCACCGAAGACCAACTGAATAAACTTGAGCGACTCCAAAACCTATGTATTAGATTCATATTTGGATTACGCAAATATGATCACATCTCAGAGTATCGTTTTAAACTCAAGTGGCTACCAATACGCTTTCGCCGGAATCTTCATATTCTTTCTCTTTTATACAGTGTTCTGTTTCATCCTCGCACACCCTCTTATCTCAAAGAACGTTTTCAGTTCTTACACAACACACATTGCAGGGACCTAAGGTCATCGGAGAATTTAAAACTAAAAATGCCGCAACATTCCACCCAGTTTGCTGACAAATCTTTTACTGTGCAAGCAGTAAGACTTTGGAACAACTTGCCTTTGGCAATCCGGCAAGCTAAAACCTTGCCCGCTTTCAAAAAGCTAGTGAAGGATTTTTATCTGACATTATAAATACTGTTGGTTTCTTTATATATGGTATATATTTCGGACAGTATATATATATGTTGTGTGTATGTCTATTGAATATGTATATATATGTATATATAAATATGTATATGTATATTTATAAATTTTGTTTATGTATGTGTGTATGTATGTATGTATATGTATTTATCTATGTGTAGTGTGAACAGGTGTTTATTGTGTATGGATGCTTTTGTTTATATTTTAAATATTCACGTGATATGCGTTATGTGTATGTAAACTACTCAACTTTTAAATAACAAATATCCGTATCAAGATTGTCTGGAAGAGATCGCCGTGAGCGATAAGACCGCCGATTGTTAAGTCTATATATTTGTAATGTCTTATGTGCTAATTTGTAAACAATAAAGATATAAATAAATAAATAAATAAATAAATGTAACAATTTTGTGCCATTGTAATGGGACTTTTACTCAAAGAGCGTAAACTGACAACTGAAGGTACTGTACGCAGCTAAAAACGTTAGGTTACGCCAGAATGTGATGAACTATGTCAAGGTATCAAGGTAAATGCCAGCCTCGTCGAATCAAATCTTACAAACGAATATTAGTTTTTCAAAATATTTCATAGATTACCACTTAACATGCTCAAAAGAATCAGGGAATTCAGAGGCGAAACTCCTGACGAACCACCAACTAAGATTCCAGGTGTTCGCAGAGTTCCAAAAATGCCCAAGAAAAAGGACAAAAAGACTACTCATACCTGCCATGAATGGCAGAAGTTTATATGTCAAACAACAACAACAACACGTAATTCCCTTCTGCGCACAATGTGCGAACATAACTATTGTTAGGTTCATGCTGACGTCATGATTATAATTTTAGTGATTATTTAATTAAAGATCTTAGTCTTATTTATGTTCATGAACTATATTATGAGCAAAATGTTTTATATTTTTAAGGTCAAAAGGAAGATGACTTATTATTTTTGTTATATTTTTATAGTATCTTTAAAATACCAGAAATAAATGTTTTTAGTTCATATTTTTTGTTATTTTTTTATACCAATGTGTAAAAAAATATTATCTTTTTCTAAAACCCAGGTATGTATTAAGATTTTGAGTTAGTTTCCAAAATAACCTATTTTCTAAACGCCTAATTTTGACCCAACGAGGATGTTCGTGTTTTTCCACCTTTTTTTTTCCGTGCGGAAATTCCCTCGGATACCTCCTGTCAGTGGCATGTCGGACTCGAACCGACTAAAACCGCACGCCGTCTCTGGTACTAATAGCCGGGGAACCAGGTATACCCTAGAAAGGCAGTCCCTGGTGCCCCGACATACCTCGGGTCATCTACAGACGAGTAGACGACCCCCTCCCCCGTGTGGGAACCCTATGTTCCCTGTGCTCCCTGGAAGCGAGCGCGCTTCGCAATGCGCTCGCCGCCACCCCGGCCTGCTTCTGCTAGGGTGACAGATGGCCTCACCTGTCACCCCCAGGCCTGCGCTTATGGAGGACGGAGGTCGTTCTGCGACCTCCGGCGCCTGAGTCGCCTGCGGTACCTGGCCCGTTCCCGGGCCTGGCGGGCCGGGAGAGTCCTAAACCTCTCCCGGTCCCGCTCCGCCGTCTCCTTCGCGAGCATAACTTGCTCGCAGAAGGAGACGGCAGAGTGCACCTGGATGGCGTCGGGTTAAAGTGTTATCATTGACATAGATTGCAAAAATATTATTAATCTATGCTAATATAATAAAACTGACAAGTGTTTTTATTGGCTGTCTCTGGATTTAAACTGACGTGAATTAAAATGTGAAAAATAGCTACATGCTAACATTAGGTATATCTTTTTACGAAGAGTTTACCCAGACTTGAAAAAAAAACGACATATCAATGACTTCAGTGCGCGTGATGACTTCAATCGCATGATAATAATTGGTAATAAGCAGTATTCTCCATCTCTTAGATTAAAACCCTTAGAGGTTGATTTTGTTTCAAATTTAAATGTTAACTACGTTGAGTATGACCAATTCAATTCAGGAATGTAGCCTCGAGCCCGTCAAGGTTATACACCTATAGGTAACAATTGTTTTTAAAGTTTAGACTTTATTTTTTTATATAATTTTGTAGGTAAGGTTAAGGTTATCTTTGTAATATTAAACGGTATGTTGAAATAATAACATTTAAGAATATTGTATTTTTTTTATTACTTAGCAAGTTTTTAAAAAGCAAGCAGTTAGATATTCTGCAACAAAAAAGGGACCTATTAAAACAGATAACTAAGGTCAATAAAATAAAAGTCTTGAGCATTCAATTGAATTTAAAGAAAGCATTTTCGTTCAATTCAAAGCTTTGAAAGACCAGTTTCTTCTGTGATGTTTTGCGGAAGAATCAAACGGAGAGATCTAAATAATCATACCTTTGATCTTGTTTTTGTTTTGTTTAGTTGTTTTCGAATGAGGGTAAAATGAAAATTTTGTGCGAATGTGTGTGATAAAAAAACTTTAAATTCAACTAATCTCTTAATATAAATAAATAAAGATATATGTATATGCAATTATATTTTTTTACAATAAAACGAGTAACAAATCATCAAATCCTTTATTTACAATCATATTTAACAATAAATAATTTCAAAAATAAAATTCATTATTTTTATTTATTCAAACCTTCGTTGGGGCGGTTTTTTCTCGGCTCTTGTAATACATGGTGATCGCCTTAGTTGCTTCGATGTTCGCGTGTGTTGCTAGCTCTCCGGGAATTATTAGTCTTATTGCTGACTGGATCTCTCTACTGCTCATAGTTGTTTTTTTACTGTGGGCAACTAATCTTCCCGCTTCGACGGCGATTCTTTCCAACGTGTCGTTCACAAAACTATTCATGATGACCATTGATGTTCTTGATATACGCATTGGTTCTTTTGCTATAGTTTTTAATAGCTTGTAGATATAAATGGCGAAACCCAGGTAATTCTTCTTTTTATTCTTCTTCGATTTTGATATTGGTTTTTCAATGGCTTTTTCCATGGATTTAAGCGGTTTCTTTGGTCCTTTCACTGGCGCCATTTTGTCTGGTTCTAAATTTGATTTTGTCAATAATAACAACGTCAATTATGTTTGACATTTGAAACAGGACCGTCTAAATAAATTTACGGAGTGGCGCAAGTTGTGGGTAGTGGAAGGAGTGGCATCAATTTATTCAATGAAAACAAGCACATTTATCAGGAATCAATATCTATGGAAATCAATATTTTTTGTCAGACAGATAATTTTAGGAAACAAATCAGGAACCACCTCAGGAACAGTTGACCTATTACGGGATAGACATATTAATTAATGTTAAAAATGTCATCAATATATTAAATACACGTAAAAAACGCTTGTACCTTTTTAAAACAAATAGGGCGCACGAAAGCATCTTATATTTGGAATACTTGATATTGATATGTAGAACATAAGGCCCCGCCTTTTCATCATCATCATCAACAGCCTTAAATAGTCCACTGCTGGACATAGCCCTCTTTTGTCCGTGGCTTGTTTTAGCCTACTATACCACGCTGGCCAGGGTTTGTTTCGTTTTCCTTCTCATTGCAGTGCTGTCATCCTGCAGGGTTTGCTCCCTTAGTCGTCTCTTAACACACCCATGGGATAAATGGGGGTGGTGACACTCTGTATTCTTCATTCGTCGCCACACGGACAACCCGCCTTCGGACCCCGCAAGCAGTCGGAGCCTATGATCTTAATATGCTCGTGTACACTCTGTAGAAATTTGTATGAAATGATAAAGTATTACGTCATACCCAGCTATCGTCAAATCATTTTCTTAATGTTTGAGTATAGGTATATTTAAAAGTAATAACTAACAAATTCTTATATATGACATAAAATGCAATATAGGCAACTATGTAATTTGTATTACCTTACTGTAGGTAGGTTTTATTTATTTTAATCAGTAATATCTATTGCTGATATTGATATGATTATTACGAATCAACCAAACAATTTAAACATACCTACATAAAGCCAAGTTATCATATCACTGGCCATATATAAACCGAGAAAGATACAAGTAGGCCGCATTCTACACAAATTCTTTCACACTTGCGTTAAAAAAAAATCGAGATGTCAGGTCGAGGAAAAGGCGGGAAAGGTTTAGGAAAAGGTGGCGCTAAACGTCACCGAAAGGTGTTAAGAGACAACATCCAAGGAATCACTAAGCCCGCCATCAGAAGATTAGCAAGAAGAGGAGGTGTAAAAAGAATATCTGGATTAATTTATGAAGAAACCAGAGGTGTTCTGAAGGTGTTTCTGGAAAACGTCATCAGAGACGCTGTCACGTATACGGAGCACGCAAAACGAAAAACTGTGACTGCTATGGATATCGTTTATGCTTTAAAGAGGCAAGGGCGAACACTGTACGGTTTTGGTGGTTAATATTTTAATAAAGTTTATTTTATATAAATAAATGTTGAGTTTGTAGTTTGATTTTATTTTGACAAGGCCCTTTTCAGGGCCGCAAATTTGTTTTGTTTCTTCGAGCAGATAAGTCATAATAATTTAAATATATCTACTTATTTATATTACATACCTAGCGGATAGGACTTATATAATAGGTCTTTACCTATGAAATTGCCGTTTTGTATGCAATAAGTGAAAGTACTTATTTTTTCAAACTTTTTTATTTCTGTTATTCGAAGTAATCACCCATGCAATCGACGCATTTTTGCCAACGCATTGGCAGTTTATTGATGCCCTTCTTGTAAAAATCAGCTGGACGGGAGGCAACAAACTCTTCAAAGGCATTTTGTACTGCCTCTCGGAAATTGAATTTTTTACCCACTAAAAAGTTGTCTAAATTTTGGAAAAAGTAATAGTCGGTAGGTGCAAGGTCTGGTGAGTATGGCGGATGAGGGAGAGCTTACAACCCCAGCTCTTGCAGCTTGGAGACTGTCTGTTGCGCAGTATGGGGTCGCGCGTTGTCGTGAAGGAGCAGTGGGGACGACCGATTGCATGCAAAACGGCAATTTCATAGGTAAAGACCTAATATATATATATATTATCTACCTACTAATTATATAAAGAAAGATAGATTTATATATGTTTTAAAACTAAACCTAGAAATTAAAGAAAAAGATGACATTATTTTTACACTTAAGAGACAATGAATATTCAATGTGGGTAGTTAAAAATTGTGTCTCACGGACTGCATATTTTTCTATGATACGGAAACATTCATATTATTCGTTATGAAGTCATTGATTGATGTTATAATACTTCAGTTTAATTGTTATTGTAAATTTTCAACTCATTTATAAAAACAATTAATAAATAATAATAATTAACAGACTACTTTGGTAACTACAGTAAACTTTGGTACATTTTTAAAAATTGCACTGCGTGCTATTTGCCAGTGGGTGCTAAGCCGAGTCCCCACTGCAATCGCAATGATGACAGGTGGGACTCCATTCCCTCCTAGCGATCGAGTGCAAATAATGCAATCAGCCGTGCCCGGAAAGGACCTGCGTCAGTCGGAAAGGGTCCCGTGCTGCCGCCCTGCCCACTCAACGACGACTAGCTGGTGCGCCTCTACGACTGCAAAGACAGTCAGCCTCCAGCCGGGACGACCAACGAGCCATCGTTGCTCAGCGATTCAGACCCTCGATTTGCCCAGTCGTACCCACAGTAGTTAGTTCCACAGGAGGGACCTAAGACCAGAGCCCTCTAAAACACCGCACGACATAGTCTGACGAAGTCTTAAACTTGAAACAAACCCAGGTAGGGTTTGGTTCAAGTTTGAGACTGATATAACCGGGTTGGTTATATCAGTCTGGCCAGCGTGGTATAAGGCAAAAACCTCTTTTCTAAGGACAGGCTATGTCCAGCACTGAGGTAGGTATGTGCTGCAGGGCTCTTTCATGTTTTAGGTCTTTAGGTCTAGGTTGCAGTTTGAGATTATATTTTACTGCACATTTTATGTTCGTGTTGTCTGATTAAACTGATTAACAATATCAAGCATTTTTTGTTATATAAAATCTTAAGCAAAATTTAAAGATCCAGTGATCATTAAAATTTTATATAACAACAACTGGTATTTAAAAAACCTAAACCCATTGAGTTAAAACAGCACGTAAGTAAATATTATATCAATGCCTAAACCTATTAAAAAAAGTTTTTACTACCCTCACTTAACCAACATCGATTGTGTAAACCTATATAAACCACAGACAATCATCTTCTCTGTAACTGTCATCGAAACTTTCAAGAGCTTTGACGTACAAAAATGGCGCGAACAAAGCAGACTGCACGAAAATCAACCGGAGGAAAAGCTCCAAGAAAACAACTTGCTACAAAAGCGGCAAGGAAAAGTGCTCCAGCTACTGGAGGGGTGAAGAAACCTCATCGATACCGTCCAGGAACAGTAGCTTTACGAGAAATTCGAAGATATCAAAAGAGTACAGAATTGTTAATAAGGAAACTGCCATTTCAACGGCTCGTGCGAGAAATTGCTCAAGATTTTAAAACTGATTTAAGGTTTCAAAGTTCTGCGGTCATGGCGCTTCAAGAAGCAAGTGAATCATATTTAGTTGGGCTATTTGAAGACACTAATCTTTGTGCTATCCACGCTAAGAGAGTGACTATAATGCCTAAAGATATGCAATTGGCTCGTCGAGTGCGCGGCGAGAGGGCCTAATGGTTCGCTGCTTGACAGTTAGGTAGCAATTACCAACTCATTTTGACAAAGCCCTTTTCAGGGCTGCATTATATGTTTCTGAAATGAACTGAAGTCAATAAAAAAAACATTTGAGTTTACATGGAATCTTAAGTAAATCAGCGTTAACGAAGCTCTGGCTAGCTTTTAATTTGTTTTTATTCAAAATGGCGCGTGTTCGAATACCATCCGTAGTACACTATAGATCTAACATAATCATATAAAGCTTAGCGTATTGATTTGATTTTAATTTAATATTAGATATTCGTACATACCTATTGTCCACTTATAAAGGAACCCTCTTTTAAAGAATAATAAAGATAAAATAAATAAAGTTTAAATGTTTAAGATATTCGGTTTAAGATATTTATTTCCTCTTCTCTCCTCTTCCCCTTATATTGAGAAATATAAATTATGAACTTGATAGTAAACTTATAATCCACGATCGTATTTGACCGTGTCACCAACCATTGCACTCATAGCAAATTATACAACTAAAATGTGGGTAGGTACATTAAATATAAAGGTGCCGGGTCGAATTACGTTTCGATGTCTGATAGCCAGTGGGTTTTGTACAATTGCAATCGTGATGCTAAAAACTAGAAAACTTTTTTATAAGTTGTTTGTTTGTATTCCTTTCATATTATTTGGTAATTTATTATATAATTTATTAATTTATTGGAAATATTTTTCTTTCCGTTACGAGCATCTGAAGATAGGATTGTATTGTTGTTTTTTTTTTTTTACTCGGGTAGGTACATAACCTTAACAGAAATACACTGTAACTATATTATAAAGGCTGGCCTGTTAGTTTAGTTGTTAGTGACCCTGACTGCTAGTGGAAATGTGATGTGGGCACACATCAAAACAAAGTTGTGTATATTTAATGATGCCACTGTATTATCTGTTAATTAAAAAAGAGTGGCCGTGAGTTTGTTTGCTCTTTCTTCTCATGAGGCTCAACCCCTTGGAAATGAGTGGTTGTAGATCGGCACTTTCATATACTCGTAAGAGACTTTCGACACGTATATATTTAGTTTGCTAAATATTTGACATAACAGAGATTGTTTATATTGTGTGTGTTGATTTACGACTTTAGAGTCTACACAAGAGACGATTTCAAATAATTTTAAGGTTTTTATGGAATAGAGATATTTTGAGTTTGAGTTTGCTAAGTGCCAATTCTGATTGCAACATTTTGCAACTGACTGCTGAAGGCCAATTCTCGTAATAAAAATTCGGTCACAATTCAGGTCCGATTAAGTCTCGATCTCACAGCTGTCATAAAAGGTATTTTCGTAGCAAAATAATTAACAGGCAACGTTGACTGTAATGTGATTATATCGTATTGTAACCGAAAATTTAATCGGTAATCTGATAGTCTTAGTATTACTTTACTATTTTACTACAAAAATACTTTTTATGACAGATGACAGTTCTGAGATCGGAACTGAATTGAGACTGAACTTTTATTACGAGAATTGGCTTTCTGACTAAAAAAGCATAGGGTGCTAGATGTTAATTGTAGTAAATATTTTATTGACAGATATTGGTAAAAGTAAAGTTATTATCTATACTAATATTATAAAGCTGAAGAGTTTCTTTGTTTGTTTGTTTGAACGCGCTAATCTCAGGAACTACTGGTTCGATTTGAAAAACGGAGCACCAATGAAGAATGTTTCAAAAACGGAGAAAATTTATTACTATTGAGAGACGCAGACGAAGTTGCGCGGGTCAGCTAGTATAAACTAAAACGTCAGAATTGACTGTCCATCAGAAACAAAAGAAACATGCAGTCCTGAAAAGGACTTTGTCAATATTCAGGCCATTATTCGACCATCATCTTAACAGTTCTCTTCTATCCATCATCTTAACAGTTTTCTTTATCCATCATTCTTAACAGTCTTCTTAGGCAGCAGTATGGGGTTAATAGAAGGCAGCACACCACCTTGTGATATCGTCACTCCTGACAACATTTTGTTCAATTCCTCATCATTTCTAATGGCGAATAAAATGTGTCTTGGAATGACTCTGCTCTTGTTATTATCTGATGCTGCTTCAGCTGCAAGTTCGAGGATTTCTGCAGACAAATACTCCAGGGCTGCCGCCAAATAAATTGGAGCTCCACTGCCTATTCTGGGTGCATAATTCCCTTTCTTCAAGATCTTGTGGATCCTTCCAACTGGGAACTGCAACCCAGCTCTTGAGGACCTGGATCTATTCTTTGCTCTGTTGATTTTGGAAGACATTTTCGTGATTTTTGTTGCTTGTAAATTAAACGGATTTAGATTATGAACGTTGAGATGCGTTTCGTACGGTTTATGTTAATTTATTCGGTCTGGCAAGTTGTGGGTACTGTAAAGAGTTATGTACATATTTAAATAAATAGTAGCTTATGAAGAAAATATTTGATAGATAGTGTTTCAAGCATGATTATTGTTTAAGATGAAAGTTTTTTGTTACTTAAATTATTAAGTGTTTACGATCTTTTTATTTCTTTCTCTTAGTATCAGTTTCTTTTCTTAATTAAAATTAATCTTAAATAAATTAAAACAGGATAACGATGAAAATCATTTAATAGTACTTCAGGAAGGAGAAGACTAGAACCTTCTTTTCTTTTACTCAGAAGACATTAATCGAAACTCAAAGTGCAGAATGAATTCGACCACCATCCACAGCACAGGTTTTGAGAAGAGTTACTGATAGGCATACCTCTTACTTCTACCTCTTTTCTTCTCTTCTTTCAAAGGAAAGTTTTATAACTCTCTGATCCAGAAAGGTATAGGTATTCTACGGTGTAAGCAATAAACTATAAGAAACATTCAATTATATATTTATATAATCATTATTATCATCAACAGCCTTTGATCCACTGCTGGCCAGTAGTCCACTGCTGGACATAGGCCTCTCCTTAAAATGAGGTTTTCCCTACTATAGCAAGAGGGGGCGCAAACTAAGCAGGTCAACAGCACTACAAAGAGAAGGAAAACTTTAAACAAATCCCATACCAACCTGTATAGCCATCGTGGTAAGTATAGTAGGGAAAACCTCATTTTAAGGAGAGGCCTATCTCTCTGTTAAGTTAGTAAGCTGTTGACCTGCTTAGTTTGCTCCCTTAGTCGACTCTTACGACACCGTACGACTTACGACGTATTCCTAATATGTTACCATACGGATATATTTATATTTCTACGTTTGGTTATTAACACATTTTATTTCGTAAAAATCGGATGGAGAACTGTGAAATGGACGATGACGATTGATTGGAATACTTTATTTTCATCTCATCTGCCTACCCTTTTCCCAATTTTATTTGGGGCCGGCGCAGTATGTATGATTTTTCCATTCTGTCATGCGTCATCTCACTGTTTACTCCCTTCCTAGCCATATCCTCCCTGACGCAGTCCATCCACCTCTTCTTCGGTCTGCCTCTTCTCTTGTACCCTTCAACTCCCATACCTAACACTTTCTTCGCCACATTTTCCTCATCCCTCCGCATGACATGTCCATACCAAGATAACCTATTACTTCTTAACTTTTCATCCAGTAGCGCTACTTTCAGACTCCCTCGTATATACTTATTCCTAACCTTGTCCATCTGAGTCACACCACACATCCATCTCAGCATTCGCATTTCGGCTACGTTCAGGCGTCTCTCATCAATAACTATATAATACTTTATTAACTCATTAAAATAATGTTGTGGGTAAATAAAATGCTGATACCGTGCCATTCATTCTGTCTATGAATTATGGATTCAAAAAACTACCCTCATTTAATAAATAATTATTTAGGAAATTTTAATTATAAAACATAAATGAATAGTAATTTATCAGGTTCTCTCAACTACTTGCTTTAACTGCTTAGTTTTGTGGGTCCGACATGGTATAACTACCCACTTTTTATACAAATAAAAAATACTCGGCTCAACTGTGGTGAATCATTTAATTTTTTTTAATTCACAAATAAAATATTTCACTCCCACGTATGGCAGGAAAGCGAGAGGAAACATGTTTATTTTAATTATTTTCATTCGATAAATTAACTGCGCGGATGGCGTAGTGGTTTAAGAGGTCGCCACGCCTTCTACTTCTACGCTAAGTGCTGTGGGTCCTCACGCCTTCTACTTCTACGCTAAGTGCTGTGGGTCCTAAGTCCGAGGGGAAGACTATCGGCGGTCACCTCGCCGCTAACTACTGCGCTGAGTGTTGTGGGTTCGATCCTCACATGGAACAACACTGTGTGCGATCCACAAATTGTTGTTCTGAATCTGGGTGTTCTTTGTGTCCGTTTCAAGTATGTTTGTAAAGTCCCCCGCCATACAGTATATAGTTATTCCTAATGCGGGAATTGTCTTTAAAAAAAATACTTTGTATTTAGTTTTGTTAGATTGTATTAAGTTAAAATATTTAGTGTCATTAAGCGTCAGATCGTCATATAAGAGTGAGTTCTTTTTTTATATAGAATAAGGGGCAAACGAGCAGACGGGTCACCTGATGGAAAGCGATTACCGCTGCCCATGAACGCCTGTAACTCAGGAGTCACAAGCGCGTTGCCAGCCTTTGAGGAAGGAGTACACTCTTTTCTTGAAGGTTTTCTTCATTTTATTTCATTTTCATTTATTTATTCAATTTTGTGATACATAGGTGGTTAAGATGTCAATCTTTTTCTTCTTCCAGATATAATAAATAAGTTCTGCTATGTGGGCCAACATAAAACAAACCTTAAATGTTTTTCAAATTCTAAAACGCAGGTAAACATACCTAGATATTATATTTACAGTTGTACTTACATATTATTAGTAATTTTCTTATATTTATTGTATTTTACTTTTTAAAAGACAACTCCCGCACTAGGTATACATCCTGTTACGACACAGGGGGAACGGGGGGGAACCCACAATCATACATGAAACGGACACAAAAAACACCTAGACTCAGAACAACAATTTGTGGATCACACAGTGTTGTCCCATATATGGATCGAATCCACAACACACGCGCAGCAGGAAGCGGCAAGGTGACCGCTTAAATCAGTACGCCATCCGTGCAGTTAATTATAAGTACTTATGTAATACACAGACATTTCTTTATATTTCCTCAGTTCTAGCTTGATGAGCAATTATAGCATCTATTTTCTCTAGGAAAATCTTCAATAACAACCAAAAAATACTTAATAATATTATAATAGTGCTTATTACTATACTAATTAGTTCCAATTCATAGTATTCTGTCCACGTTTTGTTTGATGCTGATGACTTGAGGTGTGCCATACTTGAGTGTTTTAATACGTACTCTGTCCACAAGATGGCGCGGTCTAATAATGGAGTTCGAGTGTCGTTAATTAATTTACGTAGCCGCAGAATGTTGTCTCTATAGCTGGGGATAAAAACATAAATTTAATTGAAACAAAACATTTAATTGTCTCACCACCGACGTTTGCACTGGGGCGGTGTGTCGGAATCGAACCGACTAAAATCAGGGCGGTGTGCGGTGCTAGTAAGGGCTTTTGGGTAAAGGGCATTTTGAGTTCTAGTGGAGGTCTTGATCCCGGACTCAATGCCCTCCTAGGCACCGAGTGGAGGTACTTTTCGAAGCAACACTATCCTGAAAAGACCTGCCTCAGTCGGAAGTAAAGGGTCCCGTGCTACCGCCCTGCCTAACTGACTATGATAAGACCCCGGACCAAAGTAAAACGAGCTTACTCATGCATGCAGATGCAGTCCTAGGCTGAACAGTTATTACGGGTAGACCACCTTATCTCATGGGGTTTAAAAAATGGTTACTACAAACCTTGGATACTCTATAACCTTCAACACACTACTCCTGAATTCCTCCTTGCCAATAGCATTCCCGTCAAGGTGGAGTCCTATCCCATACTGGGTGTAGTGTTCCATATTAAACATTTGGTCACCTAGTTTACGAACTCCGATGAGAGGCACTCCAGCTTCGATCGCCTCTGTGGTAGTTTGGAGATCACCGTGGGTAATAATGAGCTTGAGGTTCGGATGCCCTGAACAAGAGAAACTGTTTTGTCATTTACAATAACGAAAGGTGGCATAATATATTCTTTTGATACTGGTACCCTCATTTACAACAGCTACGGAGAAATCAGATTTCCCCAAACCGTGGGGCAGTTGCCATCTAGTGAGAATATTACCAAGAAGTTTTTTTTTCCTTTGTTTTGGTACAAGGCAGTCATTAACATAAAGCAATATAAATAATATACTTAATAAAAGACAAAGAGTGCCCAAGAATGGATTTAAACAAATGTAGTACATTTCACATTACAAATAACTTGACATAAGAAAAGAAAATAAAAGGTTTAAGAGAAATATATACATTGCGATATTACTAAGTAAATGTCAACAATTTACTTTTAGACATTTTTAACATTGTTCAAAGAGTTATTAAAAAGATCTATACAATAATAATAATATATTTACTTAGTTTAGACCCGTACGGCCGTCTGATCCCAAACTAGGCAGAGCCTGTGCTATGCAAACCAGACTGCTGATAAACATACTTATATATTTTTAAATGTATACAATGGAAGTCTTTTTTATACATAATTTTTATGTAATTTAGGGGGAGCGAAGACATTTTGTGTCCAGTATGGACGAACTGGAAGCCTAGCTTTGGTATAAACTTAATTTTGGAGAGAAGAGACGACGAAGCAAAATTATAATTTAGCATTCTATATAGACAAATTAGATCAAACTGCTTATAGTTTGATCTAATTTGTCTATATAAAATGCTGATGCTGATTGAAAGTGAAAGATGATTCTGATTAAGTGTCTCAATTTACGATGATCTGAATTGTAGAAGCGATAATTTAAGAACTTCTTCTTTGAACTTTTCTACCCTATCATTATGACATTAGTAATGGGGATTCCACACGGTGCAACTAAAATTGACCGTACATAACTGAAATATAATTTTTTATGGTATTTTCTTTTCTGAAACGTTTAGAAATTCTATTTATGAAGCGCAAATTTCTAAATGCCCTCTGTGCAATGCTGTCCATATGTGGTTAATACGAAACATTTTCATCCATTTCAATACCTAGGTCTCGAATTGTATGTAAACGTTAGGTAACCACTCTTGAGTGATAATCAAATAATATATTCGTCCGTTTGCGGGTATAAGTCATTATTAACATTTATCTGAATTGAGCAATAACTGCTTGTCAGCAAAACACTTAGAAAATGACATTAAAGCATTTTGAAAGTGTAGACACCCGCCATTCTTGTTATAGCTCAAAATCTTTGTATCATCTGCATAAAGTAAGTAGTCAGTATCATTGAAATCATAGAACAAGTCATTTATGTATAAGGAAAATAGGACGGGACCGGGGTGGGAACCTTGTGGAACACCGGACGGGACGGGTAGGTAGCTAGAACAATAACTTTTAAGACAGACAGCTTGGCTAAGGTTTCGTGTATATGACTTCATCCATCTGAGGAGGTTGCCAAGTATTCCAACATTTTCGAACTTCGCAATTAGCAACTATTATATGAATTATTTTATCGAAAGCCTTAGAAAAATCCGTGTATACTACGTTTAGCTGCATATTAGAGTTTTAGTAAATAATCATTAAAGTTAACATATTTGATTCTACGCTTCGACCTTTATAAAAAAATGTTGTCTGTCTGAAATATGGTGACGAATAGCATACGATATTGGTTTTGAAACGATTTTTTCTAATGTTTTGCCGAGAATACTCCATTTAGATATAGGCCTTTACTGTATTATTGGATTCTTTTGATGATTTTTTGGTATCGGAGTTATAAGTGCAGTCTTCCATAAAGTTGGGTATGCGAAAGTTAAAATAGACTTGAAATATTAAATAAAATAACCTCACATTAAATAGAAAAAAGATAGGTCGTACATTCCGTTGACTAGAGTTGTATCATGAGAAGGTTCTATGGCCAAGTGTCTTCTGGGGACGCTTGCAAGCCTGGACGCCCGCGAGATTTGTTTGGCTAGGAACCCTCGCAGGCGTCCATAGAATATGATGGATCAATGGCTTCGCAAAGCTGTATGGACAAATAAACAAACATTTATTTATATAGTTTAACAAGTACTTACTGAAAATGTCAACTTCCGAAAATATATTTTTCATCATAACGTTCTGCGGTAAGTCTTTCAGTCCTTCAAAGTCTACTCTCCATAACACATTATAAGGAAGTCCAGAGAATACTTCTAGGAACATCTCCAGGATAGCCGTTGGAAGGCGTAAAGATTTACTATCACCTAAGTTGACATAGATAGCTCCTTGAGACGAGTCAAGAAAGAATTTCAAATCCTGGAAGAAGAGCATTTACCCCAATTCATCAATATGTTGGTAAACAATTAATGTATGATTAATGAATACCTAATAAAATCCCTATAAAAAAGTTGAACCGACTTCAAACAGTACTAAGAAAGAGCATTAAGAACCTAGCAGCAATCGCGGTGGATTTGCTGTCATTTCTTGAAGAATTCCGTTGTCTGTCTCCGAAACTCATCATCAATTCTATATGAAATTTAAATGGGACTATTTCAGAATAAACCCTTTTCAACCAAAAAAGAATTTTGAAAATCCGTCTATATATGACGGAGTTATGCCGAACATACATACATAAAAAGAAAAAACATCCGAATTGAAAACTTCCAATTATTACCATTATTACTAACACCACATTATTAATTTATTAACCGACCTCAAAAGGTCGGTTAATAAATTAATAATGTGTTGTTTTAGCCTCTCTTTTTAAGTCGGTTAAAATAGTATCAAATATTTATTTATTGACACAATAGCTTGACAATAGCTACTACTACAAAAAGAGAACATCAGTTAACAAACTGACGACAAATGATGGTCTTAACTCTAGAAAGCATTCGTAAGGAAGCTGCATTTGCTGAACTCCGAGTTTAATAAAAGCCTTACCTTCGGTAACTCCTTTGCAGTGCTATAATCCCTATTCCCAAAATACACTACATTCAGCGGCAAGGGTCTGTTCCTCTCCCAAAAGCTATTACTGTTCAAAAGCAACATTTCCGCATTTCCTTCCAACTCACTCAACAAGGGAACATCTGGTCCAAAGATTCGCTTCAAAATCTTATTTTCTTCATCCTCATAATCATGAAACACTTCATTGTACTTAATCATGTTATAAACCTCCGTAAATATCTCCCAAACATTCAAGTTGTAAATTCTCTTGCTCATATTATCTGGATAAAGAATCGGATGGATAGGGACCCCAAAATTTTTTGGATTACCAAACCCCAGGCCGTAAGTACTTAGTTTTATCACAGGTGCTTTATATATATGACACCAGACCATCGCTGGGCGAAACCAAGCTGGAAGTAAAAGCAAATCAAAGCTTTTATGATGCTTAATCAGGTTCTGGACTTCCTCACTCTTCATTTGTTCTTCAAATAACTGCAGCATTATAGAATATATTGCATTAGAATATATATTTATTAAAGTATTTATATATTCCTGTGATAAATTGGCATATTTTTTCAAAATTCCATTAGAGAGATGTTCCAAATTTATGTCTTGGAAATTTTCTGGAGATTTCCCGTCTGGATAAGCAGGATTTGCTGCGATAAAGATAACTTCGTGTCCTCTTTTTGCTAACCCTTTGACTAAAGGATAGAATGTTCTCTGGTGGTGGATTGAAGGCGTTGGAGACACGGCTAATATTTTTCCAGCTTCACATTTTATAAAGAGTAAAATTAAAATGGCGAGCTGTATGGCAATCATGACGAGTGTTAACTGAGCACTGTGTTTTACTTTTGTTGTATTTTTCGTTAATTGTAATATTGGAAAGGGGTTCCGCAGTTTATAATTCTAATGCCTTCTAAAAGTGCTTTAATAGAAACCTCTAAAAATAATTTTCAGTAACTGGTTGTGAAGATATTTTTAACAATACAGTATTATTTTTCATCCAATTAAATACATGAGATACGTTGTGCACTCGATGTAGATCAAAATTGCCTTTTACATCATATAAATGAATATCTTAAAAGATATCAGGTAGTAGCTGCCGACAGGAGCAGAGTGAGCCTATAAATATTGTTTATTAAGACGCCCTTTAGTCTTATCATAACAATAGAATTTATTTATTTATGAGTTGCCAACATTTGTTTACACACTTACATGCTACCATAATTTCAGAAACAAATAATATTAAGTAAAGTGTAACAAATACTTATAGGCAAATACAACATGCACATGCATAATTAATTACTCCACACATCTACATTGCACCCGTGCGAAGCCGGGCCGGATCGCTAGTCCATATTAGTGCGCCCACAACGCCACTGGAGCATATTGTATTTCCTTCATTTTAGGGGAATGAAAAAAAACACAAAGCCGATTACTACGAGCCACAGTTGTACACGTAAACGTGACTTATACTAGAGATTTATATGTAGAAATGGTCATATGTTTGTAAACCTTCCTGTTTGAAAATGTAAATGAACAAGTACCTATAGCTTACTGAACCCTATTCGTAAAGTAGCTACGTTTGTTAACACAAGTGTTTATTAATCAATACAAAAACTATATCGTCGACAAAGAAAGAAGACATGTTCAGTATATACACTATTTAGATTAAATATAATTATACTAGCTTTCTCCTCGGTTCCTCTCCGTTATCGCGGTAAATAGGAGACTATATCCTTCCTCAAGAATCAAACTATCTCCATAACAAATTTCATTTAAATCGGTTCAGCTGTTGTTGATTCCTTAATACAAACTGCCTCCTTTTCACCCTCTTAAAGGATGATTTCTGGTTATAAAAACTATCCTATGTCCTTTCCCGGGACTCCAACTATCTCTATACCAAATTTCATCCGGTTCATCGGGTTAACTTAAGCGTGAAGAGGTAACAAACAGACATAGAGATAGACAGACAGACAGACAGACACACTTTCTCATTTACGAGTATAATATTAGTATGGAACATGGATATGGATAATTCTATCTATACTAATATTATAAAGCTGAAGAGTTTGTTTGTTTGAACGCGCTAATCTCAGGAACTACTGGTCCGATTTGAAAAATTCTTTCAGTGTTAGATATCCCGAGGATATCTATAGGCTATATATCATCACGCTAAGAGCAATAGGAGCGGAGCACCAATGAAGAATGTTTCAAAAACGGAGAAAATTTATTACTATTGAGAGACGCAGACGAAGTTGCGCAGGTCAGCTAGTGTTAAAATAAAGTAGATCCGTCAAACCGTTCTATTAAAAACTCTCTTAAATACTTTTCTTTACATGATAGTTATTAAGGTACACAATATTTTGTCATCTATATTCTTGGATCAAATAACTTGATCGAAGTCTGTACGCTGAAAATTTAGTTTGTTTGTTTGACCGCGAGTTTGTTTGGTTGGAGAATCTTAGGTACTACTGGTTCGAATTGATAGTGTTAGATAGCCTATTGATCGAGGAAGGCCATAGGGTATATAACTCTACGGTACATAGGGTGTAAAACTCACTATTTTTTTGAGGTGCAAACAAAGTAAACTTATAAATCTCTACCTCCTAACTTTCTTCCTTCTCTAGTTATAACCAAAAAAATATATCCCCTTATACCTTGAAATATTCCCTATTCTTTTCGTAACTTGATTACTCAATGTGGTTACCCAATTCTAAGCATTTCAATTATTTGATGACCTAAAACATAGCTATTGTCAAATTGTTGATTTAAAGATATCAAAACAATAAATTGATAATGGAGGACAATTCAAACTGTACTATAATAATAATTTATTTTAAACTTACAATTCTACCTTCAATATTTCGCGAAGACCCCTAAGAGTGCTTTGATAAGTGCGGTCAGCTGGTATTACTTACAGGTACAGGTGGACTGCCGTCACCATTGGAACCTGGTCAAAACACCAGGCAATCCAAAAACATGTGTTTAACATTTAATGATCGCTTTAATTCACGAATTACTAATCGTATCTAATCAGTACCTATAGAGTTTTAGCAGCCTAAAATAAAACATAAAGAGCTAAATAACAATATCTGTGGTTAATTATTGTATTAAAAATATAAGTGACTAGTGTTGTAAAATGTATTGAGGGTCATATTTGTCGATTTTGGCTGGTATTTGAATGTCAATATGATACGGGACGGGGACGAAGCGAGCACCCGCAGGCAGAGCTCGTCAACCGCGTGACGGTCAAATTATTACATTTAACAAAGACTTTATTTATTTATTGTTATAAAATAAGGTACACTGTTTAAACAGTAAGATGCCGCATAAACTCATTCGAGTTTTTCCGATGATGAAGATGTACTTGAAGATGTTTACTACAGACATGGTTACAATAAGGTCTCACAACTTATTCCGATAGTAGAACTTTGTTACTTTAGACTTTTTATATGTTATTTATTTCACAGTAGGTAGTCTATGAAGTGCTAGTTTAAATTATATCACAAAACCAAATGTTAATTATGGGAAATGCATCCAGTGTAGTTTACTTTTAATTTTTTTGGTTAGACGTATAGCTTAAGCGCAAGAAAAAAACTAGACTTTGCTAGTTTTATTCCAGTTTTATCCAAATTTCATTGGATTGATACAGACCTCTCAAATAAGATGTATAAAAATCAACCAGTTTAGTGCTGATTTATTCATCTAATTACAGAAGACAGTATCGTGTTTATATTGTTAACTTATTCAAGACCATATTTGTTCATAATTAAAGTAAACTTTAAGAACGTGTGCAAAATAGAACTTTGTAACGTAATGACTTTAAGTCAATAATAATGGTGTGTTGGCAACGTTACATAGGTTAGTTGTTGATGTTTATGGTCGATTGGACTGCCTTTATAAGTTCAATAAAATTAAAATTAGGAGAAAAAAAAACACAAACAATATACAACAGCTTACAATTATCCAAACGCTTTTTAAATTTCGAGAAAGTCTCATTTGTTCTTGTCACGAGAGTCTTGTTTCATTTTGAGTTTTATTCTCGCGTTGGAAAAATTGATTTAAGGTTTTCTAAAATTAAGTTAAAGCCATACAACTATACTGCTACTTGCGACTGACTACATAGCGATACTATAGCGACATACTATGTTATAAATACATTAAATAATTAAAAATAAGTGAAAATGGACACTTGATTTGAGATCAAAACTTCTCTGTGTACATCCCGCCTCAGGTGCTGTACCCCTGGGCGCAGCTGCGTATGCGCCGGCGCGCCGTGTCGTCAGCTGCCTCCGACCGTTACACTCCAGCACGTGCCGTTCGTGATATTATTATTATTACGATAGGTAAACAGGGAAAGTGGGTAAGCAGGGAGCCGACGTAGCAGATGTGAATAGTATGAATGGAATTGTGAAGATTCGAAATCTACGTTCCATTTTATACAACTAAGGTGGCAAACAAGTGAAGATTTGATTAGCAAATAAGCTTTTATGCTATCTGATTGTAATGCCTAAAGATGTTTTTAATAAAATATGTATGTATAGTTATGTATCAAATTATATATTACTAACTTTTTTTAAATATACGCTTTGATCACAAACAACCCAAAGCCATGGTAACCAGACTGCTGATAAAGATACTTATATTTCCAAATTATTTCCATTACAGAAAATACTATAGATAAATTATATCATACACAACTATTCATCATGAGTGGGAATCGAACCCACAACCACTGGCTCAGCAGACCTAACCCAACAGGACAATTTCCCCCTGGTTAGGGCCTAAAATTACATGGTCCGGTCCTTTCCAGAATAGGACGCCCGAAGCTGGCCTAAGAATCGTCACATACTCCTGGCTCCTGAGTCAACAAGGAGCAGGAAAGGATTTTCCAACCGGTCAACAAATAAAAAGTCAACAACAATAGCGACAACGACAACTACAATCTGCCCATGTTGCGTCCCTGTCGCGTCCCATCCGCTGTTTGACCCAACCTTCAGCACCTTATCAATCTGGGCTGGCAATCTAGGTTACGTTACCTAGAGAAATAACCTCACACATCCTACATACAGCAGTCTGATCCCAAACCAGACAGAGCATGTACTATGGTAACTAGACTGCTAATAAACATACTTACATATTTCTAAATACATGCATATTATAGATAAATGAGGTAACTTATCTATAATATGCATGTATTTGTTGTTTATTTGTTATATGTTTGGGTTAGGTACACCCAAACATATGACAAATAATGGTGCTCAACACATAAAACTTTCCTGGGTGGAAATCAAACCCACGACCTCTGGCGTAGTAGTCAGGGTCACTAAATACTAGACCACAGATTCTAGGTAAGATCTTCAGAATGTAGTTTAATAGTCTTTTCATCTAATATTATAAACAATAAGAGGTTTTGGCGACTGCCTACCATCAAATAGAGAGCATCACGAACAAAACTAATTACAACCACAAGTTAGAACAAAAGTAGTCTTCCAGAAAAAACGGTATTACGTAATAAATAAAAAGAAATTATTATACATAACTTAGAAGTGCAAAAAACATGGCTGGACATGTTCACCGTTAGTTCAAAGGACCCTTACTGCGGCACCCTATTTGAAAAACCTTTCAAAAGTTCATTCAATTATTACGCTAAGGTATTTATCTATTAGTCTCACTATAAAATCATAATTCCATAACATATCGAACTCTAAAATAAAGTGGCAAGATTCATTTTTAATAAAAACGTCAACTTATAAACGACTTTTTCGTAAAAGCTCGGCGTTATTTGAATTCAAACCTTAATTTTATAAGAGCACGTTGTAAAATAAAAAGAAATCGTTTTTAATATTATATTTGCGTAGCGCGTGCCTGTTTGCAGGGGTGCGCAAGCGCCGTTTCCGACCCCGACGCTTTTTTGAAAAAGGAATTCCATTTGCAGTTGACGGTTGAACTTCAAACTAGAAAGACGTGTGTAAATTTATTTAACATTATTATTACTGATTTTAGGTTTTAGTGTGTATTAGATAAGCTAGTAAAGTGATAACGTTAAGTGAAAATTTAAGTGTATTTAAATATTACTTTGGAAGATTTTAAAGTAGACTTTTGTATAAGTATATAAAAATACTGATACGAATATCAGTCGGTGTTAAAGTTAAGTTAGTGTATACATAAATGTATTATAAGAAATAAGAAACATACCTTGAACCCACTTAGAATAAGAAAGCAGCCAACCACAACGGTTCCGGTACTAGCTCACCCTTTCTTAAGAAGGGAAATATGCACTAATACACTTCGGGGAAAAAATACGCTTCTAAAATGGATTCTCCAAAAATTGTGTACAAATATTATTCGAATCCAGCTTTTTGCTCACAAAGCGAAGTAGTTTTCGCACAAAAATCATGCGTCACAAAGATCGTTTCACCAGACAGGCAGAGAATGCCGCCACTGGGAGCGAACTCACCTAGAAAGTTCGAAATCAGCAACAGAATCATGAAGACGGATATATCAGACAACCCTTTAAGAATGTCGCCAGCCGGAGCACCTAGAAACAGAGATGAACCTCCAGAATTACCTCCGAAACCTCTGAAATTCCAACAAAGACATTTCCAAAGACAAGCTTCTCTGATTCACAAACCGACTCGTACAGTGAGATGTAGAGCGCGGAGTGAGGATCTCGAAATGGCTCAGCTTAAACAGCAGAGACAAATTAGATATGATAGACATAATCACAGTGATGATGGCTTAGAAGACAGACTTAAGCATAGATACGAAGTTATTCAAGATTTCGATGACCTTGACGATTATTCTCCAACTAAGAAACGTATTGTTCAAGCAAAAGAAGAGGAAATCCAAGAGTATAACGTAGACGGGCCAGACGAGAACGAGTTAAAAGAAATTCCAACCGAAATTGTCAAAACAGTGAACGGGAAAACACACAGATACGCCATAGTCCCTTCGGATGATGATGACGAACCTAAAACAGTGACGTTCTCATCACCGATTATGTCCCAAAAACATCTAATAGCTACTCAGAAACTTCACGAATTGCTGTCTACACCTAGAAAATTGAAGAGTTATGCCAGCCAACCGTCTGTTCGAATGACGCCGAACAAGTCCGTTGATTCCCCACACGGTGACAGTCCAAGAAAATTTATTTCTAGTACTCCAAGTCAAGGAGTAACCCCTTCGAAATCATGTGCTAATCTTACCATGTCAAGAAATAGCGCAGCAACATCCCCAATTTCACCCAAAGCTCAACAAAAACTTAACTACGGGTTGCCAGAACGTGTGCCTGAGTTTAACAGACACGACGTCTTTGTAACCAGCTTTAGGGATAAAAGTAGAGATCGGAGTATTGATGTGGAGAGAGAGATTAGTAGAGAAAGAAGAGACTACGAGAGAAGAAGGGAGAGTCAGAGGAAGGATAAAAATACGGCAGTTATTGTTCCAAGGTATGTCTTTTTATTATTTATAAGGTATATTTATTATGTTACAGGTGTAAATCAGTAATACATACATTTTTAACGGGTTTTATTACACAAGTTGACCCGCGCAACTTCGACTGCTTCTGTCAAAAGGAATAAATTTTCCCCGTCTTTGCAACATTTTTCATTGATTCTAAGCTCCTCTTGGTCGTAGCGTGATGTTATAGCCTATAATAGCTTTCCGCTATAAATGAGCTATCCAAAACTGAAAGATTTTTTCAATTCGATCCAGTGGTTTTTGAAATTGCGCTTAAACGTGCTAATCTCTTTGATTGTTTCTTTGTTGCGCTTTCACACCTAAACTCATTGACCGATTTAAAAAATATTTTACCAATGGAAAGCTACATTTTCAGCGAGTAACATAGGCTACTTTTTACCGCGATAATCGATATATACGCGGGCGGACCCTCAGGCAAAAGCTAGTATTAAGTATAAAGTTTGTGTGTGTGTGTGTGTATTTGTATGTTTATTAATTCTTTACGCTCAAACGACTGACCGAATTTTGATAAAATTTGGAACAAACATCTTCCTACCAAATGTTATCAAAATTGAATACCCTAATACCCTGGATTAATATATAGGTTACTTTTTACGCCGCAAAAACGTAGTGTTTCCGTGGAATGAGCATGGAATTAAAAATCCGCTGGCAAAAGCGCGGGGCGCAGCTGGTGTAAAAATAATTATATTCCACAAATATGTTAATGTTTAATTTCCAACTAGCTTTTTAACTAATCACTTAAAGTAGTTTGGGGGCAAACAAGCATACCGCCTGCCTTCTATTAAGCGGTTATCGTAGCCTACGATCGCAAGCGATTTTAGAAGACTCGCGTGCGCGTTGCTGACTCTAAGTAATTGTAGACTCTTTTCTTCTTTTTGAAGTTAAAACGTCATTGCGAACAGCATAACTACAGGGCAGCTGGTTTAAAAATAATCAACACAACAGGTGTATAGAATCCACAACACAGGTGGCTAGGTATCCTGTTGTGTATATAAAAACACAACGTGGGTCTATTAATTTAACGATTAAGTACAGGTGCGTTTATTTAGTAGCAGTACACTGGTACTGCTAGTACAGGCTCTGCCTAGTTTGGAAGCAGAAGTCCGTGTGTAAATTTGTGAAAATATTATTATTATTTGCGTAATACTAGGTACTGACCTACAATGTTTTAAGTTATTGAGTAGTAGGTAGATTTACTTGGTACTTAAGGTTAATTAGGTAAGGTAATAACGGACGTCTGATTCCAAACTAGGCAGAGCCTGTACTATGGTAACCAGATTACTGAAAAACAAAGTTATATATTTCTAAACACATACATATTATAGATAAAGTGCGCCTATACACAAAACAAATGACCGTGCTCATCACACAATTATTTGTCCTGGTTGGGAATCGAACCCACGACCTCTGGCGTAGCAGTCAGGGCCATTAACTACTAGACCAACAGGCCAATCAAGCAAGAACGAACGACGGACGAGGAAAAAGTACCTAATTACTAAAAACGGCCAAGTGCTATTGATGCACTCAAGTCCTTGTTGTTTGTATTTATCAACCTCTCCAACTAACCCAAGGGGTCCAACAAGACATTAACACATATTGTCTCCAGGGGTATTGCCAGTCAAATAGGCCATTTATTTTCTTCTATCATTATTAATCTTTATTCTTTCGTACACCTAACTCATCTTTGGGTCATGGACTGCCTGGGTGGTGCAGTGGTAGCGTGTGAAACTGCTATGTTGAGGTCTCGAGTTCGGTTCCCGGGTCGGACCAAATGTTTGTATGATCTACAAAAATTTGTTTCGGAGTTTGGGGTTTTCTCTGTATAATAGTTATGTATTTATAAAAAAAGTATTTTTGTATTCTATCAGTCAATCTCGATTTCAGAGTACAAACTCTGCTTAGTTTGAAACTAGATGGCGTTGTGTGTCAGATGTCCGAATTTATTATATTATTATTATATTATCTTTTTTCTACATCGCCTAATTTTTTTACTGGTAGAGAACGCCTGGGGCATTAAGCCTGCCGATACTTTATTTTATGATAAATAATCTAATAAATTAAAGAAAAATGCAATCCATTCGGGAAAAAATAAGGAATGTAGAAGTTTCTGCCAAAACAAAAAGAAAACCATAAAAAACCATTGCCAAAACCTTCTATCTAAGGAGAGGCCATGTCCAGCAAATGATGTGATGATGTCTGCGCTTTGAAGTCTGTAACACTTTTTAAAAAGTAATTTGGAACATATTTTCTTATTGGTGTAGTGGTTAGTGGCCCTGACTCCTAAGCTGGAGGTCCTGGGTTCGACTCCCACCCAGGACAAATAATTGTTTGATGAGCACGTTCATTTGGTCTGTGTTTGGGTGTAATTTATCTATAATGTGTCTGGATTTAGAAATATATAAGTATGTTAATCAGCAGTCTGGTTACCATTGCACAGGCTCTGCTTCGTTTGGGATCAGACTGCCGTGTGTGAGATGTGTGAGGTTATTATTATTGAAAGCCATTTTTTTTAATTTCAGGGTAGCATCTCCGCCTTCCGTGTATTCAGAGGATACATACAAATCAATATCCAGCTGGAAGACGATAAGTGCTGCAACAGCGTCCCTGACGATTGCCGCCCTCATGCTCACAATGTGTGGTGGACTAACGGCGGGACTAAGTTTCTACATGATGTATGCTGTAAGTAAATATTTTATGTACGAAAAAGCGGACAATAAAAACCTGTCGGGTTAAGAAAATCAGGTTCCCCCTGACTAATCATATTCCAAGAAATTATCGTTTTGTACGAAAGATTTTTACTATTTTCTTAACGCGAAAGGACTATTAGTTTAGTAAGTTACTTAGACTAGTTGTTGTCCGCATCTCAGTCGCTTTAAAGTAGAGTTCACTACCCTTCAACTTTTTACTGGCCTACGCCGGGAGGGTTATGTTTAAGTTTATATAGGTATGTATGTATATTAATTTGGCACGCCCTATAGCCTAATATTGACTGGACGGATGACGTAGTGTCTTAAAAAAGCAGTCGCCATGCCACTTACTACTAAGCTAAGTGTTGTGGGTCCGATCCCCACATCAGGCGACACTTTGTGTGAATCACAAATTGTTGTTCTGAGTCTGGGTGTCCTTTGTGTCCGTTTCATGTATGCTTGTAAAGTTCCCCGCGAAACAGGATTCAGGATTTATTCCTAGTGTGGGAGTTGTCTTTTCATTAAAAAAAAAATAAAAAAAAATAGAAAAATTTTCATCGCCGGTTTGATAACATAAACAGACGGGGTAACTGTCGCATATAACAATAAAATAGATAGTTTTACTCGTACACGGGACACATATCTGTTGTGTTTTAGAGGTTTGATTTTTAAAAATTCTTTAAAATGTATAAAGATTTAGGATGATATTAATAATTGATTAATAATTGATTATATAGGATTATAGGAATACATATAAGGACCCACCAGTTGGCTAGAATGAAACACAGTTATAATAAATTCAAGTTCTTTTCGTCCAATGTTAACCAATACCCTCGAAGCATTATTTATCTTCCACACTCTCTTTCCTGAAATAGTACTTTTTAATCTTCCAGTTCGGCAGACACTACTACCTGGACTTTGGGGTGCTGTCAGGGTTTACCTGCTTCCTACTCGGACTACTTGGGTTCAGATTCCGCAGACAACAGCTCTTACCCAACAGAAACTACATATCCGGTAAGTATATCAACAAGCTTTGCTTTTAGGAATACCTTTTGCCCTACTTATTATAATATTTTAATGTACTTTATTCCAGATTAGAGGTAAAATTTCATATAGATCAGTTGAACAGAAAAAAAAAACAAAATAAGAACCTAAATAAATTATAATAAATAAAAAAATGTAACTTAGGTACAATCTGACATTCCCAGATTATAAGCAAAGAATAATTTATCATCTGAATGTCTTTTTTTTTATCAAACAACAGTTTAAAAAAACTTCTTAAAATAACGTCATGAAAAATCAACGTTATTTTCGGAAAAAAGGGTTGTTTCAAATGGTTTTTGTTTTCAGGTTACATAGTGCTGTCATCGTTCTCACTACTCAGCGCGTTTGGTCTTCTCACCATACTTTGTGTTAAACCTCAGCCTGGTACTCCATTAAATGATGTTACATCCGGGGCAATTTGTGGAGTCAGCATATTGTCACTGAGCCTCGCTACCGTTGGAGTTTTAGCTTCGTATTGCTGCGTCAAGGACCCACCAGATAATAGAGTAGGAACTACTCGATGGTACTAAAAGAGATTAAATTTAGTTTTTAGTTTTTTGTAATCTGTGGCAACCATAGATATAAAAGAGTAAATGGAATAAAGCATTATACCTTGTACCTTTGGGTTAAAGCGTAGTGATTGGAAAATGACTTAAATAACAGGTTTGAAGTTAACACAATTGTCTTTTGAAATTAATAGATGATTTTATCCATACGATGGTGGTTGGTTCTTGAAATAGGTTTGTTGATAATACAGAACCGAGTATTTAAATTATTGCTACAACTCTAAGCTTTAACATCAATGAATCGGCCCAAGTGTGTGGGATCACTTACTTTTTAAGCAAGTAACTACTTCATCCAACTATATACTCAGAATCAGAATACTTTATTTGTAAACATAGGTGGGTACGGTTACAATGGTATGTGACGTGTTACAGTATGGAATAGGTGCGCTATGTTTTGCCTTATGGCGTACAAATATTTTTGATACATGCAATACATACATAAAAACATGAGAAATAATTTAGGCATAAAAGATAATTTAAACAATAATCATAATTAATAACATGTCATAATAATAGTGCGTCATCGTCATAACAATTACTAAAATTAACATTTATTCAGCAGAGCTGTTTTTCCATGTGGGATTTCAAGTTTTAGCTTGTTTTTGTCCCTTAATTACCTGTAATGGCTTTTAAGAGCTATTTTGTATAGAGACATGATTTTCTTCACGAATATAGAGACCTCATAGATATATAAAGACGGTAGAGTAAGTTTTTTTTAGCTTTTAAAACAGGATTGACAGCTGTCTGTACTATACAGGCCATACATAGATCTGACACATCCTTTTTGAACCCTAAAGACGAATTCCCTATTTACTGAGTCACCCCAATATATGATACGTCCGTCCGACCATCTTTCTAAGGGGTTTGTTAAGCAGTTGGAATTTCGACAGGAGGGATGGATGGGAGACTATTACATCTATAACGAAGAGAACTGAATAAGCCGTAATATTTATTCTTCTAGTTAAGTAGTCATAAAATTATCTAAAATGGAAGCATAATATCATCTAGATACTTTAGATTTTGCAAACTAACAACAAGAGATTTAGCTTGTACATGGACATAGTGAAATTACTTTTAAGTCATTGTCATAAAGACTAAGATCCTATGAAGAGAGAATCAAACGAAACCTTTTTCTGTCTCTGTCTTTGATTTTGGATTAATTTAAGAATGCTTTGGATAGATAAGTCTCATCTACTCGAAAATTGTTGTTTGAAATGGAACGAATTTTTATTTAAAATTAGCTATATTGTAGTTCTATTATTTTGTATATTCGTAATCTGTAGGACCTATATTAAAGCTATCCTGCAAGCAAAAACAAAGACACGCGTAATCCTACTTATCTACAGAACTGCCATTTGTAATAGTGGTCCAAAATAATGGTAATAAAAACGTATTTATTATTTAATAAATTTTAAAGTAACTGTTACGCGAGTCTTGAACATCACTAGTATTTTTGTGTACTTACAAATAACCGTTAAACAATAATAGATTTTAGTAACCATAGATAATATTATGTGTTTGTTGAAATGGTTAAAAGACGCAAAATGCACTATGTAACTTTTATTATAACGATATTTTATGTACTTATTTAATTGTAGTATAAGTATACCAAAGGAGAAAAAAATATGTGACTGTTATTAAATTCAAAATTAAAGATATGGCATTATATTGGCGTGTTTTTATTTTCGCATAAAATATCTTAAACGGTCCACTATGCGAGAGAATAAGGTTGAAGAATTTGCTTCCAGAAGCAAAAGAATCTTCTGTGGCTTTCGAAAGCTTCTAGGAAAGATTTTGTGATTTGAGAGGATATTAGTCCGTTGTATAACCATTTTCTCCATAGACTCCAGTGATTCCCACTTTCAAAGGCCTACAGCCGGTGTTGTTCCAACGTCGGTTATCTGGTTCACGGATTATACTCCCTCCCAAAAAATCAAACATCACAACTAATGAGCGATGCCTCCTCAGGTGACACCAAAACACACCAGTCCAACGTTTTTATTCGTCAAATTGCTATTAGACTTTAGACAGGCGCACGTCACTATCTATTATAATAGAACATAAGAGATTTTTAATGAATATGAAAACAACCCATGCTGTGAATAAATTAAGAGTATTTTTTGTTATGTACCTCTTTTGTACATTGAAAATTGTTTGAGCTATATGATATTTCAACAACACAACATGTATGGCAAATACATGTTGTGTCGGCACACTATAATTAAAACTAATATGTTTTGCTAATAACAATCAAAGAGAAAAAAGAAACCATTTAAATCGCACGCACACTCACACACTACTGTAATCAATGGAACGGTACTGTTTTCTAATTCCTGGAGGTGAACTTTAATAGTCACACGATACAGTTTTTAATTAATGCGACTGTTATTGAACACCTTTAAATTATATATTGTTTTCTTGTTCCAAATAAATTATTATTATTATATAAAAGCTTGTGTCCCATTCTCAAAAGGCCAATGGCAGGTCCCCATCATCAACAGCCTATACTAGTCCACTGCTGGACATAGGCCTCTCCTTAGAAAGGAGGTTTTGGCCTACTATACCACGCTGGCCAGACGGGTTGGTATAGGGTTTGTTTCAAGTTTAAGTTTTTAAGTTTAGGTCCCCATACATAATTTTATTTAAACTGAAAGGGTAGCGTTTAAATATCAAAAAATCCTTAATACTTGAGAATTTATTCTTGACCATTCTCATAAAAAAAATACTAGCGAAAGAAGTCTAGGAAAAAATATATTGGATTTTAAATGTTTAGAGGTTAAGTACTAACATATTGTTAATGTTTTGTTTGAAACTAGATGGCGTTGTGTGTCAGATAGCCGAAAATATTGTTATCATTATTATTACTCATAAACAATCCTATTTTGCTGTTGAAATTATTAGCCGACGCCCTAAAAGGGTGGAGGTTATTTTACCAATACATGGTAAAACAAGAGAAAAAGTCCTCGCTTACCAAGCATGTGTAATACCAGCTATAAATAAATAAATCAATAAGAAATAAATTATAAATAATAATTCTAATAATTGTACTTCAATATACATCTACACAAGGCAGAAGCAATTGATTTACTTATTGGAAAGCTAGTAGTTGCTACATTATTTACTAAAATATAAAGCATTCATCCACTATATTGAGATTAACGCACAACATTTAAAGGCGTCACATTATGCATAATAGAGTAACACTTTATGAAATAAAAACTAGAAAAGCATAACATCTATGCGAGTTTAACACTAAATTGAAAAAAAAAAAATAACAAACCTGGTGAGTCCGGAACTTGACAGGATCTAAACGACGACGTATCGACATTTTGAAGATATCGATGTATGTCTATTTATGTGCCGTTATCAATGACATAGTATTCTTCTCCAACCGAGATGATACGACAAATGGTAGCTTCTTAGCGGTGAAAGCACAGACCTGTGTCTTTTTGGGTTGAACTGGACTAGATTTGGTCGGTTCTAATCTGAAACTGAAGTTTCAATTTCAGACACAAGTTTGTTTCGACTCTCGATGACGTTTTCTCGAGAAATATTGGGGGCGGCCGCTGTACAGGGCATCATCTGCATAGCAATGGATTCTACTAGCTTGCAACATGTTATTGATATGCAGAAGTAACACTCTATGAAAAGACTTAAAATTTCATCATCATCATCATCAACAGCCTTTTATTAGTCTACTGCTGGACATAGGCCTCTCCATAGAAAGGAAGTTTTGGCCTACTATAGCACGCTGACGAGATGGGTTGGTATAGCTTTTGTTTTAAGATTCCTATCTTTTTACAGTGCTGTTGTCCTGCATAGTTTTGTTCCCTTAGTCGGCTCTTACGACACCATGGGATGATAGAGGTGGTGACACTGTTAACACCGTCTTCTTAATTCTACACCAAACCATAGAACTTAAACAAATTATTTTAAACACAACACAGTATCATGGTTCGTGAAGTCATCCTGTGAGAGGAAGTGTATACCGCTGTCAGGACTTGTGTGGTTATTTAGGGTATGCTGATGTATTCAAGCTGACCTTTACTTCTTCACTGACAACGATAAATAGTTCTTTGTCTTGTGGTGTAAATGTTCTTTAAGTATGCTAAACAGTGCAAACAGTCAGAGTTTTCCAACTAAATAGGTCGTAATTTATTTGTGCGACATTTATTTTTTTATGAGTGAAAAGAACCGTTAATGAAGCTGTCAAACTATGCGTCATAACATATTTTGTTCCAGTCAGACTAGTACTTAATAACGAGCTTTTCTATATCGCTGTCCTTGTTTTTTTCTCTTAACTTTAGCTATATATCCTTTTCCAGTGTTAATTGGAACAGATTTGTGTTTTGCTGAACTCTTGGTTGAGATTTTTAGTCGTCTATTGTGTTAATTTGATAACAAATGAAATGTTTGATAACAATTTGTAAAGAGGATTACCAACGAGATGTAACACGGATTGTATTATTTGTCGTTACGCCTGCATTTATGTTAATGCCCTTCTAGTTATGCATTTCATAATATAAGTTGAAAAAGTGTTAAAGTGATTTGTTGAATACAAAACAAGTAAGTAGACAACTCTTTGTTATAAAATGTTTATCGTAAGTAGTAGTTTATGTAAATCGAGATTGATTTTAAATCGTACAGTTGAGTGCTTTGTTTAAAAAAAAAATTATAATATTTCGAAGGCCAATAATTAAGAACTTGACTAGTTTACCTTCAATGATCTTTTATATTCATATAAAAAAAAATTTTTTTTATCTTAAACGCTATATTTGTATTTCAATGTTCATATTTTGAATATTAAAAAATTATTATAACCATAGACATAGTTATTATTTAACACTTAGATTCTATAGAATTCTAAGGACTAAAAATTGTTTCTCTGTTCTTATCGTTAGAGTGCCATGTTTCGGCACAAAAGGGTTGGCTCGGCAGGAGTGAACCAAGGTCACACACATGTT